ACTCGTCGAGTTGGTGATTGAGTTCGCGGACGACTGCGGGGAACCGGGTGGGATCGAGAGCAGCTCCAGTAGTCTGAGCGTAGAGTAGGTGGTGAACGCGGTTCAGAAGTCGTCGCATGGAGATACACGCCAAAAGGTAGAGAGAAGCAAGTTCCTGTTGATGTGCGTCGGCATGGGTATGGTATTCGCCTGGAAGGGGCGTTGTCGATTCAATGGCAGAAATTCCTGACTGTGGCAGGGCAGAAAGCTCGGCGAGATAATCGCTGCGGTATGTTAACAAACTGATCATGGGGTAGCTGTGCCTAGCCTCCTGTTTCAAGCTTACCTCTCGAGGATATAACAGGACCAAAATATGCGTCTAATGCGCTCGCTGTCTTCCGTTGAGTCGTCCTCTGAGGTGTAGGAGAGCAGCAGCAGGCATTTGGCTGCAGCGGCGTTGATATACTCCCAAGCTTGGAGCGGGCGACGTAAAAATGCAAAGTACATAGCAACGTAGAACAGGCAGTGGGTTGACGTGCTCCCAATGTGTGTGTGCACGACATGGAGTCTTTTGAGCACGCCGTCGAAGTAAACGTCGGCCATGGCCTTCTTCGATGCGCGTGTCTCACGGTCTTTCTGGGTCAGAGATGTCGTGCCGCTGGCCAAGTTCGCTGTGACCTGCCCAGCGAGACCCAAAGCCATAGTCAGTAACGCCAGGCATACTTCGATGCTGTCCTCTTCAGGTACGCCATTGACTATGAGGGCGCGCACCCCAGCCATTTGCTGCTGAGACATGGTGGGGTACCAAAAGTTCACCGTTTGGCCGAAGGACTCAAGGATTTCGTCAACTTCGCGAGGCGTCACGAAAGGATACCACGTCGATGAACGGGACTTGATCGGAGGTCGAGCTTGCTCGAGACGGAAGATGGGATCGTACCCATCGCGAAGGCCAGGGAAGACGTCAAAATGCGGCCACTGGAGGACGGCCTCGGTGGCTGAGGTGTGCATGGAAGCGAGTACGGCATTGTCGAGGTTGTTCGCCGCCGGCGGCCAGTGGGACTCGGAGAGAGGTGTCCGATGGTGGAGAATCTCGGTACGGGGTGAGGAGGAGAATGAGGCGGCTCTAGGGACGGCGGTGGGAAGGCTAGGCGACACCATGGACTGGCGACGACGATGCTGTTGCTGCTGATGATCCTGGGGTGAAGGCGCGGTCTTCGCGGCGACATGTGATGAGCCATGTCGGTCAACAAAGGTAACTGAAGTGGGGTGACTGACAATGGCGGGGATAGCCGACTTCATCTCATGGAGAAATTTCTCAACACGGAGGACGCTCTCGAGGATGAGGTCACTTTTGCCTCGGCTGCCACAAGGTCAGCCATCCATCATGATGCGAGGGTACACTCGGATCTCACGAGTTGGCTTCGGAGCCGTAGGTACACTCCTGGCGCGAACCATCGCATGACGCGCAAGGGGTGTTGCCATTGCATCTTATCTTCTTGGCACGGCACGCATCACACTGTGTGTGTGTGAAACATGATTAGCTTGTGATATCTTCAGACGGTGAGACCCTGAAGAGGATGTGCAGCGCCGATCTCAATTGAGAGGCAGAGCGCGTCGTCTCATTGCAGCAGAGAGAGGGTAATGCGGCTCACAGCATGGCTTGTCCGAAGCCTCTTCCTGGCCGGCTCCGAGCCAGATTCGTGGTCCATGACATGACGCGGGATGTCGACCAGTTTGGATCAGTCAATCGCTTGGGGACAAAATGGGTTGTGGTGGGTGCATGGTACGATCCGAAGCGGACCGAGGTGTCGTGAGCAATAGAAAAGGGACTTTGTCAGTGATGGAGAATGCGGAGAGAATGAGAAGGGGCACAGGGACAAAGACCAAAGACGCGCACAGGCAGGCGCCAGGTGCACGTCGCACGAGGCGTTGAAGACCCGACCCGACAGCGCGGAAGTTGCGACCTGGGGCCAACCTGCCCTGCGTGTGGCTGGCTGGTGGATGCTCCCTTCCCGTGCCTGTCCTTAGTGACCTGACACGAGCATGCTACCTTCCACCTATGGCACTGATGGTGAGGTCGGGCGGGTACGTACCTGCCTTCCACGAGATGCGGGGGCTGCGGGGTTACGCAGACAGGGGGACACCAGCACCTGCCGCGGTCAAGCTGTTCACAGCCATCAAGCCATTGTCAAGCCATGCCAAGCCACAGCAGCCTTTCGACCTGGACGCCTCGTCTGTGGTTTGCGAATGGGCACGGATGAAAACACCAAGCAACACTATCGTCATCAGGTCCCAACTTTGACTTCAACTTGACGCCAGATAACATGGCCTCTCCTGGTCCGCTACCCAGTGGGTTCTGACAACCAGGCAGTTCTCGGAACAATATGCGGCAATGATCAACCCATGCCATGCAGTCCACCAAAAGCCCACCCTCCTCCTGACTGTCAAATCACCACCGCCATCATGTTGCCGTCTTAGAACCGGTCTGGGCTGCTTTGCAAAGGCTCCCCTCCATATGCGCTGGGAGATGGTCAGCTCGGTCATCCCACCCACCCATGCGTCGCTGTCGTTGGTCACCCAACCCACGTGGTGCCTCATCACCAAGGGACACGTCCGCTTGGTCCCCAACTGCTGCAGCTCTAGCAAAAGATCGACAACGTTCGATGGAGCAATGCCAACTTCTAGGCGGCATCGTGTCACGGCAAATGAAAGACATTGGTCGGCCTAAACGCCAAAGATCTCTCGAGCCATTTGCGAAGCCCTCTCAAGGCCTTTCTGCGGTCACGGCGATTCTTCTCTTGGTCCCCAGAGGTGCCCGCAGGAAGAATGCATACAAAAGCCTTGAGCAGCCAAGTGGCTGTGGTGTGAGGATGAAGCTGCAGTCCCATTTCCAAGAGACTGAACAAACGCCGAAGACAAATAATGCATTTCCGATCCGTTGTGCCCATCGCGTTATCCGCGGCTTTTGCAAGCTTCGGCCTCAGTGCCCCTTCAGCAGACCGACTCAACGTCAGACAGCTTTCTGGCTCACTTGCAGTGGTCGAAGGCCAAGAACCTCTGACATTCAAGTACACCACACCTGACGCTTACTCTACAAACTGGGTCGGCCTTTACTATCCAGGAGGCGGCCCTATCAACCAAGTTAAACCAGAGCAATCCCTTGTCTGGGCCTACGCTCCTGACTCGGAGGGTACCGTCAAACTGTCTCCATCTGGTCTTCAACCGGGGAACTACTCCGCCTATTTTCTTGCACGGGACGGCTACAAGTGGCTCGCCGAGCCCATCCCGGCCGTTCTGCCTCGTGCTCCGTCTGGGCCCCTTTCCTTTCTCGTCAACAAGGCAATTCTTCACAACGCCCGTCAAGGCGATGCCTATGAGGCTCAGGCCGGAGGCTTCGTTGCCGGTGGCAGCGAGGCTCTGACTTTCTCGCAGGCCTCCAGTGACAACTGGGCCAAGGTATCTCCCGATGGGACCATCACGGGCACACCTGGCCGCACGGCATCCGACACACACATCACTTTGCGCGCAACATCAGGAGATTCTTCAGCTGAAATCAAGCTCACCATCCCCGTTCGCCGTGCTGGTTCTTCTCTCGTCAAGACACTTCGAGTCTTGACTTTCAACATGTGGCACGGGGGCACCCAGGTTGACAATTACCACGAGAAACAAGTCCGCTTCCTTCTCGAGAGCAACATCGACATTGTAGGCCTTCAGGAGGACCAGAGCGGCCGCCACGCTCACCGCCTGGCGCATGCTCTGGGATGGCACTACTGGGCCAGCTCGCGCAGCGTCGGTGTTATTAGCCGTTACCCCATCGCCGAGAAGTATGGGGAGATCAACGCCTCGGGTGGTGTACGCATAGCCCTCGACGGCGATGAGCAACAAATCAACTTCTGGGTTGTGCATCTCGGTTACACACCTTATGGACCCTATGACTTCTGCTTCGATGGCATGGATGTGGAGACTGTAATCGAGCGCGAGGCCAAGTCAGGACGTACGCCTCAGATTACCGACACTCTGGCCGCTATGGAGGGACAGATTGCTTCCGCCGAAGATGTGCCTGTGCTTCTCGTTGGCGACTTCAACGCACCTTCCCACCTTGACTGGACGGAGGCTCTCAGGAAGAAGAACTGCGGCTATGCTAACGTACCGTGGCCGACGTCTGTCAAGACGACGGACGCGGGCCTGGTTGACTCGTTCCGCGTTGCGAACCCAGACCCCGTCAAGGTGCCAGGCATCACTTGGTCACCCTTCTTCCCTTTTCACGACGGGGCCACGGGACGCCCTGAGCCGCAAGACCGTATCGACTTTATTTACCATGCTGGCAATCTGACGGTCAAGAACTCAAAGGACGTTGTTGTCGGTCAGCCCAAGCCGTCGCCGAATCACAAGCAGAATGAGTGGACCACGGACCATGCGACTATTTTGACGACATATGAACTGCCTGCTTGAAATTTTGGAGGCTTTTGAACGTCACGAAGATATGTGTTGTGGGATGTTGATTGATTGTACATCACTACTTTTGGAGTGTCAACGTATGATATCACTATGCTATGACTGCAATTCAACTTTGCAGGGACTGTGAGAGAAGTTGGGAGGCACGGCAGATGCCCGAATCTATAATTTGCTTACGACTATGACGCCGGCTTTTTTTCTCTTTAGCACCGGGGAGATGTTGCAAGAACCTCGAATTCCTTTGGCTCTGCAATATTGGGTTTTCACATGTGCATGATCCAGGTTAGAAAGTCGCAAGCAATATGTACACACCTCACTGCATGTATGCAAACGGAGCACGAATGAGTGATCTCATATCAGTATGATAATTCGCTTGTCAGAACTAACTGTCGCTCATTCTGTCTGCTACGTTGATACGTATGCTGGAGACTCTCGTGCGTAACATTACCGACCCCCCCGGAAAAGCTGGCGGCAAAGCGTCGAGTTGAATCCTGCAGACGGCCTACGTAACCAGGCGCCACCTTGCGGACTCACCCGAAATCCCCGGCCATCCGCACCCCAGTAGGTCAAGTTCCTTGAGCCGGAGCCTCCAAATCCTGAGCTGGATCGATGGGCAGGGCTGTAACTACAACAATTTGAGCATGAGCTGCCGTATCCCGAACTAGATCCGTATCCGGAACCATAGCTGCTGTAATCTGAGCTTGATCCATAGCCGGAACCATAGGTGCCGTATCCAGAGCCGTAGCCTCCGTACCCAGAGCCGCTGCTTCCGTAGCCAAGGCTGGATCCGGAGCCGTAGCTCCCATAGCCAGAGCCGCTGCTTCCGTAGCCGAAGCTGGATCCATATCCGGAGCCATAGCTACCGTAGTCCGAGCCGGACATGTACCCCATACTAGAGCTTGTGCTTCCGGGGCCGTATGAGGAGGATGACGAGCGTGCGAGGTCCAGATAGTCCAGGTTTGACGAGGATGAGGAGGGGTATCCTGAGCTCATACTGCCACTGGTATGAGGATAATAAGTTAGCATGGGTGGCTGCCTGTATGACATGTAGGGGTTGAAAGGGTGGGAACTGCCAATGTCAGTATCGGTGCTTGGTTCCGAGTAGCCGTCGAATTCGTAATGAAACCCTGACATGGTTGATGTAGTTATATCTCTGGGTGTTTGAGGTTTGATCAAGTAAGTGCTTGTGTAGATTGTCTTTTCTTTGTCGTTGGAATATGAAGTGGAGATTGAAGAGTAAATTGACAGTTGCCGATGCATGGAGCCGATATATATATATCCTCTATGAGGTAGTGAAACAGAGCTGATTAGCATGCGCACTATGTACGGGCTGTTCCCATAACTGCCACATCACGGATCCACCTCATGAGTGTCCATATCAAGGGTGGTATTCACGGGCACCTCGACCTTGGGGGATATCATCAATTCAGCGCGGTGAGACGCAAAAGTCTATACAAAGTCGTCGCCATGTTCGTGCGCTGTCCTTGATTGACCTTCAAACTCCATCTCCGCTCCACAAGACAAAGAAATGGGGGTTTCCCGCAGGATTTGCACACCTGAAATACAGAACAGGGCGAATTGGTGGGGGGTATAAGCAAACTAAAAGAAGAAAAGGCAGATATTACAGATATCCAGTGTGTTTGGGGGGGGGATGTCGTGCGCTTGTGAAGATCGCTGATGCCCGAATACGCCGCCAGCAGGAGAAGAAAACGAAGTGAAGGCCATGCAGCACGCTCATGCCGCTGCATTAGCCTCCTGTCGAAGTGCCGCTGGTCCTTGGAAGCCCGTGGCGGGCGGCACGTCGCGCAGCTCCATGCCCTGTGCGTCTCTGTCCTTGATCGACTTACGGTCGCGCAGATCACCGAGGCGCTGGTCGCCAGGTTGGTATCTGGCCTTGAAGCTGTAGTACGTGGGAGGTCGGGGCCGGCAGAGAACGACGAACCAGTTCTTGAGCATGCTTCCTTGCGTGAAAGCACGGAAACGCTCTTGCTTGATGAACTTGTGCGAGTTGATGTACTCCCTGGTCGTCTCTCCACGTGCCATGAGGAAGATGTGGTAGCCCATCAAAGCAGCGGGATAGCAGAAGGCTAAGCCGCCGTATATGACCATGGCGAAGGGGACGCGAAACTTGTCGATCGCACTGCCAAAGGAGACATCTTCCCGGCTCATGTAGACGAGAATCTGCGCCAGAGAGGCACCGAGTAAGTAAGCCGCAATGAAGGTTGCTGATGTGACAAAGGTAAAGAAATAGCGGTAGTTGCGTCTACCGACGCAGTTGTTGAGCCAGACACAGTGGTGGTCGTGGGTCTCGATACAATTATCGCAGAGGCGACAGTGGTGAGCGCGGGGAGGACGCCAGATATTACATGTCCTGCAGTGCTTTACAGGGACCTCCATCGCTGCAGTGGCAGATTCTGCCGACTTGATCAGGGTCCAGTCGTTAGTCGGGGGCTGTTGTCGCAAGGGATCGTTGTCTGCTTGGGAAGGGGGGAAGACGTGCTGGTTCCTAGGAAGGATCTGTGGTACAATGTGAGCAGCAGAAAACGGAAGCGAGTAGCAGCAGGCTTTGACTTACACCAGGGTCCGACACGGATGCGTGGAAGAAGGAAGACAAGCAGATGTAGAATACGTATGCAAAAGTGATTGGGATAGCGGGGCTGATATTATTCCACAACCACGGAGCTGAGAAGGCGAAGAAGAGCACTCCGGGAATGACCACCATGAGGCCAGTTGCAATGTTGATGGGCCTTTGCCTGGAGTTTTGGAATCGGCCTCCAAAACAGAAGACCATGTTGCCTTCGAAATGCTCGAAAACAAATCCTGGTTTAGCGGCAGGTATAGGTAGCTCAGACACTTCCGCGGGTCGACCAGAGCCCTCGCCGTTCAGTCGGGGAGAAGAGGCTGCAGAAGACAGCTTCTCAGCGCCAGGAGGCGGCACCCTGTTGGGCGTATTGACCCGTTCCTGACTTCGGCCTGGCATCAGAAAACTTGACCTGAAGGACCGCGGTGACTTAATCGGGCTCGGCAGGTTTCCCCTCTCCTTGTAGCTCTTGTCCACGTTGATGTTGAGATTCCTCGGTTCGAACGGCTTCCGCTGAAGGGGGCGCACACTGTCGGTCAAGCTGCCAGCAGGATAGTGACCATGCGTCGGACTGGTATTGGCCGTGATGCGGTCAAGTGTTTCTTGTTCGGTAAACTCGGTACCTCGCGAGGGCGGCGCTCGCAACTCTCCGTCGTCGCTTGTCTGGTTTTGAATGCGCACCATGGGATTCGAAATGATGCTCTGCCTTGTTCCGTCTCCAGATTCCTGCGCGTTCTCGTCGAGCGTCGGCTGCTGTTGATTGACGGTTTGGGGACGTGATGGTCCTCCTCGTTGGGCTTGCAGCTTCTGCGAGCTCAGCGGGTGGAAGAAGGCGTGCGAGGTCAGGGAGGGTACATGGCTGCGGCTGGTCGAGCTTGGTGGCCTGTTACTCGCGACGCTTCCACTACCCGTGCTGCCTCTCTTTGCGGCGAGCCCCGAAACATGACTCTTGCGGAGTGGCTGGGGGTGTCTCCAGCCGTCGCGCGAGCCCGAAAGGCCCGTCTTTGCCGTCCCGGGTCGCGACGCGGTGTCCGTGGTACCCTTCCTCTGTACACCAGCTGGATGATGTTGGGTTTCAGCTTCGCCACCGTCGTCTGAAGCGATGTCCGTCATACGCGAAGAGATGATGCTTGGTGGGCCCTGGCCCTCAGAACGTCCGGGAAACTGAGGAGTCGGAAAGTCATCGTGGGCGCTCGGCGACGTAGCCCGCCCAGTGTGATCTCTTGACGCCATTTGCGGGTGTGTTGTGTAAGTCTGTAGTCTTCTCGTCGGCCTCGAAGAAACAAGTCTGGCGTCGTGCAGGGCGTGTATCAAATCCCGTCGGCACCAGGTCGAGACGACGTCCACGCCGCTTCGATTTGGCAAGGGATGCGCGCTGTTGCCTCCGGGCAAAAATAAGGTCAAGGGGTCGAAAGTCGCGACAGGCTTCGTGATGAATGCGTTTTAGTTCTAGCGTCGTTGACGGGAATACCGCGAAACTCTGTCGTCGGATCAGATCAAGGAGTGTTGTTGTTTGGATTAAAGGTCGGATTAGTGAGGGTAATGGCAGTATCGAACGACAGCGGGGAAGAAGGTCTACAACGAAGAGAAAGAAGGGAACGGTGGGTCATGCGATGAGAACCTGACTCCTGGATCGTGTGGTTCCTTTTGCAAGTCGGCGACCAGGCAAGAAGGTGAACCAGCTACGAGCAGAGTGGAGGGAAACGGGATGGGAGCCTGGGTCTGAGGCAAGCATGGGCTTGTGCTGCCCGACGAATTGTGACGAAGCACGGCCCTCCCCAAGGGGGGTCTGGGGGTCTGTTTCCGACCAATGGACAACGAGAGACGGTTGAGCGCACGGGCCCAGCTGGGTGCTGCATAAAATTACGCTTTCCAGGAGGTGTTAGTGCTACTGCTTACTACAGTGGTATCGCCTAACAGCAGCTTCCCTTGCTTGCTGATTTGCGCGTTCAGCGCGCTGACTGGATGCGAGAGAGCAGATTGATGCGTCTGCCTTTCGCTACGGCCTTTGTCGCGAATCTTCAGAGTGGTTCCGATGCTCCGGATGTACCGGTCGGCATTGGGGTAGGGCTCCCTGTTGACTAAGCCATTTCCTGTACAACTGCTTTGTGTGTGTTTACATTACCGCAATATCTTCGCTGATGTCAGAGTGAACCACGAAGAGTGATCCATGCACCCATCCATATGCAATTAACCCCTCTCGATGAGGTAATGCTCCGCTTCTGTTAATTGGCCAATCATATGTCTTGCAAAAATCCGGCCAATCAATCCTGCCGACAAACGTCAACCTCAGAACCTCGAGCCGAGCCCATCATACGACCGTCTTCAAAGACCTTCAAACCCACCCGATCAACCGACCTTGAACCCCCCCACCGTGAATCTCCCGACGCCTACGACTCAAAATGGCCTCCCTCATCGCCCGCCGCACCTTCACCACTTCCCTGCGTCGCATGACCGACCAGGGCAAGCAGCAGATCACCCAGGACTCCAAGCGCAACCCCGAGACCTTTGTGCGTGATATCCCCAGCGATGACGAGATGGCCGACAACATCCCTCGCATCCGCTGCAACCCACAATCTCTGAGAGCAGCAAGCTGATTGAGGCGGAATTACAGATTCTCGGTGGTGTCATGGTCCTCGCCCTCGCTGGCGCCGGCTTCTACTTCGGTACGCTTTCCTGACCCCTTCGACCGTGCTGCGAGATTGGTCGTGGCCAAACTCGCATGCAGGCATTGAGCCCACAGATCCGACGATGCCCGGTCCGAAACGATAGGCGCTCTGAGCTAACCTCGGTTCGCCCCCCTACCACAGGCAGCTCGCCCACCAAGTCGACCTCCGAGACGCACGTCGTCAAGGCCGGCTCTCCCTGGGAGACCGGCTCCAAGGAGGGTGCCTACCGCTACCACCCCGGCGGCGACACCAGCAACGAACCCAGGGACGCCCCCAGCGCCGTCAACACTGTCGTCCTGCCCAACGTCACCCTGCCCGCGGTACGCCCCTTCTCCCCTTCCCTCAAGTCCGTTGAGATGCGAAGGCTCGATAGCGAGCGACTCGCGCTTCGAATCATCTCGCAGGGCAAAAAAATGAAGAACCAACGCTAACGGCATGTTTCCAGGAGCTTCACGAGAAGTACAACAAGTGGGGCAAGGATGGCTACCCTTAAGCGTCTCCTGCTTCTGTACCAAAATGAGTGCGTCACGCGGAGCAGAGACGGTGGCCTGGGGATCGCAGACGTCGAGAGTAAGCTTCCGTTTGTAGATAGAGATGGAATGGGAAGCATCAGCTGTTTGAACCTTTGCGTCTGCTCTCGTGCTGTACCTGTCTACAAAGGTCGTCCACAACATGTCGCTTGATTAGGTTGAAGTATTTCCCATACAAGCCCGGCGCCTCGTGCTTCGTTCGAGCTATCAAACGCAGATTCTCGCGGATTTTAGCATGTGAATGGCGAGGGGAATCCGTTAGAGTTGGCAAAGAAAAATACATCCAAGAACTAGGCTGAAACCAACACTGCAAGGATGAGGGCGAGGCGATGTAGGTCGACTGCTGAAGGCCCTTACAGCTCCTCTCGTCAACGGAATTCGCTTCCTGTCCTGAGTACTGGCCTTCTTGATGTAGGAGTGCCAGAGTTTGGTGCTTCAACTGAATATTTGGTACAGTGAATATATATAGAACCCCAAGAATGTGTTTGGATAGATCCCTTTTCATAGCTTGCAGCCAGATCATTGGTCTTGTTAAACCATTGCAACCATATTTTCAACGGAGGGCTGGACGCAGACACGAATGACGCCTCGTGAAATTAGTCGACTACTGACTGTGTATCAGTCGTTTCAGACACAGCACTTGATGTAGATGTACCCTCTCGAAGCCATCTGTATGACCATTTCCCAAGATCGGTGGCAAATACTATTGCCCAACCTCTTTGAGTGCCAGAGAGAGTGCACGTCTCTCCCAATTTGCATGAAGGCAACCTTGATATACAGAAAAGTCATCATTGCCCCTCAGGGAGTCATCTAAAGATCATACCTGTCTACGAAGAAAGCGCCTCTATCTCCTCGGCTGAGAAGCCAAACATGTACAGCAAGTCCAGCAGGCTGTCGCCATTCAGACGGGCGTCAGCCTCCATCTGCACCCTCGGCTTAGCATTCCACGCGACGCCGAGACCGGCCGCCTCCATCATGAGCAAATCATTGGCGCCATCACCGACAGCCACGACCTGCGACAGATCAACACCCTCCTGCTGGGCAATCTGGACAAGGAGGTCGCGCTTGCGCTCCTTGCCAACGATGGTGCCCTTGACCTCGCCCGTCAGGCGGCCGGTGGCCTCGTCAATGACAACTTCATTGGCGTGGGCATGATCGATGCCCAGCTCGCCGGCTAACCAGCTAGTCAGGGGGAGGAAGCCGCCAGAGAGGACGGCCGTTTTGACGCCGAGGCGTTTGAGCGCCTTGATCAGTTTGGGGACGCCATTTGTAACGTCGAGATCCTTGCGCAGGTCGGCAAAGATGGAGGCGGGCAGACCAGCGAGCAGCTGGACACGCTCACGGAAGGCAGCATCGAATTCGAGCTCACCGAGCATAGCGCGATGGGTGATGTCAGCGACCCGAGCGGCGAGGTCGGGGGGGTTGGTAATGGTGGCGGCGAGAAGGTCAATGACCTCCTGTGTAATGAGGGTGCTGTCCATGTCGAAAACTACGAGACGCGGGTGGCGGCGCCAGAGAGTATCAGGCTGAAGGGCGACATCGACTCCCCACTCCTGCTCGAATCGATAGATGAGCTCGTGCTTGCGGAGGTCGCGGAGCCCGAGGAAAGACGGCGAGGGCGCCGGCGACAGGGTCAGCTCGACGACTCGTGGGCTGTCCTGCCGGTCGAGGCAGCGGTGGGACGAGTTGAGGTCGGTCTCGCCCTGGGGAAGGGGGAACGTCGACATGAGGTGGAGGAACGAGGTGATGCAGAGGGGCGAGATGTATGAACCATACAGGTGGTCAAGCTGCTCAGGCTCGGCGGCCGGGGGCTCCAGAGGGAAGGCATCGGGATTCTGCGTGGGCGCCGAGTTGGCGGGGATGTTGCTGTCCGAGGCAGAAGGGTCGACGGAGGAGGCGGCGTTGGGAGGGGAGGCGGCGCCCGAGTTGGCGGCTGACAGGCGCGGCTCGTTGCCCTTGTAGAAGAGCGTCGCAATCAGGCGGTTCGTCTCAGAGCCGGCGAGAGGCGTGCAGTTGGGGTGGGAGTAGGCGTGGTTGATGCCGCTCTCGACAATCGTCGGCGGGTTCTCGGTCGAGGGAATGCCATTGAAGGCCTGAAGCTGGCGTGAAGGGGAGACTGATGTGCGGCCCATGTCTTCGACTACAGTATCGATGCCGAAGCGGCCCTCGGGGTGGTGGGGCGGGCGGTACTGCTGGTGCTCGCGCAGGAACGAGCTGCTCCTCATGGCAGAGTTCAGCTGAGGCCGAGGTGAGTTGGTCGCAGAGAGGCGCCTTGCGGATGCCGTGGGTTCAGCCATGGCGATGTCTGGAGGCGATGGTGAGACTTTTGTCGCGATCGAAAGACTGGCGACCGAAACCGGTTCCAGCGGCGGGGTACCTAAATTGAAACGGGAGGTCGACAAGGCGAGGAGGCTGGAAGCAGAAAGGACTGTGCGCGAGCCAAATTGCCGTGGTGGTGAGGAAGGGCAGAGGCAGAGAGCAATGGACGTGACAATCACACACTCTAGGACGTGGAATTCCTAGGCAAAGCCCATCACGTACAAGGATCGCACAAGTTGGGAGAGAATTGTCCGGCGACCATCAACCATGGAGGGGGAAATCCTGCCCCGCCGTCTCACGCCAGAACCGGGCGGAGCCGAAGAACCTGTCAAGGGACGTACGTGGTTGGTCAGATCAGGTGACAGGCACCACCTTCCCCGTCCCCCATCGTGCTTTCCCTTGGCAATTGGGTGGGAGATGCGCTGCGCAGGCAGCTTCAACTGCCCGCCCCGCTCAGTTTTCCTGGTGTATTGAGTCTAGCTGACATCATTATGGGAAAGAGCTCCCTGATTCTCGTGATGTCAAGATGCTGGTATTGCCCGACCTCACCCACCCAGGCAGTCGGGTGCTCGGATGAGGAGCTAAGTCTGGGATGTGCTTCCAGGGGTTCGTAGGGCTGACAAGGGGGTTGGGAATAGAGGCATTATCTTACCTTCGAAAAAGAAAAACAATGATGGCATGCGTGATTTACATGAATGGCTCGGGAAGGGACACAACACTCGGGTGACCTGGCTGATGTAGCTCGTCTTTTGATGGCGGCGACGATGAGAGAGCACTTTCATACTAGTGAATCCTAGCTGCTCATGACGTCGAAATCCCCCTAGGCTGACATTTAACAACGTCGTCTGAAAGAATACTGACGAGTAGCATGCAGAAAGCAATCCATCGATGTTGTGCGGGTACGGCATGGACCACCTATTGATTAGGTACTTACGCTACCTGCCTACCCACGAGGTACGGTAAGGTATCGATCAGGTTTATGATGCTCCAGCGAACAAAGCAGCAGTGCGAAGGGACAACCATCGTGAAATACAGATCAAGGGCACCAAGGCAGCTATGTCCTCGAGCATGTGCTACCTTAGTAATAAAAGAAAGCTCATGTGCTCGCGAGTGGTCCATTTGCCACCTTGACATGGCTGTGACGATACGTGCCTGGGCTTCGATGCTTATTGATCGCCGGATGAGCTGACTTGCACAACAGGACGGGGGTTCTCCATCGCTGAGCCTTCGGCGATAGCACTCGAGTCCCGAGCCATGACTCTCATTCCTTGGAAGCCTAACACAGTGGTCCCGAAGACGGCCGGAGATGGTCCCCTCACCCAGGAAACCCTCCCATCGCGCCAGACACGGCTATTGGCATCAAGGGACATGCCCCCGCAATTCGCCATAACAACGAAACATCACGCCTTCAATCGTGACCTCCGCCCCCAGCTTTTCTCAAGGTGGACAGACTCCAATATTTCCGGAGAGAGGGGCAAGGGGAGGGGGGGGCCGTAGACAAGACTCCGGTTCAGGCCCTCGTTGAGCAGGCCGCTGGCAACATAAATTGAAGTCACAGCCCTCGCATCCCGTGTTCATGATGACCCGCGCGCAATCCCAGCGAGATCGAGCTGAGAACCCGCCATCCCACGCTCGCCCCCCTCGCGCTGTGTTCGCAAGTGAAGATTTCTCACCCCAAGTCGCGAGTACCCCTCCGCCTCATCCAAGCACACCAGCGTCAACGATCGATTGCGCAATGTCACGTGACATGAAAAGTCTCTAATACGGGGGCATCCCGTCTTGAAGCGCCAATCACATACCCTCGTCATCGTCACGAAAGGCCTAGCGCGGATGTCGTGATCGTTTTCTGTGGCCCTTGGCTCGAAAAGGCTCCAAGCACTCCCACAATTTCAACCTCACTTGGTGAGCATTGGCTCCGTGTTGCGTGCGCAGCGCCTTCTGCGTCCGGTTTCTGAACGGCGATTGCGCCATCGCTTGTGCGGGTTTTTGCTGTGAATCGTCTGGCCGAATACCTGTCTGGTCTCCATTAGTAATGATGCTTTGTGATGTTTGCTCGCTGTTCCTCCTAACGCTCCCGGGTATGCGCAGGGGGGGAGGGTAAGAGAAGGGAGGGCCACCCACCTTTTGATTGTTCCCCGGCTACGGAGGCCCCGTGTAAGTCGCTGACAAGCCTTCCCACGGTCCGCCATTCCCCAGCTGCTGCTCTCTTTTAAACCATCTTCTCCCACTTCACAACATCTTCGACTTGATCAGAACCGTATTCCACTACTGTTCGAGAACTCTTGCGTCATATCCTATCCTGGAAGACACCCTCGTCCCCAGACCACAATACCCCAGATCCTCCAAGTCCAGATTCGGACCAGAATCCCATCAGTCCAAGCACTCACTCGCGTGCCCCTCCTACTACCACAAGCCATCCCTCTTCCCTCATACCCCTCCTTTTCCAGCACGAAGTCCTCCTCTCTCTCCCCCTCACTACCTTCCAAGAAGGACAAGAAAGAACATGTCCGTCTCCATGGCCACGCAAACGTCCGGACCCTTGAGGGTCGAGACCGTTCACGAGACCAAGCTGGAACACCAAGAGGTTGAGTCGGGATACGCCTCAGCCACAGACTCGACCTCGACGGCCTCATCCTCCACCAGCGCTCTGCCCCGAATCTCCCTCACCAAGGCGCACCTCAACCACCTCAACTCCCAGATGGAGAACATGGATGCCATGGAGATCCTTCGTTTCTCCAAGGTCATGTTCCCCAACCTCTTTCAATCCACAGCCTTTGGCCTGACGGGTCTCGTCACCATTGACATGCTGTCCAAGATCCAGACCGAGTCGCCCAGCTCGGCCCCCGTCGACCTCATCTTCCTCGACACCCACTACCACTTCCAGGAGACTCACGACCTCGTCTCGGCCGTCCAAACCCGCTACCCCAACGTCAAGCTTCACATCTACAAGCCGCACAAGGCCGACACTCTCGCCGAGTTTGAGGCCACCTACGGCGACCGTATGTATGAGAAGGACAGTGAGCTGTATGACTGGACGGCCAAGGTCGAGCCGTTGCAGCGCGCCTATGAGGAACTCGGTGTCGCAGCCATCCTCACTGGCCGTCGTCGCTCTCAAGGTGGCGCCCGTGACAAGATGCCCATCATCGAGATCGACGACGAGCGTGGCGTCATCAAGATCAACCCCCTCGCCAGCTGGTCCTTCGCCCAGGTCCGCGATTACGTCAAGAACAACAATGTGCCCTACAACGCCCTGCTCGACCGCGGCTACAAGTCCGTCGGCGACTGGCACTCCACTTCGCCCGTGGCTGACGGCGAGGACGAGCGCGCCGGACGCTGGAAGGGCCAGCAGAAGACCGAGTGCGGCATCCACAACAAGAAGTCGCGCTATGCGCAGTACCTCGAGGAGCTCGCGCAGAAGGAGAAGCTCGACGCCGCCGCCGCCGCGCTCGAGAAGGTCGAGGCCAGTCAGTCGGTGGCCGTCTGATACGTCAATTCCTTCGTGTGTCTGGCTCCATGATTAATTGTACATATGACGGATGACGGGACGGCACCTGCATGACGGCGTTACGGGAGATATACCCCCCGGGGGGTTGGGAAGCATATTGGCGTTTTTTCTCTCTCTTTCTTGTTGTTACCTGTCATGGGTTCAAAAAGCGGAAGCATAGGATGTCGGCTGGATGGAACCGCCCAAGACAATCCACGATATTTGAATCAAAGCATAATGAAACGAAGCGGATGTTCCTACTGTGACGTGCATTGATTTGAAAGTGGCATGATGAGGTGAGGTTGATGTCGGGTCGGAAGCTGGGCAACCCCTCGTGACGCGGCTCCAACTCGACCCCGCTCGGGGCTTGATCGTCGACCCAAGTCCGGCAATCCGCGGCTGACGACAAGTGCCCAGCGGGTCGGTGAATGACCGCTTGGTGACGAAGCTGGGCTCGCATTTTCAGAAGGGTCCGGCTTGGTCTGCATGTTCAACATAGGCTGTCCGGGGAGGAATCACTGAAGCTATTTACCCCGCGGTGAGGGCATTACCGTGCGAATAATGAATACTCCCTGGTGCTCAGCAAAACGTATCTCCAGTCAATATTTGCCCACGCTAAATACATCATGAACCACGTGAATGTGTCAAGTTTGTTTCTAGCACACTCTTGAATTCATCTCTCAGTCTGTCGTGGTTTTGTGTCGACAGTTGATGATGAGGATAGGAGCGGGGCACAGTGCGATATCGCGCGGCGTGTTTTGTCTTTTTCAACATCATTTTGACTGTTAGACAACTCAGTCTACTGTTCGGGCGACTTATTGTCCTACTTCATTTCACATTTCAGCTGTCAAAAAAAAGAAAGAAAAAGCTCTCATCTGTTCTTGTATACTCCACCATGTCGTCTGAGCTACCAGCGCCGCCAGCTAGCTTTGTGGCGCGAAAAGACAAAATCCTGCAGCAACTCAACGTCCCTGTGTCAGACTACACAGACTTGTCACCCAAAGGCTCGGTAGATGCCAACATTCGCGACCTCATAGACGAGCTCAACGAATTTGACGGACTTGTCACAACGAGCAGCTGCGGCGGCCGTGTCAGTGTTTTTCTTGAGGGGCGTCGTGATATCGCTGCCGCCTCGTCCGGCGATGCTGTGGACGATAGGCAAACCCAAGCTGGCGTAGGAGGGAAAGGGGGCGGAGGAACATGGCTGTTTGTGTCCCATGATCGCGTTGACATGAAGACTGTCGAGGACGAAGATGCAGCAGTGCGGGTGATGGGCCTGGATGTCACTGGAGGGAGCCCAGTCGGCATTTCCTCGAAAAGGCTCATACACTTCAAGTTTGAACCAATGGTAAGAATTATGCTGCTTCTCTCCACATCGTATTATACCATCCCCTGCAGCTGAATCGAACGTTTCTCGCTTACTGACATTTTCAGATACTCCATGTTTTAACTGCCTCCACTGCTCACGCCCAGCTTCTCCTCAAGTGTGCTTTCCAGTCTGGATTTCGCGAGAGTGGCGCATTGAACATCACCACGGCCAACGACAGCCCCATCATACCCATGGTTGCCGTTCGCACCATGGGACTGAGCTTCGAGTCCCTGATCGGCGTTGAGACGGAGGATGGCCGACGAGAAGCCATTGTGTCCGCATCATACCTGAAAACACTTCTTGATATCGGAAACGACCGCTTTGTCGAAAATGACAAGAGAATAGCGAGATTCCGCTCGGCGTTGAGAGATGCCGTCACAGGTCGCCCAGTCAAGGTTGGAGAAAACGGTGTGGACTGGGAGGATCCTGCGGCCAGGAAGGAGCGCAAGAGAGCAGAAGGGCTAAGGCGCAGAGCTGAGATGGCCGCTGCGGGACGAGATGGCAGCGTGGCAGGCAAGCATCACGAGAGCACACCGGACCGAGATGACGACTTGAATGGCGATGATGCCCTCGACGGTCTCTTCTGACCAAGGCATCCACTTTAGTCTATACTCGTATCATGCCTCCCGTGCCGTCCACGCTGCTGCTGACATATAATACAAGCTTGCTACACCTAGCCGCTCGATGCTGCTCGGTGATGTTCCTTTTTCGCCCCTGCTTCGCGCTCGCTCAAGAGATGACCTTCTCGACCCAACCCTTTTCCCAGTTCTTCACCTCGCGCTTGAAAGCCTCAACCTCCTCCCAGCAGTCCAGCGGTCGACGGTCGTTCTCCCGCAGGCACCGCACGACCTCGCTCCGCGCGCTCTCAACGCCCTCGGGCAAGTCGCGCACCTTTCGGCGCTCCTCGAGCTTAGCCCTCAGCGCCTCGACCTCCTTCGTGACCGACTGGCGGCTGCGCGCGCTGGCATCGGGAGCGGGCGCCTCGTCCTCGGCGCTAAACGTCTTCTTGAGGTGCTCGGCCTCGCGGGCCTGGAGCTTCGTCAGCTCCTCAGCGACGCGAGCCTGAACCTGAAGCTCAGAGAGCTGGGCGCGGGAAGCATCGGTCTAGTTATCTCCATGTTAGCGACACCAGACAGTAGGATGTTGGGAAGGGCGCAGCGTACCTCGCGGCTCGTCTGTAGGGAGTCGATGAGGTCGTGGGATACGCCTGCGGGCGCGGACCTGCATGGCGACTTGTCAGTAGTGTTGCTCCATGTCAGGCCAGTTGAGGCCATGGAAATGATTCACGTGAGGTCGTACCCTGTCCACTGATGCAGAGACGTGCTGGAAGACGGCTTTGACTCGCTAGCGCCCATGATTGCGGCGTCAATGGGTTTGCGATGGTATTTGATGCTGGCCGTGATGCAATGGAAATTCCCGGACCTTCAAATCGACATGCCGAAGCTCGGTGTTGGCCTGAAAACTGAGTGTCCGTCATCAGGCACATAATGGACAGCTGTCGCCGATTCCGCCAGCTGGCGCCAGAAACTGACTCATCATGGTGATCACATCATCACGAGTCAAGTGTTATGACTTTCACGTGATATTTTCGTCTAAGCTTATTTGGATCTCGGATCGCAGCCCCATCCGCCAGCCTCTTTCTGGAATCTATGGGTCCGTCCCATCAATTCGAAGGCATCTGGTGCTGACCATCTATTTCTCTTCGCGACCAGCATCGACACAACATGGCAACATCGTTGTCTTGACAGGGACCAGGACCAGGATGGGCTCCTCACCGGCTCACCGCCGTCAAGGGCTCGGCGCGAGGTGGGATGAACGCCAAATGCCTCGCCTGCAGCAAAGCTACAGGGCTTCACACCCTTCTTGAGCACGTCCACCTGATACTGGCGGATCCCCCAATATCGCTGAAACGGCCCAAGACGGCACGCGCCAAATGACTTCATCTTCACGAGACAGGCGCCCTGGCAGCTGTCAGCGCCAGCCAGCTCGATGGCCGTGCCAGGGCGGCCCCTGCCTGTACTGTCCCGGGCAGGCGGTTAATGACCTTACCACGGCGCGCCGCTCGTTCTTGTCAGTGTCGCCTGTCAGCGCATCGCCAGTCCGTGCCACGGTGCCAAAGCAGGCGACCATTTCGGAAGCTGGCGCCGAGATCGCGAGCGGACATCAGATCCAAATGGAGCCGGGAGGCGCAAAAAAAGCCTAGGCGCGCTCCGCCGCTCATTACCCTGCGACGTGGGGCTTGGAGCCCGCATGAGCTCGATATGCTTTTTCTCGGCCGCATTGGAGCACCTAATCGCTACAACGTGCACCGTCCCTGTCGTCACATCCCGCGCCCATCAGACGAGGATCATATGAGATGTTGCGATCTGGTATATGAAGGGATGGGATGGCTGATATGAGATGTCTGGGACCGACGCCGCCGAGCCACCCTCGAGCCATCCTGTCACACACGTTGGCGTATTGTTGGCAGGCTCGATGATGGTAGCACAAGGTCGTCCAAGCGAGGGGGAATGAACTACGGAACCTTCGGTTGGCGAGTACGAAGATGACCCGTTCGACCGTCAATCCATTTTATGCGGAGTATTGGGTGATGCGGACCAGTGAGGCAGTGGGCCCCGGCGTCTTTGTCACATTCCTCGCATTTGACGGATGTCGTGGAAAGCTGGAAGAGGGGTCTTTTGAGTGCGTGGTGAGAAAATCGGATGGTGGTAGAGCGTGTCTGTCCACCATCTCTCCACCCTTGTTCCCCTCACCTCTTCGGCCTCCGGGCGCCTTTATGCTCCACTCCTGAGTTGACCATGGTGGTGCTCGGGCTGGTATCTGCACGGGATGCATGGCTTGCCTACTATGGGAGGCTTGTCTATTGACGACGTCAGATTCATTGAAAGCCATGACGGAAACCTGATGTCCGTTCGTGTGACTAGAAGCATGACTAGATGACAAACGCAAGTTGAGCGTGACGTCGCTGCTGGATCAATGACTGGTCTGCACAGCCTGAAGCATTCCAGAACTGGACGGCCATGTGCGTGCTGCTGTGACCTGGTGGTGCCACATGGGTCGAGACTCAGAAATCTACCAGTATTGAGTTGGCCAAGCGAATGGAAGGAAGAGGCGAGGAACAAGCCCACGTTGAGCCTGGCCCATCCAATCATTCCAGGGGCCCTTGGTGGCCTGGGGCCTGTCGGCTGCGCCGCCCGCTGCGCTTCCCCTGGCGGCTGGGCGCGCGCGGCGGCGTAGACCCCTCCCTGCGGAATCCTCCTGAGCAGCTATGAGCCAACCAAAAGGCTCCAAGGTGGCTGGCTTCGGGAAGCTTTGGGCCAGTCCCAGGCGTCGTTGGCCCTCTGCGCATGGCCACTTGAAGCGGCCGGCCGAACAATACGGACCAGTTGTAGGACGAGAACGCCTGTTGTCCGAAGCTGTGGTGAACGCAAGGCCCCTCCTCGGCCTGCCCGCTTGGTGGTCCTTGAACGTTGATACGATGACGAGCCAAGTCGCCTATAGTGCCGGTTCGTCCTGACTCTGGGGAAAAAATTGCTTTTGACCGTGTCTGGCTGTCTTACCGGGACATACTGTCTCTCAGCTCCCAGACATACGTGGGCTCCCTCCGTTCGAATCAGACGATGACAGACCAAAGTCGTCGTGTGGCACTTCGAAGACCAGAGAAAAAGCCGTATGCAGGGGACACCGACACACCTGCTACGCACAGTCGTGGGCCGCCGGTGAGAACAAGCCAGGATGAAGAAGACTCCATGGGACCCCGTTCAGAACCCATATTCCCAGTTGAGTAACTGCCCAGACCAGGGCATTCACTCTGTGCGCGTTATCAAAAACGTACCTCTTCCTTCCTCGTGGTGTCTCGCAAGCCTGGGCCGCCACCTGGTTCAGGGGTGAAATGCATCTCGCCCGCGGCAAGCTGACGGTAGGCGGGTTGGCAAGCAATGAGAGTAGGCCTGTGCCTGGCAGCGTGGAGACACCAAGCAGGGCCGGCCAGGGGTAGGGGAGGTGGAGAGGAGGGGTGGGGGGAGAATACTGGACTGGAGCCAGTCCTGAAAGGCCTGCGCAGTGCTTTTCGTAACCCCTGGCCTCCTAGACTGGCGGTCCTGTTCCTGGTTCCGATCCTGTCAATGTCGAGTTGAATCTCAAGTATACCTTGCGTCCCGTTCTTATTCGTGCTCCCGCCCCTCCTCTTCTGACTGATCTGCTCCTCTTCACCTTCGCCGATCACTTTCGTGTGTTTGCATACTTTGTCTTCACTTTCTTCTCTGATTAGAGGTTGGATTTTGCTGCTTCATTTCGGTTTTTGGGTTTTGAACGCAAAGAAACGGACACGGATTTACGAAACAAACCACCCTTGAGATTTCCGTCACTGCCCGTTCTGCACCGACTCGATCGTGCCTGCCGTGCATACACTATCAATCCACTCACCGAACCTCACCGAGGCAACCGCACCTTCCGTTCTCTTCATCTTCTCATTCTTGACGCTGCGCGGTGCCTCTTGTTAGGAAGTCGCCCACATTCGTTTCTTTCTCCATCTCCACCTCTCAATCTCTCTCTTTCGACAGCTTGCTGTGCACGCAGAATTTACCGCTCTTTCGGCCACTTCATTCGTATTCCAGCAAGCAAACGACCAGGACGACACCAGCCAGATCAAGGGAGTCTTTCAAGGGAACACACACACACACACACCCTCTCGGATCACGCATCGACACTTGATTGATTTGAGCATCGTCATTTTGCGCATCTCTGCTGATCGACAACATTGATCTCTTTGACATCAGCCTGCCGACCACGTCTGTGCCTTTGAGCAAGATCGACAGCCTTCGTTTCGTTCTCGCTTGGGTCTGTGGAGACAATCGTCCCCAGGAATCTTGGACCCTCCACGCCAGCGCCGACGTCTTCACCCCATCCCTAGAGGCTGGGAGCATTCCTCGGCGATTGAGACAGGGCGCGTCACCCTCGGACACTGTTCTTTGGCCATTACAAAGGCCTTGCGTTCCGTTTCAAGGGTCCTGCTTTCCTCTGTCACTCGTCGTTCGTCCACCCTGGACAATGCTCTTGTGTGACATTCTTCATTGATTCAAACTACATTTCTATCCGACCGCGTCGGTATTTTCCAGTCACGTCCGGCTGCCTGCAGAAGCACCGAACCGGCTCGTTCGCGATTTTTACGGGGAGATTCTTACTCATTCGCCATCCTTGGCCACTTTCACGCCCACCAAACAACACTCACTCTCATCATCAGCATCAGCGATAACCTTGCATAGCAGACCTATACCCCTCAACTTCATCGCAATATGTCCTTCCTCCGCCGCAGGCTCGCGGACCTGGACTCCCTCCCCACGCCCATCGACAGCTCCATGGCCGACCTGGGCACCAGGGCAGAGGTGCCCGAATCCACCTCCACCATCGCCCCCTATCACTCCAACCTGGCTGGCGTCAATCAAGCCCTTAACTTGGCCTTCGTCGACGCGCTCTGGTGGACACTGGGCATCATGGCCATGATCATCCTGGTGATCCGGTTCGGACAGATCGCCTGGGCCCAGCTTCGACGAGTTTCAGCCATGGCCGTCCCCGCAGAGGCTCAAGAGTACTGGAAGAGGGCACAGTCAAACTGGATGCCTTGGTTGAAGCGCAACATCATCTACGCCCCCTTCTGGAAAAAGCGCCACAACCGTGAGTTCAGGCTCTCCAAAGCCGGCCACATGGGCGTCCTCCCATCTCGCCTTCACAGCATTATCCTCTTCATCTGGCTGGCGAGCAACTTTGTGTACATGTTCGTCCTCAACTGGCGCAACGCCAACGTCTTCTCCTTTGCCGCCGAGGTCCGTGGACGCTCTGGAACCCTGTCTGTCGTCAACATGGTACCCCTGATTATCTTTGCTGGCCGCAATAACCCCTTGATCTCCTGGCTGAAGATTAGCTTTGACACCTACAACCTGCTCCACCGCTGGATGGGCCGTTTGTCGGTCATTGAGGCCGTCATCCACACCATTGCTTGGATGTACGTCAGGCATGCCGACGGCGGTTGGGAGGCTGTCACCTCTCGCATCTTCCACAAGGCCTTTGAGGCATCCGGCATGCTAGGTACCGTGGCTCTTGTCCTCATCCTAATTCTCTCGCTTTCGCCCATCCGCCACGCTTTCTACGAGACCTTCCTCAACGTCCACATCATCCTGGCGCTCATCACCTTCGTCTGCACCTACATTCACTGTGTCGCCTCGGCCCATCCCGGTGGCCTTCCTCAGCTGCCCTGGATGATGGCCATCTTCGTACTGTGGTTCGCTGAGCGCCTCGCTCGCGTCCTGCGCACGGCCTACATGAACTGGTCCGACAGGGGTCTGACCGAGGCCGTCTGCGAGCCCATGCCTGGTGACTGCACCCGAGTTACCATGCACCTGCCCCGTTACGTCGACGTCAAGCCCGGCACTCACTGCTATCTTCGCTTCGCCAAGGTTTCTCCTTGGGAGTGCCACCCTTTCTCTGTCGCCTGGGTCGACCATATTCCTATCCACGACAAGCTTGGAATGAACAACTCTGACTTTGACGAGGAGAAGCAGCCGATGAACGCCGTTGACCGTAAGAACTCAACAACGTCTGTATCCTTCGTCATTGGCGCCCATACTGGCTTCACCCGCAAGCTCTACGACACCGCACGTGCCTCGGGTGCCCCCGCTATCACACTCCGCGCCGCCCTCGAGGGCCCCTACGCCGGCCATCACGAGCTTGACTCATATGGCCACGCGGTTCTGTTTGCTGGCGCTACCGGCATCACTCACCAACTTTCATACCTCAAGCCTCTCATCGAAGGTTACAACGCTGGCACTGTGGCGACAAGGCGCATCACACTTGTTTGGATTGTGCGTGACTACGAAGCGCTCGAGTGGGTGCGCCCTTGGATGGACACGGTTCTGCGCATGCCCGGCCGTCGCGACATTCTGCGCATCCAGCTGTTTGTGACACGACCCAAGAACCCGCGCGAGATCGTTTCCGCAAGCTCAACTGTTCAGATGTTCCCCGGCCGACCAAGCGTCGCGACGCTCCTGCGCAAGGAGGTCGAGGAACAGAAAGGCGCGATGTGTGTGACAGTTTGTGGACCTGGCGCACTTGCCGATGACGTCCGACATGCTGTACGACAGGTCCAGGACGAAGACACGGTGGTCGACTTTGTGGAGGAGAGCTTTACGTGGTAAAGCATATCTTCTGCCCCTTGCGCGAGCATACTGAGCGAAGTTGTTTTTCACGTCTTTGGAGAGAAAGCTCTCCGTACATACGGCCGATACCTTGAACATAGTCAAACCGGGAAAGAAAGCGAGGAGTGTAGGTGGGAGGCGTCACAGACACGCCCAGTGATACATGGGACGAACTGCTTTCTTTATCTTGCTTTTTTTTGTGCGTCTTGCTTCTTGCTCATCAGCACTGAGCCGCAACGTCATTTTTCTTTCTGTGTATATCTAATCTTCTTCACTTCCTCCTTTTCCCCTTTTAGTGGCCAATTGTTGGTCCATCTTGTTTGGAGTAATTTTTTGGCGGTGTCTCGTCTGGATAGAGCGATACAGAAGAAGGAGACAAAGAGAGCTGGGCAGACTCAGGAGATGTCTGTGTCGGCCGATAGGCGGTCATCAAGAAATGCCGCGAAGAAGATGTGTGAGGACCAGGAGGAGCTTCACAGGACCTATACGCCGTGTCAATCGGCCTCAATCAAATCATTTGAAATATCTTAGGTCATATTCGTGCTTTGCCGTGCCATACAGTGGTTGGGTACCGGGAGGCTGTCTCCAACATGCCGACGACGTGAGATCACCGTCTGCTCTACAAACCGGCTGTTTGCTAGCCTTGCGGTGAGTGATCCTCTTGGAGCAGAAGCACGCACGCACGCAAATATGCGAAGCCAGTAGCGTTGCGTCCGATGCATCCACTATGACGATGAACTTCGACTCAGCCAAGCTGGCCAACCGCAATAGTGCTGGTAGTTAATGCTCAGTGCCGATGCAATCTGCAGGTCGCCTGGCATCTGCGGCGCGCGAGACATGGACAAGAATAGCACAACGTACTCGCCGCGAGGACGGTTCATTCCTGAACGGGCTCCGACAGGGAGCCCAGAATGACGGGAACCACTCCAAAACAGGACCCAAAGCTCTGACGACAAAATGCAATCTCAGTGAGATCAAATGCAGTCTGTCTCTCCTGTGACAGAAATGCACGGCCCTACCACGTAGGCACCTTCTGCCTATCTCCCTACCTTCCAGGGCTCTGTGTGACTCGAGTCTCCTCCGAACCGATGGACCTAGGTGTGCTGCAAGGGGTGTCAAAAGAGAGGACCCAGGGGTGTTTTCTTCCGTCGTGAAGGCATGATATGCAGATACTTTAGGTGTCATAATGTTTTGACCTGGATTATAAGTCTTGGCTTAGCACAATACTGCGCATACTCCGTTGGCTCTGCTGAAAGCATCTGGTTCGTGGCTTGTGGTGGGTAGGTACCTGGGTGAAGGGTCATTTGATGGTAGCCAATCACTCCATTTGCACACCCCTCATTCCCACAACTGACTCGCCCCCCCTTCCTTCCTTCCTTCCTTCCAAGGCAGCCGCCGTTACTGAGTGGCAGCCGCCTTTGCTTTGGATTCGAGACCTCTGCGCCCCTGCCAATAGGGTGCCTGTAGATGCCTACACTTATCAAGGTAAGGCACCTTGGTGAGGCACCTTAGGTACCTGTGAGGTGAACCAGTCAACCCTCTCGACTAAATCAACTTTTACCTTCAAAGGCAGCAGGGCATGTCGCTGCTTCATTTTCCCCTTCGACAACACCAGTTTCGGCCGTCCTTCTTCTGCCTCGCCCAGATGGGAAAAACCAAAACAATACAACAACAAATAACTCCCCTGGCCAACAACAAGATCGTACATCAGCGAAGAGGAGCCGGCAGCACAATAACCCACCCAAGACATCCAACCTGGCGACAGTGACTGGACAGTACTGTACTCCCGCCTGGCTGCCTTCTCCACAACTCATTTCGCGCCCTTACCCACGCCACGCCTCCCCCCCTCCCCCCCCTCGCCTAACGCCTAACCCACGCTCACGGCCCAGGGTTCGGCACCTTACCCTCTCAGCCCTCTGGCACTGGCATAGGCGCTGGCAACTGCATCCAGCTGGCTTGATCGTGACTTCCCTGAGAACGCCCAAGGACAAAGTGGCGGTCGAGACTGGACTGGACGACTGGACCTCCACACTGCGACCAGGCCTGTGATCGTCAACAACCTCTCTAGCAGCATCTTTTTTCCCCTTTCACTGTCCCACCTTCGACCTGCTTCCCCCTCTCGATACCTTTTTTTCCTTGCCATCACGAACTTCATTCCCACCACACCGCACCATACTGCACGCTGCACCACACACAGTCGACCCGCCTTACCCCAACTACGAAGCGGTCAGAGTCACACCAATAATTCACACCCCCCCTCTCCCACTGTTTGGACCCTGGTTTCTGGGTGCGCCGCAACTGCGACTTTCCATTCAGAACCCCCCGCGTTTTCCACATCCCTCTGGCACGTGCGGCTCGTCGAAACCCTCTTCTTGACTTCCATCCACTCGACACCTTGACTTCATTTTGGTCCTGAGCCTACCCGTTCGATACGCCATTCATCATGTCGAGCTCCGAAATCAACCAGGTTTTGGGCAACTCGCTGTCTCCCGGTATGTTCTCTCTGTTGGCTCCCTTCCTTTCCGCCTCCTCATCTTGCTGTTCCCCCCCCACCCAAAGGCCCCTGGGAAAAAGCTATCTATCCTCCCAACAGCTCTGCCCTTTCCTACCGCTTCCGCACCACCACCTGTAACTGGACAGCATCACTGATTCCTGCCTCGCAGACGCGAACTTGCGACAGGCTGCCGAGCAGCAACTCACACAAGCCGCTGAGACCAACTTTGTACGTCATTCCCCTCACCCTTCTCTGCCTGTCATGACCCCCTCTTCTACACCCCCCCCCCTTCAAAACTTGCTTTCCTCCCGCTGGATTGATCGAAGAGCAACTACTAACAATCTTACACATGACAGCCGCTGTATCTTGCCACCCTAGTTCAGGAGCTCGCCAACGAGAACACACAAGGCTCCATCCGAGCAGCCGCTGGTCTCGCCCTAAAGAACGCTTTCACCGCCAGAGATTTTGCCAGACACCAAGACCTACAGACAAAATGGCTGCAGGGCACCGACGAAGAGACCAAAACACAGGTCAAGAACCTGACCCTGCAAACACTAGCCTCTTCCAACGCGCAGGCCGGTCAGGCTGCTGCCCAGGTCATCTCCTCTATTGCTGCCATTGAGCTGCCCCGCAACCAGTGGCAGGATTTGCTGAACATCCTGGTCAAGAACGTTAGCGAAGGAAACGATCACCAGAAGCAGACATCTCTGACTACGATCGGTTACATCTGCGAGAGCCAGGACCCCGATCTGAGGACTGCCTTGATTGGCCACTCCAACGCCATCTTGACGGCAGTTGTACAGGGTGCCCGCAAGGAGGAGGCCAACCTTGAGATTCGCCTTGCCGCCATCACTGCTCTTGGCGACTCCCTCGAGTTTGTTGCCAACAACTTCAAGCATGAGGGCGAGCGTAATTACATTATGCAGGTTGTCTGCGAGGCCACCCAGGCCGAGGACACGCGTATTCAGCAGGGTGCCTTTGGGTGCCTCAACCGTATCATGGCCCTCTACTACGATAACATGCGCTTCTACATGGAGAAGGCCCTGTTTGGTCTGACCATTCTCGGCATGAAGAACGAGGATGAGGACGTCGCCAAGCTTGCTGTCGAGTTCTGGAGCACGGTTTGCGAGGAGGAAACTGCCATTGAAGATGACAACCTGCAGGTGGGTATCCGGCCCAGCCATTCATCCCCATCCATTTAACCTGGCTTGTGCTGACTTCTGTGTGACTTCAGGTTGAGAGCTCCGACCAAATGCGCCCGTTTTACAACTTCGCTCGCGTCGCTGCCAACGAGGTCGTTCCTGTCTTGCTACAGCTTCTGACCAAGCAGGACGAGGATGCTGGCGATGACGAGTACAACCTTGCCCGTGCTGCCTACCAGTGCCTGGCTCTATACGCTCAAGCCGTTGGCGGCGCCATCATCCAGCCTGTTCTCCAGTTCGTCGAGGCCAACTTGAGGCACGAGGACTGGCACCACCGTGATGCTGCCGTCTCTGCCTTCGGCGCTATTATGGAGGGTCCGGACGAGAAGACTCTGGATCCCATTGTCAAGCAGGCATTGCCGATCATGATCAGCATGATGGATGACAGTTCACCCCAGGTCAAGGACTCGACGGCGTACGCACTTGGTCGTATCACGGAGAGCATCTCTGATGCTATCGATCCGGCCACCCACCTGGACCCTCTCGTCCGCTCTCTGTTTGCTGGTCTCATGAGCAACGCAAAGATTGCCTCGTCGTGCTGTTGGGCACTCATGAACCTCGCAGAACGCTTCTCTGGTGACTACGGTGCGGAGCAGAACGCCATGACCCCCCACTTCAACACCAGCGTCACCAACCTCTTGGCTCTCACTGCCCGGCAGGACGTGGACTCGTACGTCCGAGTTGCCGCCTACGAAGTCCTTAACACCTTTGTGCAGCAGTCAGCTACCGAAAGTCTGGCTCCTATCGCCTCTCTCTCTGGTGTGATTCTCGAGCGTCTTGAGGGCTCAATCCCCATGCAATCCCAGGTTGTCAGTGTCGAGGACAAGATCATGCTCGAGGAGATGCAGACGAGTCTTTGCACAGTGCTCCAGGCCATCATCATTAAGCTTGACAAGGAGATCATTCCCCAGGGCGACCGTATCATGGGCGCCCTGCTCCAGATTCTCAACTCTGTCGGCGCCAAGTCCAGTGTCCCTGATTCTGCCTTCGCTGCCATCAGCGCTCTTGCCAACGCCATGGAGGAGGACTTCAACAAGTACATGGAGGCTTTTACCCCATTCCTCTACAACGCTCTGGCGAACCAGGAGGAACCCAGTCTCTGCTCCATGGCTATTGGTCTTGTCAGCGACTTGACCCGGTCCCTGGGTGAGCGCAGCCAGCCGTACTGCGATAACTTCATGAACCACCTGTTGAATAACTTGAAGGTCAGCTGATCCGCTTCTTCGACTGTCTTCCCCACATGCTAATGTCATTCCCAGAGCACTACTCTCTCCAACCAATTTAAGCCTGCTATTCTGCAGTGTTTTGGTGATATCGCCGGCGCCATTGGTGGCCACTTTGAGACGTACCTGGCCGTCATTGCTCAGGTTCTCCAGCAGGCTGCCACGGTCAACGCCACCGCCGACGGCCCTTACGAGATGTACGACTATGTTGTATCCCTCCGCGAAGGCATCATGGATGCTTGGGGCGGTATCATTGGTGCTATGAAGTCCAGCGGCAAGAGTAAGTTGCGCTCCACAATACTGCTGCCCATCAATGCTAACTTGCGCAGCTGCTGTCCTGCAGGAGCAGGTGCCGCACATCTTCCAGCTTCTCAGCCAGATTGCTAGCGACATGAACCGTAGCGAGGCTCTCATGCGGGCATCCATGGGTGTCATTGGGTACGTCGCTTTGCTCGCCATCGCTTTTCCGCACACTAACTTGTAATCAGTGATCTCGCCGATGCTTATCCCAACGGGGAGCTCGTCGACGTCTTCCGCCAGGACTGGTTGACTACTCTCATCAAGGAGACCAAGACCAACCGCGAGTTCCAGCCCCGGACAATCGACACTGCCCGCTGGGCTCGCGAGCAGGTCAAGCGTCAGCTCGGCGGTGCGTCCAGCATCATGGCCCAGGCCTAGAGCGTCCCTGTTGGCCAGCAAGACCATATGCGCCGGTGTGACTTACCTCGACTTGTCACATAGCTCCATGCCTGAAGCAGCTGGCCCACTCTTTGTTGGCCCGTGGACCTACATTTCCACCAGGAGCGAGAGCTGCAACTTCCTTCCCCCCCCCCTATCATGACACTTCACAACACACTCGGACAGCAAGGCATACACGGATTGTGTATATAGACCTGACGCAGACCGCCCCTAGTACTCCCCCCAACCCTCCAATACCCACTACATCTCGAACACAATCCCCTTGCCTTCTCATCAAAAACATTACACCCATTGCCCACCCCCATTCCACAGCACTTGCTTGGCTGTATTTTTCTTGCGTTGCTTTACACGGCGGATGCCAGGCATAGAGAGGACCTCACCCCCTCATTTTTCATGTACGCCACGCTCGCAACAGCGTTGGCGAACCAAAATTCATGTAGACGGAGTTTTCACCCACGGACGGATTTGAATCACTTCGTGGAGTTACATCGGACAGGGAAGGAGCACGCGGGGGATGGTGTCGAGGTTCCGGTACGAGACACGGCAACGGGACACACGCATACACACGCAGCGAGCTATGAACGCATGCCCTGGGGCCGACCGCATCCCCGTTTCTTGATCTACGCTCAAGTGAGCGGATCTTTTGGTTGGTCAGGAGATCGGGTGGACTCTGTTATTTCAAAGGGGTCTAGGTCGGGACAAGGGGATATGCGTGATCAGGCTGAGCGCGGCGCAGTCGATTGGAACGAGTGGATGACGAATGGCATGACTCAGCTTCGGGCCGCCTGGGCGAGACGAACTACTAGGAGCGTGTAGGGGTAAGACTGTCTGTTGCTAGGAGGAGATGACTGCACAGCGAGAGTGCAAGAGGCAAAGACAGAGAAGAGAGCAGGCAGAGGAAGGCAGGCGGAGAGCAGTGCAGCGCAATCGATGGTGGGCCAGACGCGGTGAACCTTGGGTCAAGTGATCCCATGAGCTGTAGTCAAAGCTGCCGAACCTGAATTGATGAAGTTCCCCCGCCCTTTCTCTCCAAGGCATAGCTTTGCATCGTGATCCACCTGTTCTGATGTTGATGTCGCCCTGCCCAGGTACAAAGCGCGACAAAGCTCACAAGATCCAAGGCGCGAGAAGCAGTACAAGGTTTGCGCTTGAAATGAAACTCCTGGGCACGGTTTACTGGCCAAGTATTGAACAGGAGGCGGCCTCTGGCTACAAAGCTAACACGCTGTGAAAAGGGACCGGACAGGTAAAAAAGACAAGGCCAAGCAGAAGAATACGAAAAAAAAAAGTCCCTGTCGCAAGCTCAATCGCCCCGAGCTCGTGATTTTATCCATTGCCCCCTGTCCTTCGTGTTTCGACAACCCCAACCCAGGCGCTGTTCCCTCATGTTGCTTTCCCGCCGCGCCGCGCCATGCCGATTGCATCCTGAACGCCGCTTTTCCTTGCCATACTTCCTTGGTTGCGGCCCGCTGATGCGTATCATGATGTAGAAAAGAAAACAAGACGATTGTCATCGATCACTTCCGGCAACTCAGTAGTAGCCCATCCCCATCCCTGCGCCATTGCCAACCCAGCCACCTGCCTGGGCAGACTCATCGAACCAGCTTTGCAGCTCACCCTCATATCCATCGTTTCCCGGGCCCAGAGCAGTCGGGGTCGGGGGCGTGAACAGTTGGGGCTGCATTGGCGGCACGACGTCGAACGAGGCTTGTGGCGGTAAGGGCTGAACCTGTGGGAACCCGGCAATGACGTGCTGCTGCTGCTGCTGTGATTGCTGCACATTCGGCGGCGGGTCAAATGCGGCTTGGGTTAATACTCCCATTGGATTGTGCGATTGGGGATACGGGTCCTGCTGCTGTGTGTACGCGGCGTACCCTTGGCTGGCCTGTTGATGCCCAGGAGCGACAAACGGCGCCGCTTGATGCTGGTACTGTTGCTGCTGATGGTGAGCCTGGTGCGGATTTTGTTGAAGAGGTTGTTGTTGCTGTTGCTGTGCACCGAATGAAGAGGCGGGTGAAAGCTGTGACGGCGTGAAATTTGGATGTTGTTGCGGTGGACCAGGTGACTGCCCGGGTCCCATGCTTTGCTTGTGGCCCAGATGCTGTGCAGGCTGTGGGAGGATTTGGTGCTGCGGCCGCAGGCGATGTCCTGGCACTGGTAGCTGGTGTTGGTCCTCTGGAGACCTCATAGAGGGTGGAAAACTCGGTACTGGTGCTGTCGTTGGCGAGGCATTGGTCGATGACATGACGCTTTTCGAAATTGAATCCTCGCTCGGTGACATTGGGCCAGGCAATGGTGAAGCCGGGACGACATTCTTCCCCTGGATCGAGGCCATGCTTGTCAAAGATGGCGAGTACCCGCTCTGCAGAGGCCGTAATATTCGATCATTCTGTAGGACGTTGTTATTGTGTCAGCGTTACCCTCACAGAGCGGAGGCACTGGAACAATTGGGACCAGACGTACACCATCAGCCATGCCGCCATCCATGCTCACTGTTGCGGCCTTGGGATCTCGCGAAAATCGTTCCAGCGATTCGAGCCAACGGGAGGCAAGAGGCCAGACTTGTTTTGACTCCATGAGAAGGCTCATACACCGCAGAAGCATGGTGCGACCTTGTTTTACAATGGTCCTGTCAGAACAAACTATTGCCAACGTCAGGATGATCCTTAGAATAGTGATATGGCGGGGGCAAAGAAAGCTTACTGTTCTTGTATTTGCATAGATAGGTCGAAAACAGACCACAGCTGTAGACGCAGAAGGACTAAGTCAATGTTAGCTCGAGGTCAAGTCCTTGATCGCAAGAGCAGAGGGCAACATACAGCCATCTGGGCACCAACGCTTTCATCAGCGCCTCGTACGGAGAATTGGTTGTCGATTTGCTCAAACAAGTCACGAACATTGCGGAACAATTCGTCGGACAAGTGGGAGAAGAACACGCGGTGAGCCTGGCTCTTGGGCTCGGGGTGTATGATGCTAATCGAGTCAGATGAACCCCGCATTTTCGAACGGGAGATCAGGAGTCCAGAACCTACTCATCGAGGTATGGTCTTCTAAGAACCACATTGCAGAGTTTTGTAACCATCGTCACGCTCATGTATGCCTAGTGCATGCTGTCAGCTGCCAGGATGGTTTGCTACGACTGCGGTTCACTTACAAGATCCTCGCCTACGGATTTGTGCCCTTTCAGCAGAACCATACTCCACTTGTGGTCTGGTGGTAGCTGCTGTTCCCAACTTGCCAAACTCGCTGCCATCTTGGAATATTCACTTGTGGGATCCCAAGGCGAAGAGCTCTTTGTCGAAACCATCGCTCTGCGGGCTACCTTGCCCCAGTAGTAGTGGGCTTGAATAAGACTCGCAAATAGCGACCGAGTAGGCTGATGGATGAGAGATGGGTTCTCGCGGGCAGGTGGGGTATCTTCGAGGGCAGCGCGAGACTTGGGCTCATTGCCGTTCGCAAAGTCATTCTCGTCACTTGGCAGAAGACAAGTAATGTCGCTAGCGGCTAACGAGATAGGAGATTTCGCGCCACAGTGGAGGTTGTCCTGACCTACACATATGTCAAAAGGCATGGTCAAGTGTTGCGCAAGGTGTGCTGAGACTCACTATGGAGCATCCACTATTTGACTGTTAGTCAGATCAAGAAATTGCAGGCAGGGAAGCCTTACCAAAGTACGCCTGGCGGACTCGGCCTTGATAACCAGTTCTTTCGTCGGTACCTTGATAACATAGGTCTCCTCGCGGTGAAGATGCATGAGGACGGCCATCCTCGTGGCAATCCCGAGGTTGATCTATATCGCATTAGGACCGCGCTTCCATACCCGATGATCGGGATGTCACTCACATAGCTTCGATTTCGCCAGCCACTTCCTTGTTGGGCGATGCTCAGAAGATAGAACGCCTGGCACCGCTCAAGCGTTGGCTCCGAGTACAGTTCATTGAGTGCCAAGGTACTGGCCCTTTCCATGAAAAAGTCGGCCGCCTTGATCTCGCCCTGATAACGCCGCGTCAGGGCGAGGGAGAAGCGTGCTGAGATACTGAGGATGCTAAGGAGCAGAAAGATGCTGACGGACCGGTGATCGCGCTGGAGCCGGGCGGGGAACAACTGCTTAGGAATGAAGCCTAATTGGAAATACTTTCGAGTAAAGAGGTGAACTGCCTCTACAATTTCGGGGAGCGGTGGCATAAGATCCCATTCATCAGCGTGCTTGAGTCGATCCGCAGGCGCCACGCTGAGAGGAAACACAGGGGCATCGAGGACTTCGCGACGTGTCTTAATTAAGTCACGCTTGCTAGCCTTTTCAGCTCTCATGCGTGGATGGCGATAGTCACGATCATCGTCAGGCTGCCCTCGAACAGGGAAAATGCTGAGTGGCCAAGAAACGTTAATACGTCTGGGCTTCCCACGAAATCAAGCTTCATGTTCAAGAGGAAAACTGCATACCAATCGGAGGCCCCTAAGCCAGCCTCTTTGCAGGCATTACAAGGTGGTGATGCCTTCTCATGAATACATTTGCTTCTCATGCGGCGACATCTAAGCAGAGCAGGTTATCAGTATGGCTGAGCGCGGACAGGGCTTCGGCGTGGTGCCATAGCTCAAGTTCAGCTTACGTCGTGGGTCGACGGTGCGGGCTGCTAGAGCATGAGAAGGAATGGACAAACCTTCGGCAGGCAATCGGGGCCCTACGTTTGACGGGAGCTTTTGCAGCCGATGCACTGCTGTCTGTGCCGTGCTTCAGACAATCGTCGACGCTGCCGTTGCGCTCGTCTTTGAAGTTGTCGCTACAGCCGCCAGAGCTCAGGTTGCGATTGAGCGCAGTCAGGTTAGGCTTGGCGTCGTCGTCGAGCTCCATATCCGCAATGGCCTGCGACTGTGACTACGACCGCGACCGCGACCGCGACACTCCGGCCAGTAGGTGTGGATCAGGAGCGGCAAGAGGGTTGGCGAAAAGACGGCAAGAGCATGTGCGGGGTGCCCGAGTCGGTTGGTTTCTGCTAGGTGCTGGGTTCTCAGTATCGGCTCAGATCGTGAGGAGAAGCAAGGCGTGCAATCTGTGTCATCAGAGTGGGTGGCGACAGTGTCATTGGACGATCCGCGATAGGTGCTTGCTGAGTACTGGGCGTGTTCAGGTATGGGGGCTGGCCGCCGCCCGGTTGGGGTGTCAGAATGGAGACGACCTTACTCGCTTGTTCGGTATAAAATTGCTGATGTGTCTGGCTGGTGGATTGACGTGCGGTCAATGACGAGATCCAAGTGGCCGAGCGCACGAGGCGCGGTTACCAATGACCCCTAGCAAGCCCGCAAATGATGGGTTTAGTTACCTACCTGGGCAAGTCCACCAGTCGACACGAATTACCGCTGGTCCAGCAGCCTGAGCTGCTGAAAGGCTTGCTGTGACTGCTATGGCGCAGATGCAGATTAGGTTCCTTTGCGGGAGGCGGTGGGTGCCATGGGGATCGGCGGTCGCGCCGGCTCGGTCGCGGGCCTTTGCGGGCACCTCAGGGCTGGCGATGGCTTGTTGTGGGGATATCTTGAACTGCCCTGCGTTGGTGAGCGACGGCTGGTTCTAGCGAAATCGATCACGACGTGATAGCAGCTTCTGACGTAGGCTCGATGTACTTTGCGGCAGATGGATATGAGAATGATTTCGAGCAGGCTGCGCGGAGCAAGTCACACAGTTGCAAGGGGTCAGCGCTTGCACTTCACAGGTCTTGTGCGGGTTGACGATCGGCACTCAGTCTTCCACTCTAAGGCACTGGCTTGCACAAATGGTGCTGCCCATACTGCCAGGCCACTTGTCCAACAACCACCAGCCCTGCCAGTTGGCGAGTCGTCGATTCGCCAGCATACCAAGCCTACCAGCAAGCCAAGACGGAGGATGGGTAATCTTTGACCCATATCGCCACCTCGAACCGAGGGTCGCCAAGGAGAGGTCGCTTTGAGCACTGTGCATGTTAGGGTCTGTTCGTGACGAACACTCTGGTGATATCTGCCACCGTAGGCTTCCCAGCGTGAGCCAGACGCCCGAGGTCGTCGATGCGAGAGCGATGCGAGGGAGGTCGACAACGAGTCATGGCAACGTGCCCAGAACCTCGAGTAAATTGCCCAGCTCTTATCGTCAAAGACGGAGACAGCTGGATGGACACCTGGTGGGCCAGAAGCGCCGTGCACTGCATTGGTGGGTTCGAGATTTGCGATGCTAGTCAGGTTCTGCAGCCCTTCCAGGCTCAAGCTCCGGAACCTGTGCCAGCTGCCTTGTAGGCATCTGTGTCTAGGGCAGCGGAAGATCTCAGGCAAGGTAGATCAGACAATCATTTGTCTGACGGATGCTGAGACTAGCCTTGGAGTGTACAGGCCGTAGGGTGTCGAACGTGCATCATGGGCCACGACTCGCGCGCCATGGTGCATTGCAGGAGGGGGAACGGTGGGAAATCAGAGGAGGGCATTTCCACGTGGCAGCTGTCGGTGTGATGGGGGCCGATCGACTCTTCTGTCGCAAGGCCACACTAGACGAGGACTTGAGAACCTAGCTACCAGGAGGCGCTGGCGCCAGGCAGGTCACCAAGCTGGCGTCTTTACAGCTCTCCAACGCGGTGATACTCGGGGCTTAGGGCCTAAGAGCTTGGTCAACGAAGGGCTAGGATCTACTACCAACCAGCCTGAATCAATGATTCAGTCGATGCTGCCCCGACCCTTACTCGTAGTTCGGACCTTCTTCCGACCCTGCCGTCGGCCAATGAAGCGGGTTGCGCCTTTCTCTACGACAAGCGAAAAAAAAACTCTTGACCATAATGCCCAGCGGCGGCGACTTTGCCCTTATTGGTTGGAGGGCCTGACAAGCAAGTGAAGTCTTGCATTGCGCAAGACCACAAATGGTCCGTAGTTGTTGGCTAGGTGGGCTGAAGCGCTCCATCCTGTTCTCGATGGTGTGGACAGGGAAGGGAGAAGCGGAGGCCAGATTTGTCTGTCTCCGAGGCCCAGCTGTGGCTTTTGACAAGAAGGTCAAGGCGTCTGACGAGGGATGGACTCGAAGGCTTCAGCTTGGCCCGCTCTGGTGTCGTGAGCGGCGGCTTCGGCTGCCAAAAGGGAAAAGGAGGGGTTGGGCGGCGGTCTCTAGCCGTGAAGGGTCAGAGAGAGAGAGAGAGAGAGGGGTTCAGAATGGTGACCGATTCTTCCACAGGCGACTCAGGTGGGACATGGAAGGAACTGATTTGGACGATCTCAGAAATGGCGAAGCCTGCATGAAGACGTAAACTGGGGGAAGGAAGCAGCCACCCTGCAAACCAGCTGGCAATAATGCATGGGACATGGTGGGATGCGACGTCCCATCGGGTCGGGAACCCACGAAGGAGAGCAGGGGCCGGGGCATGACTTCCCCCGAGCCTGGATGATACATCTGGAAAGGCATACCGGGTAGGTGTTAGACTCGTACCCAGGTAGGTTTCGAGACTTGGTTGCCGCTGAGCTTGGAGCTAGGACGCAGTAAGACAAGAAGTAAAGGTGGTAGGAAGGTAGTTATGTACATGCCTTAGCTGGAGGTAGGTACCTTGGCTGGCACGTCGGCACAATTGGAAGCAAGTGCGAAGGAGAATGACACGGGACGGGACAAGGAGGAGAAGCAGGACCTGACTCTCTCACGACCAGCGGTCTCGCCTTGACAAAGGATCCAAACCAGCAAAACACCGCACCGCACTACCTGAGCCGCGCCGCACCGCACACAGAAGTGTCCCCGGTGACGGCGCGCGCACGTTGGCGGGTCTCACCCACACACACTCACACACGCAGATGTGAGATGATGGATCTTGGACAGTCTAAAGCTGCCGCTTAGGAGTCGCAAGCGGGTCTGACGGCGTCCAGTATCGTGTCATGGGCTGTACACTTGTCAAGGAGCCCAGCTTACCTTACCCTACCTCACCATAAGTTTGCAGATGACTTACTCAGGTACATGCGAACCCTGACTCCTCCCTCCACTGATTACTTTTTATGTAGGCACATCCGAGGGCCTCGTCCTAGCACAGAAGCGCCCACACTCATGGCTCTGGGGTGTATTCAGCTATTCATTCCTTTTCGTTTCGGACCCTCTCGCTACTCGGTGCCTGCTTGAGGGGCGGATGCCTGTACTGGATTTATTGCCATCTTGGCCAAGACGCCTCCGAGCTGAAGTGGGCATTTCGTCCCGCGCGAGTAGGTGCCACTTGATCTGCCTGCGGGATGATGTGGTAGAAATTGGGATCGAGACTCTGCGCCGTTCTTATTGCTCCAGCGTCGTGAGACCCAGGTGTTCCTGGTTCTTTTCGTCCTGCGACCTTATCCCTGGACAAAGTCCTGCCTTTGGCCGGGGTTCTCCAAGACCACGTTCATCTATTTACTGCCAGACCAGTCGACATGACGGTGGCGCAAGTTTTGGCATCTACCCATACCCTACGGCTTCGTGTTCTTCCCTCATCCTCACTCTCCTTGATCATCCTTAGGTCTTTTTGGTAGGGAAGCATGACTCTTGCCAGCTATCCGCAGGCCGCTCTTGCGGTGGCCTTGGGCCTGGCTTTGATATGGCTTGTACGATACTCCCATGCATTCCCGCGATGCCAGTACCCTCTCCCTCCTGGCCCCCCTGGCAGGTTCCTGGTTGGCAATCTGGGCCATGTCAGCATCGACAGCCCTGAGAAAGATTACCTGCGATGGGGTCAGGCCTACGGTCAGTTTAGCAAGCACCCAATACGATACGCAAAATGCGTCAACTGCTTGGTAGTTTCGAGGCTTACACATCCAGCCAGATTGCGATGTCATTCATACCGAAGTCCTCGGCCAACACATGATCTGTCTGAACAGCCGCCGGGCTGCTGAAGACTTACTTGAACGTCGGGGCTCCATCTACTGCGATAGACCGAGATTTACTCTTTTCGAAATGTACGTCCGCACCCCGCGTATTGACCCCCCCCCCCCCCCCCTTAAGCGCCGAATACGCTGACAAGAGTCTTCAGAATGGGATGGGGCCTCACGCTTACATTCCTCCGCTACGGGCCTCGCTTTAGCCTTCATCGACGCCTCTTCCAAACGACCTTCTCACGCACAAACGTCAGGAAATTCGAGTTCATCCAGCAGCATGAAGCACGCAAAACAGTTCGAAATCTACTCCAGGACCCCGCGGACTGGAAAGAAATCACGCTGCTTATGGCAACAAGCATCGTATTCCGGATCGCCTTCGGTCAGGAAGTCATAGATAAGGGCTCTCCGTATTGCGCCATGTCCCAGGCGGCGAATTATGCCACGACAACGGGCGGAACTCCTGGTTCGACACTGGTCGATCTCTTTCCACCTGCAAGATACCTCCCTGACTGCCTCAACCTCTCAGAGCCTCTGGCTCACGCGCGACGCAGTCGAAAAACCATACGCACTATCCACGAAGAGCCTTGGGCCGCAAGCTTGAAGGAAATTGACGCCGGTATCGCGTCTTCTTCATTCATGAAGACATATTTGGAGAAATATCGAGCCATCGAGGAGTCTGGCAAGACCCAGGAATTGACTGTTCCCGATATCAAAGGCGCAGCCGGCGCCATATTTATTGCCGGCGGCAACACAACCTGGAGCACCCTTCAGGCCTGTGTTCTCTTCCTGACCAAGTACCCCAATGTCCAGCGGCGCATACAGGAAGAGCTGGATGAAGTTGTCGGGCCAGATCGCCTTCCAACCTTTGATGATCGCCCACGCCTCCAATACCTGGATCGTTTCATCAAGGAGGTTCTTCGATGTCTCCCATTAAACCCTTTGGTCCTACCACACAGAAGTCTTGCGGAGGATGTGTACAATGGCATGCGCATACCCAAAGGTTCCATCGTTTTTGCGAATGCCTCTGCCATGGCTTCTGATCCAACAGTGTATGATCGGCCTGTCCTCTTCGACCCGGACCGCTACCTTCGCGGTGAGCCAGAGTCTCCGGGCAATTTCGGCTTCGGCCGGCGAAAATGTCCAGGAAATCACCTTGCACTTGCTTCTGTTCAGATCTTTGTTGCGACGCTCATGTCAGCATTTCACATTGACAAGGCTATCGATGACAATGGTCAAGTCTTGGAGCCCAGGGTTGGTATCTCTATTGGATTAGGCGGGTATGTTCATGCCTCGTATTGGATTTTGGTTCCCCCTCTTAGCCACATGTCATGTGATGATCGACCAAGACTGACACTATTGGGTAGGCATCCGCTGCCATTCGAGTGCGTTTTCATGCCAAGGCACGGTGTTGAGGCTGCTAGCCTGCTTGAACGAGAGCCATGAGACAATGTTGTTATGACACATTCATGTTACACGACGCATCATTACGGAGTCTATCATTAGGGGTAAAGCATCACACACACCTAGACCAGTTCTTCTTCTTTCTTCGCTCATCAGTTCATATATCTGCTTCCTCATTTTCTTGCCCTCAGCATGATATCAATGGTACTTCCTGGCATTCTCCGCAGAAATTTCACGACATGTCGTGGCTCGCATTATGTTGTGCCAATACGACCATACCGCAGGGATGGATGGTGCGCTTGTTCGAGAATGACAATTGGGCTAGCCGCAGCTCTCTCACACAGCAGAACGACAAAGAGAACAGCTCTTTGAAAGCCTTATTAACGGAAGGTCAGCCGCCAACACATTCGAAGCAGTTCGAAACTGTATTGTGCTCCGAACAAGTCAACTGAGTAGTACAGGCCCCGCGACATCAATCCTGATGATATTGACCCTAGTTACGCGCTATGCATGATGGCCCTTGGCATTCTCACCGCACTGAGAACCAGTTCCGTTTAAGAGACAACGCGTTCTGATCAGCTATTCGCTCAAGTCTAGTGCGTCGTCCAAAATAGCCGACGAAGCGGGGATATTATCTTGGACAATATCCGGGCCACTAGCAGGGAAGAATACGTACCGTGCTCTTTCATGGGTCAGTTATACCCTTCAACCCTATACGAAATGACCTCGAATGACGGGATGAGAATTGAGGTGGGGAATATGTGCTACATAATACCAGACGGCCGGTCAGTCTGGTGAGGCGCACTTCGAAGGATCAGGCCTTGCTGATATGTTCGGCGGCCTGGCGATTTGACTCGGTATTCGACAGAGTGAGTGACCTGCCTGAATTGATGGCCGGGTGAATCGAGCACAATCCCCCCTATAGGGCAAAGAAGATAGCTTGCTCGCAGCAGTGACGCGCAGACAGGGAACCCGTCATGTCAAGCGGATGAATGATCCTTGTTGTAGAGATTATGGAAGACATATGTTCAAGCCAAGTGGGACGCTCGAGGACGATGGTAGGCAGGCAGAAGGCAGAGATGTGGGACGCAGGGGACGGCATCAAGAGCCCGAACTTGTCGCAAAGTGATCGTGGACGATATGGAGACACAACTCATGGTCGGGCGAGCATTGATGGGCCCTGCTACGAGGCAGTGCGAGACTCTTTCACCATGATTGCATGTAGATGGTCATTACCACCAGTCGTTGACAGTGGTGTTGAGTAAAGTAGAAGGCGGATTGGTGTTGGGACGTAGCCAAGGGCATGGAAGTGGGCATGACGGCGTTCTTCGGTCAGGCAAAAAAGGATCCGGAGTCCTGTCAGGCCACCCACCTCTTGCTGTGCAAGCAGTGCTCACAGTACTAGTAGCAAGGGTATAGGGCGCCACCTGACGTGAAGCGACGCTGTTGGTGGCAGTGTCTACCAATGAATCGACGCGCCGGCACCTGTTCGACAGGGGTCAGAGAGGGCGAAGGGGGGCAAGTGATGGGACGAATCTTCTGATTTCTCAGCGGCGGCGGCGACCGGGTTGCCGGTCTTACCTTCAAAGCGCTGCCCACAGCTGGCAGCACTTGCAGATGCCCCACCCTGCCAGCTGAACAGCGTCGGACCCATCGGGAAAAACCCACCAAAACCCACCATTTCACTGCTGTCGGAGTCCGTCGTAGGCACCGACTGCCCTGGATGTCAACCGAAGCCAACCTCGATGGCCATTTCTTTCCCATCAAATGGTCTTCAGCCGCCAGAAGAAAACCCAAGAAGAACATGTAGGACGTCTAGATGCTCAAGATGCAAGATGACATTCGAATGCTCCGTCTGCGGAAAGGAGTATCAGAGGAACACCCACCTCCGGCGTCATGAGTCTACCCGTGAGTCCACCATTGTCCTGATAGCCTCATGTACCCAGATCTCAATGACGAGCCCCTCTCTCTCACCTCACCTTTGAGCACCCCTCCCCCTCCCCATGCACCCCGCAAACTCAGGACAGCTAGGACAGAAAGTCTGACTTCGAGTAGATGCCGAGAATGGCCGCTTCAGCTGCCCGTACTGTACCAAGGCTTTTGCTCGTCGGTCAGTGAACCCTTTTGCCTTTTGTCACTTCAGCTCTTGATCCCCTCACCTGCCCCCTCATCTCTCCTCGTATATGACCCCCCCCCCCTCCTGTCCTCCTACTCAGCCAGCATGCACCCACTCATCGTGCCATAGCGACGTGTGCCGGAAGCATGCCACCTCTTGCCTGACCAAGGGCAACAATCGCGGTCGCCCTTCTCATGAAGTTCAGACCATCAAGCGTGGTCAAAAGCCTCGCGCCTGTGATGCATGCGCGCACAGCAAGTTGGCCTGCGACCTCGCCGAGCCATGCGGCCGTTGTGTGTCTCGCCACTCCATCTGCTCCTACAACAAGGTGCAGCGGGACCCCTCGAATGCCTCAGGGATGGACCCTTTGAGGATTCGCAAACCATATACCCGTGACGCCCGGGCTCGACTGTCCATACCCTTCTTGCTCAGCATGACAGATCCAAAAGCCGAAACCATGATCAAGTCTTTCTTCTGTGAGCCCATGAGAGAGGCCGAAATAGGAGGCACAGAGTTTGACCCGGAGCGAGAATTCTTCCCGTGGAACATTACCGACATTCTCATGGGCGATGTCGAAGATGAGCTCGACCTGTACGACTTATTCAACCAGGTGCCCGACATTGATCACTCATCGCCGGCGCTCGATGCGCGATTGGCCTTCATTGTTGCCGAGCTCGGCGCTGTCCATGCTCGACTCTCGGCGATGGATGCTTCGTACAGCGAGACGTTCAGCATCGACTCCGCGAAGCAGGTTTTCACCGCTCGCAACGCCAAGCTCTTCGTTTCGACCTTTTTCCGATACACGCAGCCCGACTTCCCGGTAGCGCACGTGGCCTCCTTCAGCTACGAGGATTCATCCCTGGAGCTCCTCCTTGCCCTCATACTCATGGGCTCGATGCGGGCTGTGCCGCGGGATGACGCCCTCTCGACGCACACCTTTTTTCGTGTCGGCGAGGAGTACATTTTCCAGCGTCTCCGTGAGGTCGTGGCTCTCGAGCCGCGCCAGAAGTTGCCATCGAAACGTGTGATCGAGGTGCTTCTCGCCGCCCTCAACATACATAGCATGCGCGCCCTCGTCAATGACAAGAAGGTGCGCCGCAGAACACGCACAGAGAACCTGCCGGTCATTGTGGCGACCATCCGGTCGCTTGGCTTGCTGCAGATGAAGCACGACAATCTTCCCGAGAACACCCCGTGGGACGATTTCATTCGCGTAGAAACATGTATTCGGTAAGGGCTACTTTGGACCCGTGGGACTTGTTGGTGGATGCGGTTCAGTTCGTGCTAACTCGTGAATAGGCTGGCCGCCTGGGCCGCTTTGATTGACTGGTCGCAGTGCGGGACGTTCAACTCGCCGCCCATCATAGCGAGCGCCGAGATGACGGGCGACTTCCCCTGCTCCGAAGAACTGTGGAGTGCTGCGGACGCTACGGAGTTCAGGCTCATGGCTTCAAGGGAGGCCGAGGCATCGCGGTCACGCACATCTCTCAGTCATTGCTTGGCCGTCCTCATGCAGGACGGCTGGCTCGGCGCCAGCCACTTTCCGCTGGAGCCAGTCACTCTGATGAATCTTTACTTTCTTATCGGTGGTATGTGATGTCCTGTTTCCCCTGCTCTTCGAGCCTCCGTGGTCACCGCTTCAGCCGAATCTAACACAAGTACACGTAACGCAGGACTAAGCGCATCTATTGTCTCGGCGCGCCTCATGTCCACTCTCTCGGCAAGCGCTCCTGTCATCCTGTCCGCTATAGAGCGGTGGCAGGAGCTCTGGGATCGTGAGACGACGCGATTGGGGCCTGAAAAGGTGCGCGCCAGCGGTCTGTTCCGGCATTCGGGTGGCGTCGCGTGGCTTGTCCGGCGATCCGTCGAGGTGTCGATTGGAAACGGAAAGCAGTGCGCTTACACCAAAGGTGTCGACCACGACAGCTTGAAAGAGCTGCACGATTTCCTTCAAATGTGTCGAGATACCTGAGGATATATCACTGGATGGGCGGCTCCTGTTTGCGTAGGATGTCGTACGGCGTTGTGTTGCCTTCTTCATGAGCGCTAGGGGTGTTGGGCTCCCCCGACTTGGGTCGAAGCGTCTGTCCTGTCCAATCAATTTTCTAGTCAGTCCTTGGTACGAGATTTGACCCTGACCCTGAAGTTGCTTGGCTTCAGAAAAAAATAGTTTTTCGTGGACCACTCCTTGCTCGGACTGTTGATATCGCTAAAATCAAAGTCGCGTACGATGCGGGGGATGAGCTTGGCCATTTGGAGGTGGGCGATGTGACGGCCTATGCATGTCCTGGCGCCGGCGCCAAACTAGAGGCATCAGTTGTTCAGGGGTTGTATCGATCCCAAAGGGAGGCCTGACGTACGGATATGAGGTTCTTGTTCATGATGTTTAGACGACTGGCGTCAGTCGTGAGCCAACGGTCCGGGTTGAAAGCGTGGGCGTCTGGGCCGAAGATGGCCGTGTTGCGGTGATAGACCCAGGGATTGATCCCCACCAGTGTCTTGTTGCTGTCAGTACCTCGGAGCGGGCTCGATGACAGGAATCTCTGACGTACACCCTCGGGAAAGAAATTGCCATCAATCTCCACGCCGCCTGTCGGTACGACTCGGTCCATCGGAAGCGCGACAGCCGTGTGAAGCCGCAGCGCCTCCTTGATGACGGCTTGAAGATAGGTCATCTTCTGCGTCTGGGCCCATGAAATATGCCTCGCCTGACCTGACACCTGGTCAGCCTCGGCCCTCAACCGAGCGAACGCGTCCGGGGCCTTCAGCAGATGGTAGAGAATCCCCGACAGACTCGTCGCCGTCGTGTCAGAGCCCGCGACAATGTTGGAGGCGCACCCGGCGAGGACGTGGTACATGGTGAAGCGCGCCGGGTCTCTGGCGTGCTTCTGGGAGAACTTGGACAAGAAGTCCATCGGGGCCCTCGCCGCCTCGGCCTGTTCGGTCGAGGCGGCTGCTGGCCGGCTTTGGTGCTCGGCTATGCACTCGTTGGTGAAGTTCATGAGGTACGTGCGCCCGGTTCCTTTACTGCCTGCTATGCGGTTGCGGACAGGGAAGAGAAGCTTGTGGAGAGAATGATAGACGCCCGTCAGTGTGAAATAGACCATCTCCTTGTCGATTGTGCGGATCATGCCGCCGACATCCTCCCCGCGGTCGAGAAAACCGAATCGACGGCTGTAGGTGATGAGGCCGATCATGTCAAATGCAAAGCACTGAAACCAGTGGCCCATGTCAGGAGGGGACAGATGCTCCTCGTCGCCGGGTCCAGCAGCCTCTCCGAGCTCGGTGAGTCGCAGGGTGAAGAGGTCGGCGCACTCGTCGACGTAGGCTTCGTAGGTGACGAGGGAGGACATGGAGTACGCGCTCTGGAAAAGGCGACGGTGAGCGGCGTGACGCTGAATGTCTTCGTCGGCAAAGAGCGTCCATTTCGAGGGATCCGGCGGCGCTGCTGGTCTGTACGACGGGGACTTGGGAAAGAGAGGGGCTGCGACCTGACCGTAAATTGCTTTCAGAGCAGAGGCGCTGGTGAGAGTATACCGATTTGGACCGAGTCGGACCACGGGACCTCACGCGGGTCAGCAGGAGAAAGACGTACAGGGGATGAGGGCTACCATGTATTTCATGCAACCCAAGTGCATCAGTCTCGAATTTGCCACGATACAACCTCGCGAAATACCAGAGATTAGTGAAGCGGGCAGCAAAAGGGCCCGGGATGGACCTCAAGGGCGAAATCAGAGCGAGGCAGAGAGAGTGACAAATGAATAACGGGAACAATAAGGCAGCCAAAAATAACCAGTGCTCCTGGGCAGTGCCGATAATACCAGTACGATACATGGCGACTTTGTGGTATTCACCTTTGATATCACCTCTATGAAAGGAACCCTCACGAGGATGGACAATTTATGCGTCCAAAAAGGAGAACATGCATCTACCAAAGGGGATGTGAAAAGCCAACTACCACTGCATACTCGGATGAGGGCTTTTCTTGCCTGTGGCCATTGACCTACGGCATCGTCTCGGCAATATAGCGGCGGAGGCGGCGCCGGCCTCCGACTTACCCCGTTTACTATGAGCCCGGGCCGGAGTGGACAGGACACATGGCCCGTATCTCTCTCCCGCTTCCGCTCCCGCTCTTAGGTGTCGGCACCTGGGACAAGTTGGATTCACACAATAAGGTTCGACCGATCGTCGACCGAAGCACTCCTTGTCCAACAGAAGGTACAATGCCGATCGATCGGCGCTAGAACAGAGCAAGCTGAACTGATACGCTAACCGGGCTGGGAGGTTTCTCTCCGCCAGATAATGACACCACATGTACGACCTCGCGTCATCCACCAACCCCAGGTTCCGGAACGCGGGGTGCAGGACATTTACTCTCCGCGATAGCCTGCAGCGGCTGTACAGCAAAAAACTTAGGAGATGAAGGACGGGAGGGCCAACCCCGCGTGGGAATATGAAGCGGGGAAGCCAATGTCGCGAGGAGGATGACGACAGTAGAGCACGGAGAGAGGAGGCTAACAGGCGTGCCAGTGGGCAGCATCCTGATGGCTTGGCGACAACTGCATGTACCATGAGGTCAACGTGGGCGGCACAAGCACGTGGAAATCGGCCTTTGACGGCCTTGATCTTGAATCGAATCACAATGTCGACCCTTGGACAGTTAGCGTGCTTATGAGGGCATCGTGAAGAGGGGGGTGTGGAAGGCAAAGCCGAATCCCATCACTCCAGCGTCTCAGTGGATGGGCAAGGTGATGGAGGTGCAGCGTGCCAGATGCTTTGGCATATGACGTCGTCACAAACGAGGGGGGCTGGGGATTGGGAGGTGGTCCAGGGGCCCCACCCACACCACTATGCCGAAGACGTCTTGTCAGTTGCGGACGGCCAGCGGCTTGGGACCCAGCACAGCGGCACGTTCCAGTGGTTGATATCGCTGTGCTGCTGATGAGAGACACGTCCAGCGTCACCAATTTGCCTGGTGCAAGTACGCAGGCAGGGACCTGGCTCTCGGTACCCACACGCGCGCCATGTGTTGCATGTGAGACCATCATCAGACCGGCCACCACAGTATCACAAGAGAGTGGTAGAGCACGAACAAGTCATTCTGAGTGTAACAGACACTTTGATAAAAATCCGAATTACGAGGAGGAGATCCGGATCTAGTCACTGCACTCGGCATGGCTAGGCGAGTGCGTGCCTGACATACCAGCAAGTCTGCCCAAGGAACGCCCAAAAGACGAGTGCCCTGTGAAGTACCGCAACCGGCACCCCACCAATGTACCTAGACCCGTCAGGCACCCAGACAGCGCTGCGAGGGCACCCCCGGATCTCCGACTTGGTGACCTGTCTGACTGACGTCCTCGTCGGTTTGGCCCTCGAACTCGAGGCTCTCCATCATTAAGGCACCACCCCCCACAAGTCTCACCACTCTTTCTTTTGACTCCGATTTCCTTCTCCCCTCCCTACCTCACCCCAAGACCGTGATCATTTAACCAACCCACGCGCCTGCTCACACTCGTCCAGCCCACGCGACAAGAATAGCCCCACGACTTGGTCAGACCACAACCACCCCGCTGTGCTTGCTTCGTTTTTGGTACCCCGCCGTCAACTTCGTACGCACCACACCCACCCAAACGCCTTCTCTGTAGTTTTCTCGCCAACGACCCAACACCCAGAGTCGCTTCACTTCATATCCATCCATCACCCGCCCGCCCGCCCGCAACACACATCACCCAACATGGCCGCGATTGTCGATCACAGCCCGCAGTCTCACTCCCCGCCTGGCCCAAACAGTGTGCGGCCCAGAGGTAAACCTAGCTGCCACATCTTGACTGTCACATCGCACGAGAAAGCTAACACAGCCGGGCGCCCAGGCATTTTGAAGAACAGCTTCCAGAATTCTCCTCCCACCTCTCCGACTCCCGAGCAAACCGATAAAGAGGTTACCATCGCGAATACGCAGTTCAACGCCGGCCACCGCCGCTCCTCCTCGGCCGCACGCCTCGGCGGCGGCTCCAGGCGATCTTCAAGCCACGCTGTTTCCGTCTCCGGCGGTGACGAGCAGGAGGATCCCTCACAGGACTCCCAGCGCCTCAAGTGGGACGAGGCCAATCTCTACCTCACCGAGCAGGAGCGCTCGTCGACCATGAAGATTACGGAACCAAAGACACCCTATGCCAAGCACTACGACCCCTCCGAGGACCCCTCGGACGAAGACGAGATCATGGAAGGTGCTGGTCCTGGTCTCGACGCTGCGTCTGGCTCTGTTCGCCGCAAGACTCACCGTCGTCCTGCCGGCGAAGATGACATTCCGGACATGTCGCTGGGCGAGCCGGAGGAGGCGGTCCCGGAAAGCGAGTCGAGCAAAGAAAAACAGCTCAAGGTTCACGTGGACGAGAACAGCGACAGCGGCGGCCACGGAGAAGACGAGCTGGCGGGCCTCTCGCCCGAAGAGAGGGAGAAGCACCGCCGCTTCGAGGCTCTGCGGAAGAAGCACTACGAAATGAAGGATGTTGCCCACTTGCTGGGTCACCCCGAGGAGACCATCGAGGACGACGAGGAGGTCCCCTCGCTGCCCCGCCAGGATCACGCCATGAACGGCCAGGCATGATAAGCTGCCTTCGGCAACGCGATAGGAGCTCGAGAGGGAAGCATGGACCAGAATGATCCTTTTCTTTTGTTAGTGAGGCACCTCGAGAAATGATACCGGCAACGGCACTTGCACCTGCACAGAAATCCCTGGAGTTGGACGGAAGGGACGGGAGGAAGGGGTTGACTTGACGGCGTTTCTTCTATTTCTTGATCGGTCATTGTCTTCCATGATCTGGCCTGTCTGGCCTTGTTTACACCCTCGCGCACTATTCGGTATCCTGACCCGCCCTCTGCTTCGACAGACCGGGCATCGGATGTCTATTGGGGGTCTGCCTCGCCATCTCCCACAGCCAGCTTTTCCTTAGAGTAGATCAATATTCCCAGTTGTTGATCCTGCGCCGCACAATTCATCATTCGTTGTCCAGATGTGTTTCCATGTTGTTTTCGATTCGTTCTCCATCCAACTCTGTCGTGGCCTTTACAAGAGGCCCTTCCTTGCCAGCTCAACCTTTCGCGCCGCCTCGTTGGCCGCAAACCCGCCCTTCGACACGCAAATGTGCTGGCCTTCGGAAAGCTCGAACTTGTCCTCGTTCATCGGCCAGGGACACGGGCAGTGGTGGGGATAGTGCACGCATGCGAGAGTATCGGGACACAGATAGTGTTCGCAGTAGGCTGTATATGTCAGTCATTCATGCCGTATTTCCCATTGACGAAATGGCATTCTCTTACATCGGTCGTACTGCTGGCGGTATGCTGCTGAGTCGCTGGGAACGTTCTGTGGCCTTTGCTGTTGGCCTTGTTGCTGGCCACCAAACATCTGCTCGAAAAAGCCGAACTGAGCAGAGACTGTGCTAACAAGTGCAAGAAGCACAACTGAAAGAGACGTGAGGGCACGCATCGTCAGGACTTAGAATGTACAGGCACAAGATGGCAGGTAATTGAGACTTGATCAAGTGAGCACCGCGTGTGGTGGGAGTTGTCTCCAACTGTCCAAGTGGCAGCTGTCCAGTTTCTGGTGGAGCCCATTGGGCCTTATCGCTATCGACGCTCAATGACTAAGCCGAAAATCTCCATCGCCCGACACGTTCGATTGAAGCTCGATCCCTGAGACGAGACGTCAACCTCAGCCTACTGACAGCACGAGCATCACCACGAATTGGGGTAGCGTCGCATCCTCGAAGCAGCGATGCGTCTATTCCAATTGCAGCTGCCCATACGGGCGGTCACCGCAAGTCTCCTCCGACCGACCCTGTCGCTCGCAGTCGACGCGGCCCCTCGAATTCAAATCGATGCCACCAATGCCCTCGTGGCCGGCCGACGATACGCCTCCGTCAAGGCGCAGGGTCAATACAAGCTGAAGCCGCGAAAGACGATCCCGAAGAAGCTGGGAGCGAAGCGTACAGGCGGTAGGTCACCCATGGCCGGTCATCCGCTTCCATCGGTTCTCTAACGCGTCTCCCCCCCTTTTAGACCAATATGTCATCCCCGGCAACATCCTCTACAAGCAGCGCGGCACAATCTGGTGGCCAGGCGAGAACTGCATCATGGGCCGCGACCACACGATCCATGCCATGGCGACGGGCTACGTCAAGTACTACCGCGATCCCGCGCGCCACCCCGACAGGAAATACATTGGTGTCGTCTACAACAAGGACGACACGCTCCCGTACCCGCAGAACGCCGAGCGCAAGCGTCGTCTTAACATGACGGCCCACACCATTGTGCCGCGCGCCATCGAGCCTGAGATTTCCGCCTCGGGCATCCCCACGCAGGTTGTGAGGCCCGGCGCGGCGGGCCCCGACGGCAAGCCCCGTGGCCCCGCGAGAATGCTGCGCCTGCGCGACGACTACAGCTACCGGGAGGACAACTGGCGGGTTGGTCGGCTGGTGAAGCTGGCGGGTGTGACGAAGAGGGGAGGCGGTCGCGGTGGGCGCAGCAGCCGCAAGGCGAGGTTCCGCTCGAGGCGATGGGTCAAGGAGAGGATGGCGCTGGGCAGGCGGAAGAGGGCCGAAGCCATGGAGGGCATGGAGGAGGATGAATGGACCATGATGGCTCAGCAGAGGGCGATCGAGGAGAAGAAAAAGAAGGCCAAGGGCCAGCAGGACGCCAAGAGGGCCAAGGCTGAGAAGGCCGCCAAACTCAGGGCTGCGGGCATGCGCAAGTCGGCCGCCAAGAAGAACTAGAAACGGGTAGTCGGTGTTGGGTGTACGGATAGATGTCTGTATTGTATCATATTGTTGCATAAGACTTGTGATATCACTGCCTTGGTGCTTGGAGAGGTTTTATGTTCGAGCTACCAGCTCTGGTCTAACAAGTATCGTCAGACGTAGTAATTCTCAATTCATCAAGATACGGGGCGGAGACATTAACCCAGAACTGCTCAGTCCCCACAGTCTCCGAGGTTCAATGGACGTGGAAATGCTGAACTCTATCTATCGTGGCCTGCACCGAGATGCACGGGCCAAACCACACGTGATTGCTTCATCCGTGTCCTATCTATCATTTCTACACCATGACAACCCTCGTTTATCCCAGGGCCACACTGAAGCTACCTCGCACGTCTAGCTAATCTTTTCTAAATTTCTCGCATTAGCCCTTGGTGTTGATCGTCGTGTTTTTTCAGTGCACGGCTGGGTTCAGCTTGACTCTCCCACGGCAGGGACGCGCCCCCTTACGCGACTTGGTGCGTGCACACCATAGGTACTCATTTGAAGTGAGGCTCAAGTCAAAATACGTTTACAAAATGACCATCGTGTCTCTCTGACACCATAATAAGGTCTATGAAACGATTCCATCGAGGGACTCACGGTGGATTCACGAGGCTTCGCCGCCCGCCACAATGAACGACCTCAAGGCACCGAACTTCATCCCTCCATGGGCAACGTCCTTGTTAGGGGGAAACCGGAAGGATGTCGCCGTTCCTTCAAAGGAAGCAGGGTCTCACAACGACAATGTCCGGACCGATAGTGCTGGGGTGAACCCCAAGCTCTCCGGCAAGCAGGGTGACAGGACTGCCAACGTCTACCAGGTGGATTCTTCAGAAGCCCCGAATGACACTGATGGCTCTGACGAAGTCGACGACAACAACGACGATGACGATGAAGACGGACTCCGCAATCTGCCACGGTCCTTGAGCCTTGAGACAGAACATACAGACAGCGACGCGGCCCGTCCCCAAAGCAGCTCGTCCCGTGCAGGAGAAAAGCAGCCATCTTTTCAAAGTGAGAACAGGCTAGCAAGAGCCGAGTCAAGCGCGGGATACGAGTCACTAAAGCCGAAGCACTCTGTAAGTTCTCGAATGAAGGAGCTTCAAGAACTGTGGGAACGAAACGTTCGAGACCAAACAGCCTCTGCATCTGAAGTGGAGTGGTTGAACGGAGGATTGCCATCATCTCCAGGCAGCAAGAGCAACACAGGCGCTCAGGTGCCTCGTCTTGATAGGGATCACAGTGGCGGCGCCGACACAGGTATGTACCATGCAGTATGATTTTGTATGGATACTGATGCAAGTAGCTGCATCGTCCTCAAAGCGCAAACGCTTGTTGCCTACTGCGGAAGCCCGCTTTACAGGCTACAAAGGTCGTCAAACTGAGATGATGCATGGCAATGACAGCGCCCGCTATAACCATTCCACACAAACACCGCGTTCACGAGAAAATTCCGGAACCTCTGAGGTAGCAAGATCCAAGGGAACAGGGGATATTCTCATCCCGGCGTCCGCTGCGTCGCATCAAACTACCGAGATGACCGAACACAGGCCTTTAGGCTCTGGTTCACGCCCACATATCATCAAGATCGATAGGAAAAGACCACGGGCCACATCATCGGAAGGGAACTCGAGTGACTACAGACAGAAAACGAAAGGTTTCCCCGACCGCAGTTATTTGATGGACGAAGATACAGCCTTCGACGAGACGACCCAGTTTGAGCATTCTACTTTCGAGCACGACACCATGGACCAGGACCCCCGTATCGGTGGGCCCGCAAAGAACATAACCCAAACTGCAGCAGGAAGACCGTACACTGAATGGCCTCAGCCCGACGGTACCACCCGCATCCACAACGGTGGTATATGTCCCACCAACTACCAACTTTGGAACGACCCAGTATTCCCCTACGTTTGTCCTGTTCGGAACTGCAGGTCGCTCAGTACCACCGTCAGCACAATCTGTGCGCACATGACAGGGAAGCACTGGGGAGGCATGTATAACGACAATATGGATGGAACCATTTCCTTCATCGACGTATATCGCAATAAGGGGACATCATCACCACCCATTATTATCACTCAAAACCCACTCCAATCAGGGGCTCCGCCCCCTGCAAACCCCTTCGTGAATGAACGGACAAGAAAGCGCACAGAGGAGCAGATGCAGCTGAGAAAACACGCAGCGAGTGCGCTTGATAGGTCTTTGGCTAGTATCCGCCAGATGTCGACGCAGAAATCGATGTCTGCTCTGGTCGAAAGCAGCCTGAGAAACACGGCAGCAACGAGGCCCCAAGAGAGAGGCGGCGAATTCATTACAGATGGTTCGTTGAAAAACGAAGATATTTATGTCTATCTCAAAAAAATCTTGCCGCCCGGCACCCCGATTCGTAGGAAGCAGCACGTTGCCGAATACCTGCAGTACCCAATGTTGCGCAAACTCCCCTCTTGGTGGAGCATCACGAACAAGAATGCCGAATCCTCTGCGACTGTTGCTAGCACGCTGCTTTACCTGACTGGGCGTCTCGCTCCGGAAAGCTGCTCGGCGTGCGTTGAAGCAGGATACAGTTGCGTCCTACCGCCTGTCAATGCGTCCGCCGCTTTGAAGCAGGATGCCAAAGGCTGTGGTGCGTGCTGGGGACGATCAATGATCTGGCACCAGCGTAACACGTGCTTGCACCTGACGAAGAAAGGTGACAGATCCTTGCTTACAGGAGCCGCCCGAAAACAAGCCAGCCCGATTCTCGGCGAACATCCAGCTGAAAGCCGACGGTCTACGTCACGGCTCGCGGCAGAGTCAGATCCAGATTCGCAGCTAGAGCAGGAGCTAGAGTCTGAGGGTGAGACAACAGATGGACCGCCATCCGCTGCCTCGACCACGCAAGCGGACTCCGCACGGAAAATGCAAAGGCTTGGTCCAACGCGAAGTCGGTCAGCACATGACGAGGGTATGGGCAGCGGCAGCAGCGCGGATGTAGACGAACTTGAGATGGAAGACTGGGAGGTGGCGCCGGGGCGGATCCGTGATGAGAGGGCACCAGCCGCAGAAAGTAAGTACTCACTATATGGTCGACGCCGTCGAGGAGACCTAACCGTGACAGACATTGCTTTCTCCAATTCGTACCTGACCACCAACCAACCTATCTCCATCTCGCCTGACGTCAGCTTCAACGTGGTTGTCGTCAAGCCCGGTTGCACGACACAGTGGGATGCCGTAGAAGGACGGCTACGTGTTTGCTCTGTGGCGACGGGCAAAGTGAAGGTACAAATGGATGGCGCAAAGTTTCAGTTAGGGCCAAACAGTATGTGGAAGATCCGGCCGGGGTCCAAGTGCTTGGCTACGAATCGGCTGTACACTGATGCAGCCCTACATGTTACGACGATCACAGAGGCGTGACAATGAAGGGTATGGGCAACCTAGGGAAGGGGGGGCATATAAGGCGAGCGCCTTCGGTACTCAAACTAAGCAGGAATCTTGAGGTTCGTGAGGCCAAAGCTTGGATTGACATGCTACATTGACGCAGAAAGGGGAAGAAATAATTACACAATATACCAGGAGCTGTCAGGCAGCTCATTTCTTAAAATCGCCATTGGACAGATGCTCCTCCAGGTCGTAGTAGACTTGGAACTCGCAGTAACAGTATTCAGGGTCCGCCTCAACGTCGCGGTTAAACTCGGCCTCTTCGTCGGTGATGAGGACCTTGGGGATGCCATGAACGCCCTCGGCGAGCAGCTGGACCTGGCAGCTGCGCTCCATGCTGGTGAAGAGGAAGGCGGCCTCGTCGACGGTGTGGCCGACTGTCAGCAGACCGTGGTTACGCAAGATGGCGCCCTTGCCGCGGGGGCCGAGGGCGGCGGCGATGCGGTGGCCCTCTTCGGCGCCGAGCACGACACCGCCGTAGGAATTGTAGACTGCCTGGGCGTCGCCGTAGAACTTGCAGGCGTCCTGCGTGATCATGTCGAGGCGGCGACCAAAGACGGACCAGGCCTTGCCGTAGATGCTGTGGGCGTGGCAGACGGCGTGGACGTCAGGTCGGGCCTGGTGGACGGCCGAATGGATGAGAAAGCCGGCCTTGTTCGGGGGTCTTGTGCGATTACCCCCGATAACGGCGCCGTCGAAATCGACGAGAATCATGTCGGAGGCCTTGAGGAGGCCGAAGTGGACGCCGAGTGGGTTGGTCCAAAAGGCCGAGGGATTTTCCGGGTCGCGTACCGATATATGACCGCTGAAGCCCTCGACGTAGTTGGAACGAGACCAGTGGCGGAAGGCGGCGGCTAGATGATTGAGAATCCACTCACGGTGGGCAGCGAAATTGGGGTGGACGGGGATGCCGGGCAGAGGGACGGAGCCATGGGAGATGGCCTCGAGGGGCGTCTGGTGGGCGAGCTCATGACCATGAGATATCTGTGCCGTCTTGGAGGCGGGGTTCACCTCAGAGTGTACAGCTGACGCTTGGGTAGCGGAGGGAGCCATGTTGTTGTTGCTGGGTTGTGCAATGCAAGGTTGTAGCAAGTTGGGTGAGAGAATCTGGATCTGGATCTGGAGCACTCGGTATGGACAGATTGGTGATGAAAGAGGAAGACTGTAGCCGACTGTGGGATCGAGCGGCTTGATGGTTCATTCATACACTGGATGTTATCAGAAGGCGCCTTATGAGGCCGTGTGCTCGAAGGGCGCGGATAACAGGCGGAGGGAAAGCCCGGCCCGGGGCTGCGGGGGTTGACCGGAGTGGCAGGGGTCACCGTGCCCGGGATTCCCCACTGTCTGGTTGGGATGTTGTGCCAGAGCACCTCCTCACAGACTCTGCTCCATGTAGTGAGGCGCACATTTCAGAATTCGACAGGCCTCCAGAATGGATCGTCATGAAGCTGCAAGAAAAAAAAAACAGTCTATGAACCCTCTCTGCTGGCATCTGTGTAGCCGCCGACGGGCGCCGACTACCTTGCTCTCCATGTTAAGCACACCGTGCGGACCCACGTCTCGCCCGGATGGCCCACTCTTGCCGCTTCACCCCGCAAATCATCACGATATCACGACATCTTGCTAGCTTAATCTCTGTTTGTCAATGCACACATTGGAGCTGCTGGACTCTGAAATAGCGAATCAGCTGGATAGACTGCGAGGGCTAGCACGAGAAGATAAAGACCGTATAGCTTCAATCAATTGTTCATCACCATAGTACTTTTGCATCCGTCGCGCGCACCTCCATATTCATGGCCTTGGAAAGCTGATCCACCCTCTTGCGGTAATAGCCAATCGCAGAAGCGAACCTTTCGCCGCTGGAGCTGCATTACTGTTTCTCCGTCTCAGTCCAGATTTTCCCTACACCATCTCACAAAAGACGAACAATTCCCCACGGCTCATCTCAACCCGCCGCCTGCATCATCCGTGTTGAAACTCATCATGGACGACTTTCAAGCCCTGTCGGATCGCTTTCTACAGTGGTTCAAGGCCGCTGGCGGCGAGTTCCGCGATGACCTCCTGCAGATCGTCGACCTGAGGCCGCAGGCCGCCGGTCGCGGCATCAGTGAGACTCCACAGGCTCACCTTCACCTTCTGAACATACCCATACTAACATGACGACAGTCGCTACGCGTGATATCCCTGAAGAGACAACCCTCTTCACAATTCCCCGTCAGGCCATCATCAACGTCCTGACGTCCGAGCTTCCCCAGAAGCTGCCTCAAGTCTTCGACGGCTCCATCGACGAGATGGACGACAACGCCGAGCCCTTGGATTCTTGGGGTCAGCTGATCCTCGTCATGCTGTACGAAGTCCTCCAGGGGGATTCTTCGCGGTGGAAGCCCTACTTCGACATTTTGCCGCAGCAGTTCGACACGCCCATCTTCTGGTCCGACGGCGAACTTCTCGAGCTCCAAGGCACCTCCCTGACGGCTGAGAAGATTGGCAAGGTCGAGAGCGACGCCATGTTCCGCTCCAAGATCCTGCCCATCGTCCAGGCGAACCCCGCCATCTTCTACCGAGAGGGCGCCGCCCAGCCCACGGAGGATGAGCTCCTGCACCTGGCGCATCGTATGGGCAGCACCATCATGGCGTATGCTTTCGATCTCGAGAATGACGACGAGAATGAGAATGAGGAGGACGGCTGGGTCGAAGATCGAGAGGGCAGAACGATGCTGGGCATGGTGCCCATGGCGGATACACTGAATGCGAACGCCGAGTTTAATGTTCGTACTTGCCACAACTTCACGCCCCACTTCCGCTTGTGCACCAGGGACTGATCATGACATTTCAGGCGCACATCAACCACGGAGAAAGCCTCGAAGCAACAGCTATTCGCGCCGACATCAGGGCTGGTGACCAAATTCTCAACTACTACGGACCCCTGCCGACATCGGAGCTGCTGAGGCGATACGGCTACGTCACGCCGGAGCACAGTCGTTACGACGTTGTCGAGGTGCCGTGGACACTCGTGAAGGAGGTCATAGTTTCCTGCCTCAGTCTCTCTGCCGAAGCTTGGAAACAAGTCGTAAGTCTGACCGGCCCTCCATCATGCCACAAGACTCAACTGAACCGTGCGTATAGGAGAGCCAGATTGACGACGAGGAAATCGAAGACTATTTTGTCATAGAGCGCGACTCGGGCGAGCCCGGCCCCGACGGCCGCTTCACAGCCCCTGCCGTCCTGCGCGAAGTCTCGCCCGAGCTCGCAGAGCAGCTCAAGGAGTTCCTGAAGGCCGTGAAGAAACTCGACAGCGAGCGCATCCCGGACAAGCGCAAGCGCGACGAGATTTGCGACGCCGTCATCGCCGAGGTACTCAAGGTGCGGCTCGCGCAGTACCCGACCTCCATCGAGACGGACGAGAAGCTGCTGGCCGAGGCGGACCTCCCCGCCCGCCGACGGATGGCTGTGGTGGTGAGACTGGGTGAGAAGAAGCTCCTACTCGAGGCCATTGCTCTCGCGCACGTGAACGCGCAGGGTTCGGCTACGGGGGACGATGGGGAGGAGAGAGCGTCAAAGAAGGCAAGGGTGTGAGCGACCGTGTTAGATCTGGACGATATACATTCAACAAGGGCTCGTATTAGCCTCAACGGCTGCGACAACATGGATATTCCGGGAGAGCTGGCGTCCTCTTTGGGAGGGATACACTGTACTAGTGGCGACAAAAGATAGAGGGTGCTGGGAAGGATTGACTGCCGGAAGCACCACGTCAAAATTGTGGCAGACTGTGCCAGGCATTGGGCTTTGCGATTGCGCGCAAAATTAGGGCATCGAGTAGCGAGGCGTTGTAACCCCAGCGAGGCGATGCATCATGAACTCGTATGGACAGTTGAGGAGTACGAAGCAGCACCAATTCAACTTGGGCCGACTGGCTCGCTCATTCCGAGCACACCTTTTTGGAGGCCTTGCGCAGCACACGCCCACCGACACGTCATGTTCCTTTCCCGGTCGAAGCCTCATAGCTTTTCGAAGGTATGTACGGTGCAGCGCGCCTCACACCGCCTTGCGGGTCTCATGGTGTTGAAGTGCCAAACCCATCATCTCGTAGATGAAGAACAGATTGGCGAGCCCCCTGACAGCGTCTCACAACATGCATGTCGCGAAGGCCTCTCGTACTTCATGTCTAGTTCCATTCGTCAGCCTTGACGAGCTAAAGCATGGCAAGTGCGAAAAGAAGTATGGGGCAAAGGGTGAAAATCGTTTTATCCGTTGCACCTTGCGTCTTGCTATGTTCTATGCCACATCATCGCCTTTCATAAACACCTCACGGCGACCTCGTGGTGCGCCCGCTGCTCCTCACGCTTTTCCTGCACTATGCAGCGGATTCCCTCTTAGCTAGGAGCCCGCTCGCGCCAGGTGGCGGCTGCAGACACGGCCGGCCTTTGTCGACGTTGCCGCCCTCACTACGAGGATCATTGTGCTGAGCAGGCCATAAGCGGACCCTCGATTTGATGCATCTTTTCCCTTTACTCCTCGTTCAGACCACGTCTGGTAGCCTGACAGCGATGTCTCCTGACTGTGTGATATACCTGACCCAGGGTAAGGAGGGGTATTGCAACTAAAAGGTTGTCAGATGTGTGTGCGTTCAGCTTGAATCCGGGGCGTAACATACTTTGGGTTCTGTAATCTTCAAGTAGCGCACCTGGATGCCACTTGTCGTGAAGTAAGGGATTTCAAACTTGACCTGAATGGGCCGCTTCGCACCCTTGCCAGGCGCACCAACACCACCCATGCTGCCGCCGAAGCCGCCCGTCATACCGCCACCATGCTCGTCATCACCTCGGACAGAGGGCAGACCCAGCTCAGCGCGCATCAGGAACTCCTTGCCACCTCCGAACTGCTTAATCTTCCACACGATTGCGCTCTGCTCGGGGGCGTAGTGAACAGCGCCAATATTCGTCCTGAAGCGTGGTGTGTCGGCGTCGTCGGGCACGGGAACGATAATCTCAACGTTGTTGGCGGTACTGCGGCGCTTGAACTGAGCCTTGGCCTTGAGCATGTACTCGACACGAGACCCCGAGTGAGACTCGACCAGGCACTCGACCCAGATCAGCGGCTTGACCTGCGTGTTCAGGCGGTAGCTCATGAGCTCGAACTCGCCGTCGGGGGGAATAAAGGATATGGTGCGGTCGTTTTCGAAGCGCGAAAGCCGCACGCACTGGTGGAACTTGACATCTTCCATCTCAATGGCCTTGCCGCGAGTCGTGCGCCCCGTCGTTTCGAACATGACCTTGTCGTTGAGACCGAGGCGCAGCTCGGGCATACCGCTGAGGTAACATTTCATCTTGACGGCACCGAGAATTTCCGAACGCAGGACGTTGCCGTTGGCGCCGACGAGCAGGTTGAGGGACTCGACAACGTCAAGGAAGACCTCGTTCTTGCGATAACGGATACCCTCTGATCGCCAAGACACGGCGTTGGTGACAGCGATGGGCGGTCGAGCTTGAATATCGAGCTTGTGCGACTCCTGGGTGATGTATTCTTGCAAAATCTTGGACTCGGTGGTTTGTGGGTAGCCAAAGTCCATCATCTCGTCGAGCAGCTCATAAATAACGACAAAGTTGTCGCGAATCGATTCCTCCTCGAGGGCCTTGAAGTACTCGGTAAAGACCTCGACAATCTTGTGTAGGAAGAGCAGAATTTCGGCGGCGTTTGTGTTTCGTTTCGTCAGGGCGAGGAGATACAGGTTGTTGTGGCGGATGTAGAGATAGTTGATGCCCTCGTGGGAGAAGCAAGGAGGCACGGCGGAGGACTCTTCTTCGGCTTCGCTGAGCAGAACGGGGAACTGCTCGACGGCAGACATGGGAATGTCACCTCGGTAGTTCCTCGCCAACAGGGTCTTGCCCTTGAGGTCGAGGAAGAAGACGGCAGACGCCATGGTGGTGGTTGTATCTCTCTGGAGGACAGTGTATAAGGAGGGGTCGTTCTCGGTGGGCTTGCGATCAATTGGCGCGTGGGCCAGGCGTGAGAGAGGTACAAGATGTCCGAGACATGCACATATAGTCAGAGAGGCTATCGTGGGAGTTCCCTAGCGTGGCGAAGGCACAGTGTCGTGGACGAGCAAAGGGCGATGCGGGTGCTGCCTGGACCGCGATCCTTGAGGCCAGGAAGATGCTCTGGCTCTCAGGAGTAGCTTGGTCGTCGTGGATGCGGTGTCAGGACGCACGGACCAGCCTTGTCACGCCAGCAGGCGAAGGCTTGATTTCTTGATAAGATAAACCTCCAAAGCTCAATGACAAGGTCACATGACCGGGGTCCACTTTGGGCCATCTCTCACTCATTGAAGAGAAAATTTCAGGACGGCCCTCGCGTTGCATGATCCTTCTCTTCTTCTCACCACCGCGCCCAATTTAGACAGTGCAGCTCAGCATTACCACAACCGGTGCCGGCATTCTGTCGGTACACCAGCCGTGAAGCAGTTGTTGAAGTTAGCGATGCTGAGGCGCGCAGAGGACGAAGCGCAAGCTCGGTGCCATAAGAGCTGCCCTTGCAGTCGTTCCACCTCCGGGTGGAAGCAGTTGCGTTGGCGGCGTCAGAGGCACCGGACATAATTTTATTTGGCCGACAGGGGAACATATTTTTGCGTGAGCATGTGGTTTCTCGGCCAAGGCGAGTGAGTGAATCGGGCGAGACCTGGCCAGGGTAGGGTTCCCGAGGTGCTGGTTGACTCGGCCGAACGTCTGTCGCGAAGAGTTGCATCAGTGTTGCCGTTGCATTGACTCGCGGCAGCTCTCACGAGCCTCGAACAGCCTCATCAGCTGTAATACGGGCGCAGGCCAACCTCGGGAAAAGTCGTGCATGCGTCCTTATGTGTCAACGGCCCCCCAATGGCCCTCGCTTGTATTGCAGCCGACGGATGAGAAGCTTTCCGTTTTGGTGACCCTGACGACAGTGACCACAGTCGACGGCATCCACTTGGTCGGTCCAAACCATTCCCAGAATGTCGTCACATGAGCTCCTTCACAGGCCACCTCTTAGTCGTCCGCCCACCCCCTCCCCCCATCCCGGCATGCTTGATCAGCGGAATGGGGCAGGCTGAATGGGTTCCACAAGACAATCTGTCAGGTGTGATGGGTACAGAGGAAGGCATCATGTTGCTGATCTCTACAGTATCTGCCCAATATTTTGGCTGGTACGCATTGCGGACAGGCAATGGAACTTCCTAGTTGCCACCTTCACAAGCTCACTCTAAGGGAGGTCATCCATGTATGTGTGTTAGGCTTTCATCGTACATCCGTTCGCCCTGTATCCCCTTTAGGCACATGCAGGTGGGGATGGGACGGGCGAACGTCCAAACAGGAAAGGGGCTGCAGGCATCGAAAATAACCGGTCGGCCATTCAAGAATCGCTTGTAGTAGCCTCTCAAGTCAAGTTCGCCCACCTCATCGTGAGAGCGTCCGACCTTCCTCTTTGTTGGCAAGCCGAGTGTTGGCGCTCCCACAAGCCAAACGGAAAAGCACCGCTTCCAACCAGCGTCGGGTGTCGCTGGGGTGTGTGCCTGGGGCCGATTGCCGGCTGGGCGTCCCGTCGTGACCGTAATCTCGAGCTGACATCTGATGACGGTCACTACTGTTAAGGTACGTGGTGAATCTGTGCCGGGGCGCAGTAACGGCGAGTACACAGGTCTTGGCGCTAGAGATCAGCTGCTTCGCATGTGATGATGGCAACGCAAACCCAATTCTCTGACACGTGCTTCCCCAGCTTTCGCAGCCCTTTTCGCGCCGGGGCCCTCTCTTGCCCAGTCGCCCACTGTCGCTCCTTCGCTTTCCCCCTCCCTGTACCTGCTTGTGACTCGAGCCTGGGCCACTATCGGCATTGATGCGGCCAGCGGCTGGAGGAAGGGGAAGGCACTTTATTTTCTTCGCCTGTAACGGCGTTCAGCGGCAGGGGTCATGAAGCGACTGGAGTGAATGAAGGAATGAATTGACAGAAAAATGCCGGACTTGCATCTTGAGGAGATGACTCGTCACAAGCAAAGAGGCCACCCATTTTCAGACGACAAGAGGCGTAGGTACCTCGCAGTAGCAGCCGGCCGAGCGAGTAATCACTAAAACCGGGCGCTCCAGTGCCTCGGACCCTGCAGCGGCCGTCCATGGTGGATTAGCTAGCACCCGAGAGACCCCCCAGAAGCCCTCCCCCCCACGACTGGGAACCATTTCCCACCCCCCTAAACCTAGATTGAGCCTGCAGCAAGCACCTGACGCTCACGGCGCGACAGCCCCATCAGGTCGCTTCACTAACCCCCCCCCCAAAAGGCTTGCTTTCAGCAGGCAGGCTGCCAGGCGGCTTTACCACTTCCCTCGTTCTCTCGCCCGATACCTACTACCTACATCCCAATCCCATCCCGTCTTCGCCTCCTCTCTCTCCTCCCACACCCCCCCAATTCCCCATCTCCCGCTCCCCCGTCCCAATACCTTCCTGTTCTTTCCCTCTCCTCCACCGTTACACATACCGTGGTCCTGGTCGAGAGTCTCGCTTCCCGTCGCTCTCATCGACTCGTCACCCCGTTAGCCGGTTACACCGCACTCTCTGTTCTACATCATCCGACCCATCGTACCCGCCGCCGCTCCCTCATCGACTTCCTCCACCCCCTCCTCTCCTCCATGCAATCCTGATATTGCGCCTTGCCAGGCACCTTCGTCAACCCCCTCCGTCTCGACGTCGCCCGTGCCAATCTACGACGTAGGGGCGTCTTGTGGTTCCTCGACTCGTCGCTGTCGCTGTCACTGTCGCTGTCGTCGCTGCCGCACGGGCATGCCATCACTGGCATTCCTCGACAGAGACACACTTTAGTGCTGCGACATAGACGACCCTCGACCCTCAATGGATCCCAATCATATGCTGCCGCGGCCTGGCGAACGGCAACGGCCCTCCTCTAAACAAAACCGATTCGATCCGACACGCGACCTCTCCTCACCGCCGTCCTATGCGCCTCCGAGCTATCAGAATCATCCGCAATCCCGCGCCGAACTCCTGCCACCCATCCTACCGCCAGCTGCCGTTCACCATGATCCCGCGTCGAATAAGCTACCCTCGCTATCGTCCCTGACCGGCCCGCCCCCGCCCTCCCGCAACCCTCCCCCGATCCCGACTTCGCGGCCGTCAACATCGACTTCGATCTCATCCAGTGCAACCACAAAGACGGCACCTGCGTCCCAGGAACCTGCGGCGCCCGCCATCACGCACTGGCCGAGCATGAACCCGTTCACGACCTACTACACTCCGAGCCATGTCCAGCAGGCTGTCCAGTCTTCCGCCAAGATGGATGTGGACACCACCTCCAGCGCCGGCAACAGTCACACTGGCACCTCGCCTGACAGGTTGTATGATGCGCGAAGCGTCAGCGTCAGCCTGGACGACCCAGAAGTGCGGCTGGCAGCTGAAGCCTTGGGAGATCTCAGAGCAGGTGGGTGACGTTGGAATGCTTGTTGGCTTGGCCATTTCACTAACACACGTGTCCCCAGACTTTGTCAACTCTCCCCCTAGCAGGAGCACCCCCCTTCCCCCAGGGTCGCCGGCCCTGTCACTCGCGGCGCGTTCTAGTACAAACACCCAGTCACCTCAACAAGAGCCGCTCTTCTCGCTCCTCACCACATCCCACCCTTTGCTCGCGACCACCATTGAAGGTGCCACCTCGGCGTACAATAACTCCAAGAACTTCTCGCCTCGCTTCAAGACGAGCGCCGAGTATGTCGAAGGCTACCTCACGCCCATTGCGAATACGGTTGGGTCTGTGGGCCGCGTTACTGGTGTTGAGGGTGGAGTCAGGTGGTTCTTGGGTGAAGGTCGCCGGCCTTCGGACCTTGAGGCCGGGCAGGGTAGCTCAAACAAGAGGAGGAAGGTCAGGGGCGATGACATGGTCGGCGTTGTCGTGGACCCCGCTGCGCATATACTCGCCGCCGCTGCTGTTGCCGAACAGGAATCGAATCGCGATTCGTACCTTTTCAAACACGACAGACGCCTGTCGAGGGCCAGCACCATTGATACACTCCCCGCCTACGACGAGTCTCGCTCTCCGGCCTACACCGAAGATGACAAGCAGAATGCCCAGAGGGGTAGCGCAGCTGAAGCGCGCAAGTCCCGTCTGGTCATCTCAACGTCGGGTCTAGCCGTGTCAATGAGCAAGGAAAGCCTCCGAAGTCTGAAGTACTGCCTACGATGGCTCCGACTGGCCAACGATCACATTGGCGGCGTCGTCGGCCATCTCAAGACGACGCTTGAACAGTACGACAAGGCTGCCGGCCCCGGCCAGGAAGTCAAGGCCGAGCAGTCGCCTGACGGTGAGACTATGGAAGTTGATGGCCGTACCTCCAACGATACGGAACACCAGGAAGACCCCACTGTGCTCGCCGCCAGGATCACGGCGCTCAAGGCCGATATTCTCAAGAATTTGCAGGCCGCCATCGAAACCGTGTCCAAGTACGCCGGTGGAGCGCTCCCCGAGAACGCACGGGTCTTGGTCCACCGACAGATCACCAGTCTGCCGCAGCGCTTCCGATATGCGAGCATGGTCGAGCAGCAGCAGAACCAGGAGGGAGGCGAGAGGCAGCAGGAGGAGATGACACGCGAGGGTGCCAACAGGGTGCTTGTCCTGGCCAAGGAGGGCCTCGACATGATCACCCAGGTCAGCGGCGTCATTGACGGAACCATCGTCAGCGCCGAGGAGTGGTGTGATCGTCTCGGCAGCAAGCGCAAGGATGAGGGCCCGGTGCTACCAGAGGCACATGTGCCGGTTGGGGACGTCAAGGCGGCATGAAGCGTCAGGCTACGAGGCCGGATGCCTTGGGGCACTCTTGAGTTACCCGACTACCTCTCCTACAAAGAGAAGGCAACCGTAAGCAAAGCGACACGCCACGGGGAGCAACAGACGGGAAGCGTAAAATACGAAAAGCAGGAAGATATTCCTGACCGAAATGGATCCGGATACGAAACACGGCGGAAGAGAAAAGAAAAAGTAGGGTGCAGACCAAAGACTTTGTTCAATGGACGAGAACCCAAACAAACTCCAATCCATCTTCTATGATACCACGGAGGCGACCGTCCTCATTGATATTTTTATTTTCCTTTCTGTTTTCAAACCCCTATCCTCACGCCCGCCCCCCATCTTCTCATTTCTTCGTCTACCATTTATACCATGATAGCTACCAAGGTCTTTTTTGTCATTTGCTTTTATCATTCTTGATCTACTTAGAGGTTTTCCACATCCATCTGCTCGCGCGAGTGTGATTACGTGACATCTCCTTTTGCTCGTGGCGTGCTGGTAGATGGAGATATACGAGAGGCATGGCGTTTGCGTGTGAAGGACTTTTCACCCTTCTATACCAAAACCTATGTCCGAGAGCACGTGTGCTTACTCTTCCCTTGTGCAGTCATGGGTTTTGCATGCCTTGTCCTCACGCGGTTGTATGTACCATCTACGTCACGAAGGGGGTCATTCCTTGATCACAAGACAAGACAAGAAAGACACTTGATTTGGCTACCACATGATAAAAAGATGATCGTTATGTTTGACTGACTGCGAATTTGTTCCAAAGGAACCTTTGCTACGTAAAAAGCCGCCCCTTGAAAACGTGGCAGAGAATGAGGGTATCGTGATGTGTGTGCTATGCGCGATGGGGGACGGACAGGACGTGAAAGCCGATTCATTGCAGCAGCGGCGTCTGCTCGCTCGCAGCGCCCTCGGCACCGCCAGAGCTCTGCCGTCCGTATAGCAGCTCGACGTCCTCCTCGTGGCCCTTGCGGATGGCTTTTTCGCGCAGATACCAGCCCGCGCAGACGCCGGCTCCTGGGCCGAGGAAGACGGAGACGCCGAGGACGGCGAGGACGACCTTGAGGCCGGCCTCGACGAGAAGCCAGTAGAGGGTCGTGACGCCCATGAAGGCCATGTCGATCTCGATGATGGTGATTGTGCTCTTGGTTAGATCGCGGCGGTCGTCGCGGTGGGTCAGGCTCCAGATCCAGTGGATGTGGGCCGCGAGCGAGCAGACGACGGGGACGAGGTAGACGAGGGCCAGAGCGGGGCGGTTCGACTCGAGGTCGAGGGTGCGACGGTGGCTTCCGTTCGAAGAGAGAGCAGAGCGGCGGCGGCGGCTGGGGAAGAGGCGGGGCTGGAGGCTGTGGATGGCCGTCTTGGCGGCGCGGCGGAAGAGGGAGACCCAGATGGGGAAGAGCAGCCAGAGGCCGATGGTGGCGGGGGTGTTGTAGATGAGCATGAGGATGGAGGGCAGGACGAAGCCGAGAGCGACGGCGTCGGGGATGGCGACTGCGTCGGCGTCGGTCTCGAGGTGGCGGCGGCGGATTTTGCGCTTGAGGGCCTCCTCGGCGGTGAGAGACTCGGCCTCAGGCTCTACTTCTTCTTCGGCGGCGAGTGCGGCAGACTCTTCGTCGTTGGAGGAGCTCGAGCTCGAGGCCGAGGATACGTGACGCAGGCGACGGCGGTTGGTGGGATTGAAGCGGACCTCACGGCCCATCTGCAGCATGAAGCTGCCGACGATGAGAAGCTGCCAGATGATGGAGCCGCCGAGGAGGTTCATGACGAGCCAGAGCAGCATGAGACGGCGCAGCAGCCAGTTCGGGCGGCTGCCGTTGCGGGATGATTCGACAATGGTTATGGTCAGCAGTGCGGCGAGGAAGCTGAGGCTCACAGCCATGACTGCCCATGACCGGACGGAGGCGAGAGCCAGCTGGAAGAAGGAGAGGGCGAAGCATAGGGTGGCACCGAGACCGGGGATCCACGAGACAGACGGGAGGCGTGATCGCGCGTGGCATTGCGAGAATAGGAGAGCCGTGTTGACATCGGCATGAACCACGATGACGGCAAGCGTCAGCACGGCGAGGAGGGGAAGCGGGATCAAGAGGGGCCTCAGGGCGAAGGTGCGGATGGGCGGGCGGCGGAGGTAGCGCGGGAGCTCCATCGCTGCTGTGGTCGAGGAAATGATCTGTAGTAGAGGAGATTGGGTCACGGCGTATCCCAGGATGAAGCTGATGAAAATGCGCTATTGAGGGTTGATCGATGGTGAGGTGAGGGTAAGCTGCGTCGACAGGTCGAGACAGTTAGCCAAGATGACGTTGATGTCCCGGTCACAGGCGTCTGAGGTGAGGCAGGCGCGTCAGGTCCAGAGCGTGGGCAGACAGATGCACGTGCCAGACATTGCCAGTCATGTGCAGTGCCCAGCAGTGGCCTCCTCTCCCCGCCCCGCACATGGATGCCTGCTGCGATGCCCTGCCATCCTCACCATCACCATCACCACCACCACCAGCTACAGCCACGGCTGCCACACCCAACGGAAGAGGCTGAGACATCAGTCACACGCCTGGTATGCGGCTGATCTCGAGGGTGCGGGGGAGGAATGCCGTTGTGCTTATTGGTGTCTGTCGTTCTACCATCAGAGCGTTCGGCAGTCTACAAGGCACGTTCGTTGCCTCCGAGTCGGATTCTTCAGGCTTGACATCAAGAGTCTGATTTGACATCAAAGGTCCGACTGGACATCAAATGTTCGACTGGGCATCCGACATCAGACGTCAGGCTAGATCTTCCACCATACAAACACGATAAAACGAACATCGTCCCTTGGCAGGCTTGACCTCTGGCAAGTGTTGGCCTGCGACCTACGCCTTCGGTCTGGCCAGACCGCCGCCTAGAGACGCCCGACTGACCAACGACAACGGCTTGCAGCAATGGCTCTCATTTTCCCTCGCCTTATTCCTTTCCAAACCTGTGTCTCCAGGTACCTTATTCATCGTCTCACCTCCCGACGCAGTAGATCATGCCATCATGGTCTCCGTTGACATCTGCTCACTTGAAGCAGCGTCTTGTGTCCTCACTCCATTGGCGCTCGCTCTGACGTTCTTGAGGGAAATGGCGACCCCTGGTGCCCATCGCCTCACAATGTTTGATTGCGTTACAATCCTGGTGCCCCATGCAATTGTGCCCGCCGATATGCCACGTGGAGGAGCTTGGTACCGTTCCTTGTTCTGCTGGCTTCGCCTCCCCCTGGCCAGTGCCTGCATGAGCATTATCTCACTATCAGCAGATTCCGCGATACCGCCTCTGCCTGCTGCCACACGTCCAGCCATTGAGCCATCCGAGCCCCAAAGCCTCGCTATATGTGCCTGGGCCACGCTGCCTTGTTTTGTTGGCCGCCCTCACGGTGTTGGATCAGCGGGATCGGCTTGTTGTCATGAGCCCAATATTAAACTTCCCGTCTCGCCCGTCATTTTCTGAATAGCATTGCCGTTGCAGCGCCAGGTTTCTCGCCATAGAACCTTTTGTTCACTTGTGCTTCGTTCATCAAAGGTCGCCGTCATGGCTGAGCCCACCAACACCCCTTTCCCACCCAGCACCCCGAACCCCGCCTCTACCCCGCGAGCCGCTTCGCCCGCCTCTCCGTCCGACTTCCGCTCTCCAACAACAACGCGACCGCTCTCCGGCAGGAAGCCCGTCGTCCTCCACATTGGCGACCCCATTCGATACAATCCTGAGACCTTCCACCAGTTTGAGGCTCAATGCGACATCATCCGGCCCTCCGCTGCCGAGCGTCAGCGCGATGAGTTCAGGCGCGCCTTGCTTGAGCGCCGCTGGGGTGAGTTTGACGCCATCTTCCGCCCCTTTTGGGGCACTGGCGGCGAGATGGGACAATGGGACGAGGAGCTCGTCAGCCTGCTGCCACCAAGTGTCAAAGTCTTTGCGAGCGCCGGCGCCGGCTTTGACTGGGCGGACACGAAGCTCCTCGGCGCGCGCGGCATCGTTTACTGCAACTCAGGTCTCGCCGCCGCTGACGCCGTTGCCGACTTTGCCCTCGCCATGATCATCGCCACCTTCCGCCACCTCCCCTGGTGCGTCGGCGCCGCGGGCGCAACCAACCCCGCTGCCTTCCAGGACTGCCACGAGCGCGCCACGGCCGTCTCCCACACCCTCCGCGGCCAGGCCCTCGGTCTCATCGGTCTCGGCAACATTGGCCACGCCATCGCCGCACGCGCCGCCTTTGGTTTCGGCATGGCCATTCACTACCATGACGTCTACCGCAAAGAGGCCGCTCTCGAGACGAAGCTGGGCGCCACGTTTCACGCCGAGCTCGACGACCTCCTGCACGTCGCCGACTGCGTCGTGCTCTGCGCCCCCTACGCAGGCCGCCACATCATCACGGCCGCCTCGCTGCAGCACTTCAAGCCCGGGTCGCGATTCGTCAACGTCGCGCGCGGCAGTCTTGTCGACGAACCCGCCCTGGCCGACGCCCTCGAGGCCGGCCTCTTGAGCAGCGCGGCGCTCGACGTGCACGCCGCCGAGCCGGCGGTGCATCCCAGGCTCGCGGCCATGGCGGGTTCCAAGGCGTTTCTGACGTGCCATAATGCGGGCGGCACCGTCGAGACCCATGCTGGGTTTGAGGAGCTGAGCATGCGGAACATCATGGCCGTGCTGGCCGGACAGGCGGCGGTCACGCCCGTGAACCTGGAACATCTGCAGGGATGATGTTCGGTCTGGAAGCTCTTCTGTAGGCATTTGAGTTGAGTGGATGTATGATTTACGATTACCCTTGTGCAGTGGGATCCAAACCTCAAGCGATTGCTGAGAGGATTTATGGCGTGCCGTGACTTCGCCCTGCCAGTTCATCATGAGAAAAGCGCATATAGACAGACTCGTCGCAGTGCAAATCCATGCCAGAAAGATATCATGTTTATTGCTCAAGCCCGACATTCCTCGTTACCCAAGTGAACCAGTACCCGAAACGCCGCCGAGGCTTCCTTTTGCCCGAAAATCAAAAGAGTTGGTATCATCAAGCCCTCGGCTTCTTCCGAACGAGGCCAGCGCTTAGAACGTTGATCTTGGCAGGCTGATCTTCGTTCTCCTCTATCGCTGGCGCCCTCTTACGCTTCACCATCCCGGAGAGGTTATTCACAGTCCCAGTTGCCGTCGCAGAAGCTGCATGGTCCACCACACTAACATCGCGTTGGCCAGTGACCTCCAAGCCCCACGGCTCGCCCATGCCAACCTCACTCACCCACCTCCTTGTGCTGCCCTTAGCGAGGTCCAGATTGGCAAAATCGAGGTGGAGAAGCAGTTCTATCGAACGCTTGTAAGCCGATTCCTCGACAACTCGCTGCCCGCGCCCCTCGAGGGGCCAATAGTAGTACGCAGTGCTGATCTTGCGAGCCCTGAACTGGTTGCGTCGTTGCGTTTTGATATTGGGCTGGCGCGTCTTGATGATGCCGCGGAGAGGCTTCTTCTTCTTCTTGGCCTTCTTCTCCGATTTGGCCTTGGAAGCTGCATCAGCGGACTCTGTCGTTTGAAAAAGCTTTCTTGGGGTGAGGAGCAGATTAGCCGTGCTCGTTGTGCGTTGTTTTGATGGAGTCGAAGGCGGTTCGGCCGTGGAGGGCGTGATGAGGGAAGCGCTGGGCGTAGGAAAAGATGTGGGAGCGTCTGCTCTCTGTTCACCGTTCTTGGGGTCAAACACGACCCAGATGAATCCCGTCAGCCTGCCACTGGAGCACTCTTGTCGATAGGCCAGCATCTCCCAGAACTGGTCGAGCGAGCGGATGCCCTTCCACATGCCTGTCGTCTGGAGCTGTTTTGACTTGGCCGACTCTTCATCCAGCTCGTCCCGGTACCGAGACTTGGGATCGTCGGGATACTTTGGGATAAGGCATCTTGGCGGAACCCAGTCGTACTCCCTGGTGTAGTGCGATATTCTTTCCAGCGGATGTCCCAGTTCCCAATGAGCGGCCACATTTTCTGTCCGGGGCAGGAAAGCTTTGGTTTCGTACGCGTCCAACCCGGGGATGACGAGATAGGCCTTGGCGGCCGCCCAGTCTCCTGCCGGCGGCGATGCCAACAAAGGATTCAGCACCTTGCACCACCACTTCACCAAGCCCCTGTCATCAAGCACGTGTTTCGTCTTGTTCTTGATGCTACCGGGAAACAGATATTGATCCTGCGCACGAGCGAACAAGCTGACAATGCACTGCTTGTCTTTGCGTTGGCGCTGCTCGATGAGATATGACATAAAGGCGCCGCAGACCTCCTTGATGGGCGATGGCGTGCCTTTCAGGAGGCCCAAAAGTGCGAGATATCCGGTGGAGTCGGCCTTGGAGACGAAGAAAGTACTCGTGTACGCGGTCGTGAAGATGAATATCTCGATCGCAAAGGCAAGCACCGTCGGGCTTTCGTGGTCGCCGCCATTGGCTGTTGATGTTGAGCCGGTTGCGTCGACGGTCACGGCAAGGAAGTGATTTTCGCAGTAAGTCTTATCTTCGTGCTCGTTGGGTGGTGCAGAGAAGAGTGCGTCCGTCTTGGTTGGCGGCGTTGACAGGTGGTAAACGCCAAAGGCGATATCCTTGGGAAGCACCCGTGACAGCCTCTCGACGAGGAGGGGCTTGCCTGGTGCGAGTTTCGGGGGTATAGTAGACATTGCAAAGGGCTACTATCTTGACTTTTTTCCTTTGCGGCTTTGGTCTTGATCGCAATGGATGGTGACGCGACCCAATCGACCGACGAGCCCCAACAAGTCAACGGGAAGGCAACTGTCGCGATCTTGGACGCGTTGCGACCTTCAATTGCAGGTGGAGTCGGAGCTGACAGGGGTGATATTCAGGGGTCTAGCACTGGGCTGGCCTAGCCTCGATGCCGTAAGCAGCGCGAGTCCACGTGACGTCGAAGCTCCCGTTGACGAAAAAAGTCATGCTGCGATGTTCCTACCGCGAGCTCTAGCCCCGTATCGACCCTACGATCAACCCAAGCATCACGCCTTTGCCATTCCCGATATTATTGGCACAATGGCGACGAACAACCCCCGGTCTGCAGCATTCGCTGTCTCGAAGCGTGCTCTTCAGCACTGCCGGACCTCGCGAACCGCATCCTCCTCCCCTGCGCTGCAATGCGCCCGAACCTTCGCTACGACCCCGGCCAAGGCCCAAAACGAGAGCAGCAGCAAAATTGATCAGTTATCCCGACGGGTGGAGGATTCTGAAAGGCCCGATGATTTGAAGAGCCAGCGCCCACGCTGGTCATACACCCCAGAGGCAATGAAGGCCCCCTTCTCGCCGCACATCACCAAGAAGCCCTCTCGCAGCGTGTGGCACGTCAATTCGGATCCCAAGAAGCTCGACCAAATGTATGTGCGCTTCTTGGGCCGGGATGGCGACAAACTTCTGCCGGAGGAAATCAAGTGGCTCGCTGTCACACATAAGAGCTTCGACTACGGAAGGAGGGGGTTCAACGACAGGCTGGCGTTCCTCGGTACGTACGCGATTACGGAATAATGGCAAGAATATGCTAACACGCTTGCAGGCCGTCAAGCCGTCGTTCTCGAGGTTGCTCAGAGCATTCTATCCGCCGCCCCCAAGCCCGGCGCAGTCGTTGCCGACGAATTCAACCGACAGCCGTTTGAGCACCCTGCGCTTGCAAGGCTCGACAACTTCAATGCACAGCTTCCGCATGATGTTGTCTCGAGGGAAAAGATTGAGCAGCTGGCCATCGATGTTGGTCTGGATAAAGTACTCAGGTGGAAGCCTAGACTGGTAAGTTTCATCGAGGAGTCCTGTAGCTGGATGACATGCTGACGACAAGCACAGCCCGAGAACCTGGCAGGATCCGGTGTTCAGGTCGTGCTCAACGGTGCCGTTCATGCCATCATTGGCGCAATTTCGTTGCAGCATGGCGCCGAGGTCGCGGGAAAGATTGTGCGGGAGAGGATACTTTCGCAATTAGCACTCCAGTGAGGGCGGCAGTAGACGTGGATCTGTAACATAGGTGTATTATCACAGCGTGTATACCACACATTTCATCTTACCGAGGTTGCTCGAACACGAGGTGAAAAGGGGTTGTATAAGTTTGAGGGGTGTTTGGTAGGTGTCGCCCATGAGTGCCGTGCCTAGGTAGCCGTCGTTTGAGATGCCCCTGCATGTCTGATTTCATATCATGACGGCCAACACAACAGTTTCGATCACGCCACGCTGCGCACGCTGGTCCCCAGCTGGCCCTTCTCCACAAGTTCCACCCGCGGTTGGACTTTTCCCCATATCCTTTCCGCAACCTCCTCGACACTGGCTCCCGCATCTACGACGACCAAGTCCTCCTCCTCCTGGCGGAATTCCCGGTCCACGCGCCGGTCCTCGTCCCTTAGACCGCCGTCGGCTCCTATCCGACCCATGGCCAGGCCCCAGAAAAGCTCACGCACGCGGCGCTGCATCTCTCCGCGTTCGTATAATTCGCCGCCCCAACCGCCGCGAGACTTGGCTGTCGCTTCATCGAGATCGAGGAAGAGGACCAGGTCGGGCCGAGGGAGCCCGACGTCAGGTGCGCGCGCCCAATGCAGTGACAGAGAGGGATTGTGCTTGGCGGCCGAATAGACGATGCCTGAATGATAGTAACGGTCGCACAAGATCGTGGTGCCGGAAGCGAGCAATTGACGAATGGTTTTCCTGTCAATGTTAGTGATGTGGAGTCTTCGGGAACTGTCATGACCGCTCACACAGCCTCCCAGCGATTGGCGCTGAAAAGAAGATGAATAACGTGGTCGTCCATCTCGACGGAGCTCTTCAGGTAAGCGTCGATCATCTGGCCGATGGGTGTCGAGCGATCTATCAATCATCAGTAAGGGTTCGTAAGTATCTTGTAGGCGACGAGGATCTGGGACAGCCAATCGTGTCGCGTGAGCCCGTTGATGGTTCATCTTACCCGGAAACCTCATTACCTTCACCTTCTTCCCTAGCTCGACGAAACGCTGCTCTAGTAGTTTCACCTGTGTCGTCTTGCCGCTGCGATCCAAGCCCTCAAGGATGACCAATGCTCCGCGGGTGATGGCCGACTCGGGCGCCACGAGTTGTCCGTCATCCATAGCGATGCTTGGGGCTGTGGCCTCTTTTTCGGGGCTGACAGCGGCTTTGGAGGCAACTGCCTCGGTGGATGTCGCAATAGCAGCTATGGCTAGGTCGTTGATAGATGCCATTTGGCCGCTGGTGTGCGAGTAATGCAATTGGTTGCAGGATGAGAGGCTTTATATTGGGCGTATGAGTATCCCACGGCCTTGTGCAACGTGCGCTACGCAGAGGTGGGGTCGCGCCCAGCAGACGTGGAGAAATACGCTAATATCATAGGTACGCTTCCAATCATCCTCACTCTCCTCAAGAGCAATACTACTTTGAGTGCACATCGTCATTAATCAAATAATGCTTCCTTCGCAGCATACCTAAAATGACTACCCATGAAATAAGTATAGAAAGGACAGCTCTCTTCTACTTGCAAAGAGTTTCTGTGAGGGACTGTTCGTACGGGGAGACTGTTGTCTCACGAGGTAAATACTGTGCAGCGTACAGATGGAGAGAAAAGAGCCCTGGCGGGAATAGGTCTTCGGCTTTTACTTAGTCGGAGAGTCACAGTCGCCCGAAGGCATCAGGGGCAATTGCGAATGCTAGTCAAGAAATAAGGCCCTGCAGACCGAGACGCTGGCATGTGAGTGACAGAACAAGCCGGTTCCAAATCCGGCACGGCAAACACAGGTAACATAAACATACCCCCAACTTCAGAACCATCTCAACACCTTGTATCTCAACGAAATACTCTGAAATTCTACTTAAGTAGATAACGGCGATATTTTCAATGATCTCCCTATTTTGAGTAATTTTGGGCTCATGCATAGTATAGTATGACGGTTCAAAGTACACTCACTTTTAAGAGTGTGGCTTTTTTTGTCACATCCGTGACTGGACACACAGAGCAACACTTTTGCAGATTCCGTAGTTCTGGACTTCAAATGTTTCCCACCACCTTACCCCAAACTGACTGACGTACTGGTGTTGCGGTAGACACCCTCGCTCTACCTATAATGACGATTCACCATGCAATTGACTGTGTATGTTCAAAGCCACATACGAGAGCAAACAACAGTAGCGAAATAGCGTGTACGACCAAAACTATTCTAGCTACTGTCTACAGTTGACCAGGAGTTTTTTCTTCTTGGCTTGCGCTCTGTGCATCTACCTAGATCTGACATCGTGTTTCAATGCAGAGACGTTCTCCTGCCAGCACCTACACTGTAGGGCAAAGTCAGGCCTGGTGGCCTTTTACAAGAATAGAACGGCGAGGAAACTCGCAAACGCCACGTTGTAGAACGCTACAGAGTAAAGGGTTACTCCAGCAGCAGTCACAACCGAATCTGGGGGGGGTCTGTTGTCTTTAGCTCCGGTCTTGCCTCCGTTTGGCCCGGGTGCACCCTTGTCCACTCCAGATGGGGGAGGCTTCTGGTTCTTGTTTCCGTTGTTGCCAGGCGTGTCTGTAGACTTGTTGTTGCCTTCACCCCCAGACTTGTGAGACGCTCCACCATTATCCTCATCTTCATCGTCGTCGTCGCATATCAGACTCGGTTCGGGAGTCGGCTTCGCCACAAGCTGCTTGGCACCCGCCAAGTAATCAGGAGTAATCACAGTATCACTCCCAGGGCACCACGTCGTCAATTTGGTGACGACTTCTGTAGTGACAGCGCCCAGAGGGCAATTATGGACCGTCGTGGGGCAAGCCGTGATGGTAGCGACCCTGGTTTCATAAATGGTGGAAGTCATGGTTGGATGAACCGTCGTTCTTTCAGCCCCGTTGGTCGAAGTTGTCGAGTTTGATAGCCTTGTTGTGTGGCCTAGCTTGGAGCCAGATGGATCGGCCCTTACTCTACAAGTCTTTGTTAGCAGACATGTCGAGAAACGTTGCTCATCTGATTCGATAAGAAATTTCATTGATACTTGAGGACACAAGTAGTCCAGCACGCATCTTCACCCTTATTCTGTTCGCCGAGAACATGCGTATTTACGCCTCAAGACAGAAATGGCATCACTTACGCTGGTTTGCAACCGGTTAGGTCCGGAATGGCGTTTGGACCGCTGCCAAAGGTGACAACCTTGCCCTCGCAGTCCGCTGCCTGGGCCAAAGCAACTTGACGGTTATCAAAATCGTAGCTGATGTACGCCGCTTGGAAGAATGGTGCTGTTCGTAGTCCGTGTTAGCGAGCGCTGGCTCCAAAGGTTGTGGTAGCTTCGACTTGCCTCCGAGCACCAACTGTCCCTTCCAGGTCACCAAAACTCCCACGAAGCAATGATCACTGCCTTTTTCCAAGACTGCATCCTGGATAATGTCTTTATACGGGATCTTAATCGTCGCTTCGCCGAACTTAAAGTCCCAACTTCCCGGTCCATTTCGCAGGGAACAGGGAGCGGTATACGCGTCCTGTCCATTGTTGACAGCGCCCATATCGCGTAGAAGAGGATCAACAAATGCATGAGTCAGTCGCAGATATTGGTTAGAGGTGTCGAGCGTCAAGGTGGAATGGTTGGGGTCGACGCTGTAAACCTCCTCCGAGCCGTTCGAGCTGGACTGGCCAAGGCCCGTGAGAACGAGGGAAGGTCTGGGTAGAAGAGCATCTGGGTCAGTAACTGATGGTTCATGAAGGTTTCAATATCCGGTCTGTTATATTCACTTACTCCCAAGTGCCCAGTTCATCCTTCACCAGAGGTCGCTTGACGAGCTTGCCCTCGAACCGCCCGGTATTGGCAGCGCCGAAGAGGAGGCCAGCTGTTGGCTAGGTCAATATGATACGCCGAATCAAGATTCCATCGTTGCCTACCTTTGGGATCATTATCATCCCGCAGATCGAGACTATAGGTACGGCTGGCAATCGCCCTCTGGGCTGCCAAATTATCAATGACACTGTTGAATGGCTTGCCTGCTTCATAGCCAAGATCACGGTTAGGACCAATACTGAAGGCACCGATGTCACCCTCATGAGGTTTCGCAATTCCGAATCGCTGCTTGGGGATCGAAATTCCGCCAATTGTCATGACATCTTCATGCAAATCAAGGTGGAACTTCATCAAGCTCGGCGGGGTGACGGTCGGGTCTCCATAGACAACATCAACAGATCCCAAGGATCTATTGGAGAATGTGATGGATCTCCGGGCATTGAAATCCAATGAAGGAACCCCTTGACGAAGTTAGTCATCAACTTCCCGAGGCATCTGTGACTATACTCACAAGTTATATCAGACCTCGAATTGAGAAGAAGATCGATTTCCTGGGGTGGAGTTCCCACCTTTACCTTGATGCTGTAGAAACTCGCGCTGACATCATCGCTGTTGACCAAGGTCGCCTTGACAAACGTAGCTTCAACACCCCTAGGACCAACGCTTCTCGGGCCTTGCAGTTTGCCGGTAAACCCGCGGGGGGCAGAAGACCTGAGATTGCCAGGAACGGCCCCGGCCAAGCCCAGGATGGCGGCCAGAACTAGGCCGTGCAGTGAGGGATTCATCTGTCGAACGAGTGGAATTCAAAAAGAGTGTAGGAGGTTGGAGCGAATGGATGTCAAGACCAAGACCAAGTCCAGAGGGGAACCCGCAACGAAAGCAAGACTTTATAAGAAACTGGCGACTACTTCATTCCTCCCAGTCAAATGTGACTCTGATTTCACAAGCTTTATGCTGAATTCATGAGCATCCGTCTAGCGCTCCTCGTGTCTAGTCGCTGGCAAAGTTAATGGTAGGACAAGATGCCAACACTCTCGGATCCAACCTTAATCACTGTGCCGTACCACTTGATCAGGACCTCATCGCATACCAGTGGGTTCCACAGAAAGTCTTTTTCGGGCTATGAAGAGGAATTGTATCCCGGCAACAATTCCCTACGCTCTCGAAGTTAATTGCTCGACCACAGAGTTCTCCGTGCTGGCACGCACGGCACCCTCCACAGGTGTCATGACTCGCCCCGAAACCGAGTACGACAGGACGTCGTCTTTGTTCGATGGGACTATATAGACGCATCATTCTTGAGCTGCCCATATCAAAGCCGACACAGGTTCCGCTGTGCCCCTGACTAGTGTCGGAGTTCTCTTCAATGTTTGGCCCGAGAGCCGGTGTATGGGAGCCTCCCTGGCCTTATCGACGGAGCACTTACACACATTGCGGAGGGGGCCGCCGTACCTCACGTGCCTCGGCGAACGTGGCTTGCTGACCACAGGCTCACAGTACAAATGTAGGGAAAGACAAACAAACATGATAATCTCATTCAGACTCAACTCATCGGTACTTGAAAAGTGCCAAATCGAAGCACAACCCGAACCCATTCTCCACAGATCAAGTTCAACCTGTAAAACAAACGCTAGCCAAAACGCCACCAATACCCTCAAACCTTCCATCGTGTGCTCATGAAAGATTGGCCAACTGGCCGAACCTCATATATCGACCGTCATGATTCCGCGATTAATTTCCCGTCGCCACCGCTTCCACGTCGTCGCCTTTCGTGCTATCGCTCTCCCAAACCTCGAAGCTCTCGCCAGTGCCCTCTACTGGCTGAAGCACAGCTGCCTTGGCAGCAAGTGTACCCGTCTTCTCCATCAATCCGTTAACTTCCTTTGAAACCTCGATGACAAGTTCCGTTGACTCGACATTCAGCTCCGTAGACAACTCGAATGTGCTAGGTCCTCGTACCGAGGCCTCTTGCTCTTCGTCCGCGGGAACAAATATGACCGAGCTTTCATCACAACCCAAAGCATAAAATGCAGCAGCATCCATCTCGCCCAGCGCTGTCCTCTGCTTCTCGATGACCATATCGTCTTCTTGGCTGCGGCTCTGGCGTGCAGTCGTCTGACTAACATCGTCGGCGGGGGGCACATTCTCCTTGTCGCGGCCTTCTGCGCGCTCGCGAGTGGCCTTGACTTCGCTCTCTTCATCTGAACTGATGTCGAGCACACAAGTTCCATGCTGTAGCATGTTGGTCATCTCCTGCTCAGGGGTATCTTCGTGAATATCGAAGAACCACGATGCCTTCATGTCAGGCTCGAGAAGATCTTTAGTAACCGAGGCTCTGGGCGATGCGACGACGGGTGTAGTCAGAGGCTGCGCAGCAATGGGCGAACGCGCGGCGTAGCTGGGAATAGTGCCCTTGAGGGCAGCATCGAGACTGAAGGGAGCAGCGGCGGAGAGGTTGAAGAGGGGCGGGTCCACACGGGTGTAAGGCCCAGCAGTCCGACGTCGGCTAGACAAAATGCCACTACGCTTACTGCGCGTCGGAGAGCGACCAGCCGGTGCGGAAAAGGGCGAGGACTTGGCGATGGCCGTGTTCAGTTTTGCGGCTGGAGACTTGGGCTGGAGCAGAGCACGAGCACGGGTAGACGTCAAACTGGTGGCCTTGGTGGAGCTGCGGATGGTCGAGCTCTGGTTCAGAGGCGTGGAAGCTTTCAGGATGTAGGCGGTAGGCTTAAGGAGATCCTTGGCAGGGTACGAGACGCTTGAAGCTTTGGATCGTTTAGAGAAGAGGGAGGGGTCGATGTTTTCGGAGTCGTCGCTCTCGACTACATCAGCGGCCTTGCGCTTGGCGCTTGAAGCTTGTGCAAGAGCTGTTCTAATGTTAGTCATGGACGGACGTATCGGCGTACACGAACCATACCATTCTGGCGGTTCTTCAGACTACCCAAGTTCTGGAGGCGGGCTCCGTCGAGAGGTGCAAAGGGCTGGCGGGAGAGAGTAGCCATGGCGATCGTGGTTGGGGCACGTCTTGTAATTTTGATTTGCGAAGCGATAGCAAGTTGCAGCGAATGAAAAGACGATGACACCAGGTCAACCCGACTCGTTTTTGAGGGGCAATCGATTGCTGTTGAGGGCGTTGCCAACAAGAAGCGATGAGGATACCGGCTCCCTTCACCGACAAAAGGAGCGGTGCTGATGTCCAAGGGGAGACAGTGACACGATAGAGTCGGCAATGGTTTTGTTGGTTATTGCCTCGAGGGTTGATGCTCAGGGCAAGGTGCAAGAAAACGAAGCTTGCAGGAGCAATGAATGATTGAGGAGGGGACAGCGAGGGACAAAAGGGAGCGGAAGTGGTGTGCGCAGGGAGAGGGAGCGAGACAAGGCCGGACCAAAGAGGGGATCAGCGGGCTTGGGTGGGTTGTCTTGGAACCAGTTCAGCGCGCGTGGTCACTGAGATGGGTCGGGTCGATGGCGCAGGCCTCGGACGATGGATCTGGACCTGTTGGGGAGAGGTCGTGAGTTTCGATTGCTGCTGCTGGTGTGGTCGTCTGGTGTGTCTGAAGCTTGCTCTTCACGCCTAGGTTCTCAGGAAGAGGGGCAAGCAGGAACAGCAGATACACGGCCGATGCTGAGACGGTTCGCGGTTGAAGACGAGGCCAAAGACGCAGGGTAGACGCAGGAGATGGACGATTGATCGGGTGGGTCGATGGACGAGGAAGGGAAAGAATGTGCGCTGGGCGAGTTCATCGAGCTGAATGGAGATGTGCCTCGATGAAAGTGCAGTTGTGGGTGGTGATTTGCTGTGCTGTGGCGACTGGTGAGACTTGGGGAGCGGACATGCATCTGCGGCCTGGCAAGTTGTTGCTGATGATTACTGCCAAGGACCAATCGTCGCGTTGAGTTGGAGGGGACGAGCGCCAAGGGGGAGCCAATGACAGCCAGACTTCCGCGTCGTGTTCCTGGCGTAGGAGCGAACCACTTTGCGCGTTGAAATGGCGTTCACCCCACTTTTCCCCTACTACCCACGCGCGACGATAAAGGGGGGAGCCTGCCCTCGATTCCAGCCAGCGGCTTCCCCGTGCGTGTTCGTGTTGGCGTCGCGGTCGTGATGCCCAGGCGTGCTTGCGCATGAAGGTAGTGGAGTGGAAGTCGCGCCCACGCTACGAGAGGGCCACCCAGTCGCTACTGACCTCCCGGCACATCCCGGCCCCTCACAATCTCTCACCGAGCTTCACAGTCTGACATAAGGAGAAAGCCATCTCCTGCCCGCTACGCTGAGCACTTTACCTGACGCCTGTCTCTCTGGTATCTGTCTACTCACCGTCTCGTCCGTTGGCCGAGATGCCTTCGACGACCACCGTTGCGTTGTCGGCCTGCGTCATCATAGTTGCCGACTTGTGCACCAGCGGCATGTCTCACGGTTCTGACTGACCATATCACATTCCTCCCATCACCGGCTACCCCGACTCGGCCTGGAAAAAGAAGCAGAGGGTGCCAGCAGAACGGACCCTCCATGTAAGCTCCCTCACAAATATGCCTTGCCGCAGACCACGACGCGTTCCCATTGACGGGCCTCGCGGGTGGCCAACTGGTCCGGGGCCAGCCCGCTGGCCTCCTCGCCGGCCTTGTCAGGCCTAGATAGAGGAGCGGTGATGATTTCATCCGCCTGGTGTGAGACGTCATCCCTTTTCCCGCACCCTCACCTCCCACAGGGGCTCTCCTGACCGATCAACGCCACTTGAGTACTGCCCTCTTCGCCCTTGGCCAGCCACCTCATCTATGTCGCCTCCAGCGCCTTGAGCCAAGAAGTTTGCCCATCGGTCAGCGCTGGCACGGCTGATCACACGATTGGCCTCTCGCAAGCACAATAGCCTCCTGTAGGAGCCTAGCCGCTCATCTGTGGCCTGACACTGCTACTAGGCGTCAGATTCTTGAGTCGCCGCCTAATTGATCACTTAACAAAAACCTGTTCGATAACGTAAGAGCATCATGTGGTTTGTTCTGTTCTGTCCCATACACATTGGGACCCAGGTTCTACGTTCCGGCCGAGTGCGTTCCTTTTCGCGCGTACAATACCCGTGGGGTCGGCCGGCTGGACCGACGGGAGTGGGCTTGGCATTTGTCCGCCCCTCCGACATGGTCATGAGCGATACTGCACGCCTGACACTGCTCCAACATTGTCTGATATTGCCCCTGAGCAACATGACTCGGCAGTTCCCGCTCGTCAGAACAGACGAACCATGCCTGTCTAGGTAGCGCTGGATATGACCTCCTATTTGAGATTTTCCGTCCCCAAGGAATCCTTGTTCCATATTTTGGGACATGTGCCCATGTCGGCTACGGGAACATTTTCAGACCGAAAGCGAGGGGCCTGTCTTGAATAGTCCATGATCCTTCAGCATGCTATTGTTCTGGGACTTCGGGCTTCGTGCCCGGCGGAAAACCCAGCGCATTGTATCATCGACTACAGATAAACCCCATGTTATCATCCGAAAGCATATGCTCACGTGGCGAATCGGCTTCAAGGAGACCTATGAGTCTTGCATCACACGCGAAAGCTTCCCCGGACGGCAGAGAGCTGCCATGTCCACGAACCCAACAACTCTAAAGGTAAACGTATTTTCGTCCCGTCCGCGACTGCGCGTGTGATAGGTGCAAACTCAAGTCTGGCTTTCCGCGCGACATCGTGGTCTAGCCAGTCTGGGATTGATCGACTTACGATCAGAAAGACGCGGCACTGCTGAGACCGGAAGGACATCTCACGAGAGGATCCCAATACAGTTGTGATGCAACCCAAAAAGGAGCTTCAAAGCACGAGGTCGCACGCTAATCGCAACGATTGCCCTGATTTGTATCGGCGGTTTCAGGAAAATCACCATTACTGGCGCAAAATCAAACAACTGAAGGTTGTTGACAGGCGTCCACTGATGAGCACTGCAATACGACCTACTAGTGTAGGCCTGGGTGGACGGAAACAAATAGTTCCACGGGAGAATCGGTTTCGTTGCTTCAGAATAATTAAGATTCGGTTAGTCGGCGCCAGACGATGCCAAAGATTCAGGTCTACGCGCATTTCAGGCACGGAGCCTGGGGAGATGGCGCCGGCAGACGGGAGGGGTAAACGCCAGGGGCATCGGCGCGCCGGCATCGTCAACAAGCATCTAACAAGCACTGGGCGACGACTTGGGGATGTCCGTCATTGTCAGGAGGCGATGTGACAGGCCAGAGCTTGTGGCTCTGCATCCACAGCTGAAATGCGCCCCAGGTTTTCGCGCCATTATAGCCCCAGGCTTCGCTGTCTACTCAACGCATGACCCTATGCAATCCCTGTCGGACCCGGCTGTTCGGCTACCGGCACGTCGTCTTCTCTGTGATGCGGCTCAAAACTGCAGTGCCAAATGGCTGTGTCGCTCGAGGGGGTTAGGCGAACGCGCGGCCCAAGACCGGGGCTACGGGGGCCCTTAGTCCTCCAATGTTCTGGGCTTTCGGGCCCGTCGACATCAGCCCTATCCTGATTCAGACAGTTGCCCCGGCTCACCTCCACACCTCACCCTGAGCTTGATGGCAATCTCATATCGTCAAACCGACTTAGTCGACGATGAGTGAACTGCAATGCTCGACGAATCTACAAAAGGGCGGCCAAGTGGCCATGGACTACATTTCGTTTTCCTTCTTGGCATCGACTCCTCAGCAGTCTATCCAGTTACTTCATTCTTTACATACTTTTCTGCTTTACATACTCATTTTCATCTTCACTGCACCATATTTACATACGCAACAACTCATACATACTCGCCCTCCCGTTTGAAACGATATTCACATCCACTCTCCCTCTTTGACCAAAATGCTTACCAACGTCATCCTCGCTCTCGGAGCTCTGGCTTCCACCGCCGCTGCCAATCCTCTTCCCGCCAAGTTTGAGGTCATCGAGTCCCGTGCCACCGCTTGCACCTTCACCAACACCGCTGATCTTGCCAAGAGCAAGAAGACTTGTGACTCGATTACTCTCAACAACATTGCTGTCCCGGCTGGCACCACTCTCGACCTTTCCAGCCTCAAGAGCGGCGCCCACGTCGTCTTCCAGGGCAAGACTACCTTCGGTTACAAAGAGTGGGAAGGACCTCTTATCCAGATCTCTGGCGAGAAGATCACCGTCGAGGGCGCTTCCGGCCATATCATTGACGCCGATGGCGCCCGCTGGTGGGATGGTCAGGGTGGCAATGGCGGCAAGACCAAGCCTAAGCTGCTTGCCGTCAAGGGCCTTAACAACTCGATTGTGAAGGGCCTCAACTTCAAGGATCAGCCCGTGCATGGAATCAGTGTCAACACGGTGAACAACCTCCAGCTCATTGACGTGACCCTCGACGCCTCGGCCGGCGACTCCAAGGGTGGCCACAACACGGACGGCTTCGATGTCGGTAATGCCCAGAATATTCTCATCTCCGGCGCCATTGTGAAGAACCAAGACGACTGCCTTGCTATCAACTCTGGCACCAACATCACCTTCACTGGAGGCAACTGCAGCGGCGGTCATGGCCTCTCCATTGGCTCTGTTGGCAACCGCTCTAACAACGTCGTCAAGACGATCCGCATCAACAACAGCAAGATTTCCAACTCTGACAACGGTGTCCGTATCAAGACCATCTCCGGTGCCACCGGTTCCGTTTCGGACGTCATCTACGACACCATCACCCTGTCCAACATTGCCAAGAACGGCATCGTCATCGAGCAGGACTACGAGAATGGCTCCCCTACCGGTACCCCTACGGCTGGCGTCCCCATCACTGACCTCACCATCAACAAGGTCGTTGGCACCGTTGCCTCCAAGGGCACCAACGTCTACATTCTCTGCGCCAAGGGTGCTTGCTCCAACTGGAAGTGGAGTGGCGTCAACGTTACTGGCGGTGGCAAGCCCAAGAGCTGCCAGAACGTCCCCAGCCCTGCCGAGTGCTCTTAAAGAGATTTCTCTTTAGTATTTATGACCACGACAAGCTAGCTCTTAGTGATTTCTTCTTCTCTTGAATATTGTCCAGAATATACCGTGGCCTGGGCTGCCAGCGGGTTTCTTAAACTGATAGTCCTCTCTTCGTGTCCTGTGCCCATGTGATTGTGACCAACAGGTTTTGCTCGATGGTCGGACAATCGGCGGGATTGCTATGCAGCATCCCACGGTTGACTGGTGCAAACAGAGCTGTACGGGTCTGTGCTGCGCGCACGACAGTTACGAAATATGCAAGAGTCCACAGAGGGGACGGCGTGAGATGACCAACGTCCTACCACCATGAAACATAAATCTGACAAGGGGCGAACACTGACTTTCAAAAAGCGAGAAGGGCGCATGTAGATTGATGGGCCGTGAAGCCACGCTCGCTGCTGACCACTGGCTTTCTCCCTCCACGGGTATGTATGAGCAGCTATGTGTTTCCGAGTGTGGTGCAGGGCTGACAGGACGAACAGATATCCCATTTCTTATTCAATCAAAATAATCATATTGCAATCTGACTTCTCAATTCTTGCCTTCGAAAAGAAAAATCGATCTAATAGCAGCTCACGTCAACCTATCAAAGAATGCCTGCCATTCACGCCGAACAACCATCGCAGGAGGATCCCAAAACAATCGGGATGGTCGTGGGAGTCGCAATGGGGGGTCTTTTAGCCCTTAGTGTGGCCATATTGCTCTGGGTCTGTCTCCTCCAACGATCTCCGTGGGGCGCTTCCATGGTTTCGCTGAGGAGTCGAGCCCTGGCAAGGCGGAATCGAGTCCCTACCGAGCTTCACAATAAGGAGATTGCCGGTGGTGAGGCAAAAACAGATGGGATTCCCTGACAAGTGGACACTGAATATGATAATATGCATGGAGCCATAGAAAGACCTTTGGAAGTATCAGGCGATAGAGAAGTTTGCAGCTTTGGATGACTCAATGAACGACAAAGACAGGGAACAGCTCGGTTGCAAACAACTACCAATTGCAAACGAGCTTCTGTGTTTTGCCTTCGTTCACGTCCGCAGACCAGGTAGATCCTGTTGCTTCTCCAGTCTTCTTATGGTCCTAGTTTCTTCTTAACGATGATCGACAAAATGTTTGATGAACTCCCAGTTTTCCTCACTGGTCTCGGGTTTCGTGCCAGCCCTGCTCTTCTCGGAGTCACTTGCCGATCCGTAGGCACGGCCGGCTAAATCTCGTGTGACCAAAGGCTCTTGATCTGCTTTCAGGCATGTCAGCTTTCTCCACACGAATCTGAGTCAATGCTTGACGTACTGGGCTTTGATCTCGTAGGAAGACCCCTGGTTGCAACTTCGATGGCACCCGCATCGCCTGGAGCCTTTTGAGCATCGGGAAGGGCGCGTTGAAAGGCACAAAATCCTCTTGTGTCTTCACACGAGACGCTTGCGAGTGCTTGAGATTGGTTCTTCTGCGATGACTTGTTGTGGGACTTCGCCTTAGCAGTGAATGTTGGTTTGCTGGAGGGTTTGTCCGGAGTGTCCATATTGAAAGTAGGCTGGGACCGCAAGTGAGTCACCAAGTCAAGTAGGAAATAGTCGTTACCAATGAGATTCGAATTGACGCAGGATTCTCTTTTTTGAGGGAAAGATTGTGTTACAAAGAGCAAAGAGGGTATTTCACCCGATTTGATGCCCAATTTGCTTAAGTGAATGTGAAGTTAGAAAGCCTAAACATTTTCGGAGATAAATGCAATCAGGGTGAATGAGTCCTCATGACGTCGAGCCTTTGTGCTCTGTGCGTGGTCCTGGATGATGGTAGGCAAGAACCCCTGCCTGTGGCACTTGCCTGTGTCGAGTACCAACGCTGCGAAAAGGCAAGAGGGGGGGTCGAGTTTCCAGTGTACGTTTTAGGCTGGCCAGAGGGTGCTAGGTTATGATTCTTTGCCTTTTGTTTTAATTTTCTTTATCTTTCTAATACAAAAAGACGATCTTGACTGGTTCCATGTTTTACATCACCTGACAGCTTCCCCATCATTGCCAGCACCATCAGTTGTGCTTCGCAGCCTCTCAGTATCGAAACTCCTGCCCCACCAACTTCTCGCTGAGCGTCCAGAGCATCTCTGCGTCAGGCTTGCTTGTTGCCCAGGGATAGACCTGTTCTTTAAAGGGATCTGCGAGCTGACAGTCGTCAAAGTAGCCACCGTTGCTCTTTGCAATTGTTGGGTCAAAGGCCACGAAGACATGTGTTGCCACGCCCTCGTCGAGATCCTTGAACTTGCCCCCCGTCTTCTCGAAGCCCCACATGAATCGTGTGCCAACCCTAGCATCAGCTTGTCGTAGATCCTCGACGAAGTTATCAAATGGACCTGTATGGTGGCTCACCAAGTTCGTCATGATGCCGCCGGGATGAAGACTGAAGGCGAGAAGACCTCTGTCGCCGAGTTTCTCCGCCAATGCTATCCCCATGAGGATATTTGCAGTCTTTGCCTGCCCATAGGCTGCCCACTTTTCATAGTCACTGAAGTTATGGTCGGTCCACCGCATAGTGCCGAGGCGGTGCCCATTGCTGCTGATGTTGACAATCCGAGGTTCCTTGGAAGCTAAGATCTTATTCATGATGAGGTTTGTGAAGAGGAAATGACCGAGGTGGCACGTTTGGAATTGGATTTCAAAGCCGTCTTCGGTCAGGCTAAACGGAACGGCCATGATGCCAGCGTTGTTTACCAGGACATCAATGTGTGAAATATCTGGCGAAGCGATTACCATCTCGGCAGCCTTGCGTACATTGGAGAAAGACGCAAGATCCAGCTCAAGGGTTTTGATCTTAATCTCAGGGTGCGTTGAGGCGATCTCATCAACAAGCTTTTGGAACTTGGCAGGTATACGACCAGCGAGGATAAGCTTGGCGGGCTTTGAAGGCGCGATTTGTCGGATAAAGCTGTCCCCGAGACCAGAAGGGGAGACGCCAGTAATAAGTATTGTCTTATTGACGATGTTGGCAGCATAGTGGCGCACCAAATCGCTGGCTTTGGTGTCATGGTCAAAGGTGGGTGTCGACATGTTTGAGGGCGGGTCAGGGCATAAAATGGTGTGTCGAGTGAGATTTGGATACCATGGTGGCTCTGCATACAACATACTTGGTGCCGACCTCCATCCTTTTAAGCTCCTTAGCGGACGTGTAGTGACGCCCGGCGTAACCCTCGCATGAGGAAAACGTGGACTGAAAGGGCATAAGCCAAATCCGATTCCTTATTTCCATGCATCTCTTGCCAATCAATCTTGCTTCGACTATTAGCAAGAAACACCGAATCTGGGATATTGACCCGGAGATCTGCCAAGCCTGTGTGTTTTGTTTATCTCCGGATCCCTAAACATGGAGATGACAAGTTTGTCACTGGAGCATGTCAAGCCACAAGCACGGATGATCGGTACAACGATCGGTAAGCGGGTGATGACGTGCACTAAGAATAGCCACAAAGGCGCTGACTAGATATTCTCTGGTATCGAGAAAGGCTGGCCAAACTCCCTTTGATACGCTGTGGAGTTTGGGTTGCCTGTCACGTCTAGAGTAATTCTTAAGTTACAAGTGTCGACAGCCAGGCACATAGCCAGTTGCAGTATGAGCCCATTTTCGCGACCGATTGCAAATCCACTTCCTTTAAATTCTAAATCCGGCACCTCGATCGTCAATAAAGCCGGCTGTGTCCAGCCAATAGAAAGCTCGCCATCGTACATGGCACGCCCAATCAGGCCTGATACCCTAGACTTGGCATCAGCTTGCATGCAATGAATGTCATGTCCACCAAGTACTTCATTTAGCACTTGCCTTGGAATCGCACTGGTCCTGAGAAGCGGTACATACTAGCAGCCGGAACCCCTCTATAACTGCCTGCGACCATCGATGGAAGTGCCTCCCGGGACCTATACATCATGAGTATGCTTGGTGTGCTTCATGGGCAGCCCAATTGATTGATGGCACCTAATCATGTTCTGAATGGTTGGTGTCAGTATTCAATCGGACCTCAGGCGCATTTCTGTGACCTGAAGAGAGTATGTTTCTCAGTCTCCACAATTCGCCCCTGACATTGATATGCTCATGGACATCTGGGATACCTAAGTTAAGCTAGGTGACGCTGATCCTTCTCAACCTTCATGTCAATCTGCCGCATTGATACCAGGCAACTGATGCAGCACACTGAATAAATGTTTTGATTCCAACGGTCTGTGTTTGATCTCAAGATACACTTCATCTCGCGGTGGGGGGACAAATCGGAGAGAGAACTGAGATCTCATGGCGGTATCTCACATACATGGACGTGCAGTATTCTCTCATGTACCAATATCTCTTTCACATGAAGCTCTCCACGCATTGCATCTTGCCGTCTATCAATACTCAATTCATCTTAGGCTCTCTGGGGTTGATCATCTCATTATGCTCCGTTGTGTAACGGTATCGTGTATTTTCTACTGCAGCGGGCTTGAAGTCGGCCGCCGGAAGCCCCCCACCTTGATTGAAAAGCCATATCCGGGCCCACCTAGGAATCTCTCTCTTCAACCAAGTCCAACAGGCCCGCAAAGACATGATTCGCTCGGTCTGAAGCCTCTGATAGACAGCTTCGAAAGTGCTTGCAGCTCATTTTTGGAGTCTCATCCCAGAAATTTGGAAGCCTAAAGTCAAGGTGGATGTCTGATCTCTCGGGAAGACGATAGAAAGACGAACGAGTGAGTAAGATATCCTACGGCATGGGCCCGCAAGCGTCCATGTCCCTAGGGGCAAGTCGGAAGCCAACATTATCGTCACCCGAATGTACCGGGATATAGATATCTTTTCCTCGTCGGCGTGTCGTGACCATGTAGCGGCGGGATGCATGTTCTTGGCTGTGTCAGGGCGACAAAGCAGAACGGCGCGGGACTCCTTGCACGCAATTCGTAGACCGGCGTCCAAAAAGTATAGAAGTCGATGAGCCTCCGCCCAGGAGAATAGTAACAGTTCAGACTAAAGTTTTCGGCGAATTATCAAGGTTAAGGCCACTAAGGTCGAGTAACAGCCTATAACAAGCTTCGTGTCAACTGGAGATGGCTTCGTAACATACTTGGCAATTTGGGGATTGTCCAAGAACTAGCTCACGTTTGCTGTAGTATTACCAACTCAAGCTAGCATACTTTCTGATTCCAAACCCGTTTAATTCAGGACCCAGCAAGCATCGTGGTCTTAAGACTCGAACAGACCTGCAGCACCCAAGACAGCAATTTACATGTCGTACATTTTTTTTAAAACACTATACCATCCCATATTCGACCCTCGATAGGAAGCTCATTATAGGTCATTTCTCTTCTCATACATTACATTTGCCGACATTGCGATCCATTCTGGCTTTCGTTCAGACAGGCGGGAAGCGTGTCAATAAGGAATTAAATCGTTCATCATAAAATCGTATCGTCATACCATCATGTACCATCATAGATCATGCACCGCCTCTAATCCTCGGGAAGGGTCTACCCTTGGGTAACAATAATCGCGGGCGGCGGTCGTCGAATCGCTAGCGAAGCGGGAACCTCCATGTCATCACTAGCAGCTGATGTGCTGTAGTCACTGACCGAGTTGTTCCGACTCACACCGGCATCAACTGCTAGTTTCTCCCAATCCGAAGCCCATGCAGTACCGGGTGGCGTATGGCAGGGTTCAGGCAGAATAGGTGGCGAGTCGTTCCGCTGGAGAAGTGGATCTTGATCCATGGGGGCTTCTTCCTCTTCAACAATAGTCGTACAGCGGTTGCAGCCTGGCGGTGGCATCATATACTGTTTCCGCGAACCACTGGATCGACTCGAAGCCATGGACGAGGCCGAATCCATGGTCATGGTTCGGTAATGGAGGCCGGCGCCTCTTTTCAGATCGTCTTCAAAAGAGCTGACAAGGCAAGAGACAGTTGTTGCTCGTGGTGTGAATGGAAGCTCAAATGGATGGGTGGCGATCTCAATGGTCAAGATTAAGACAGTCACCGAGATTCTACCTTGATTTAGTTTTTGAACAGCTCGGAATACATGATCGACTTACATTCCAAATATGGAAATCGCGAGGTTGGATCGTGTGATGACTGAATTGGAGTCCAGCCGGGCCACGGTCACTGCCGTAAGAATGACTGAAACAACCCATAAGAGGAGGCTCAGTCTGGCGACAATAATTGTCCAAGAAACGAAAGGTGATTGGAGCGGCTGTCGCCGGGAGACTTCGTAATTGCGGAACGAGACAAAAAGGTGAAGAAAAACGTATATTGGCGACAGAAGCGACTATGGAAAATGAGCTAGATCACTTTGAGATAGATTGGAGTGAGAGGACGAACCGAAAACATGACGAAGCTCTGAGTGATGCAGCTCCGTCGCGGCGGGCCTTGTGTTCGGAAGTCAACCGCCGACGTGCTCAGGCCACCGATCGAGGCCATGAGGAGGAAGAAAAGGGTAAGAAGGAGGATGATGGAGAAAGGTTTTGGACGGTTGATCAGCGAATTGGCATCTCCTGACATGGAGGATTTTGTTTCCAGCGATTCGAGGCTGTCTGACATTGAGTCCACTTCTTTCCTCGTTCGTGTCATGGCTGCTGATGGTGATCGTAAGACTGCGAAATGTCTACGTCTGGTAATGCAGAGTCACCGCCTCGATCGGCGCTTCACAGCTCGCATGTTATACTGACGAAGTAACGAGGCTGGGTACCTTCCTAAGACGATGGCTGACACAATTAAGGATGTGGCGGGAGAGCAAACAAACATTCCTGGGCATGGTAGCGCCACCTGTGGACTCGGGGTTAAATTTGGGCACTGGGCAGCGCATTTGGAATGCATGGCTGGGGCAAGGCCATAGTCGGTGGTGCAGACGATGGCAACATTCCAACGCCGCCTGGTCAGACGAAGCCCCGAAATCTGCTGGCTAAATAAGGCTTGACAGCCGCTGGCTCGAACAGCGCATGGATTTCTCCGCTCCCTATGAAGAAACGAAACAGGTACACCTCGACTTGCATGAACGGCTTCGGGTACTCAGTCGCGTGCGATTGCAGCAGCTCTGGCATGCAGCTTCCCAAGTCAAACTTCCGGACCGCCCGCTTCGTAAATTCGTCTTCATTGAGAGTGAATTTGTTCTCGCCATCGTCTCAGGCAGATCGTTGTGGTAGAGAGGGTAGCAACCCGTTCTCTCAGACTCGATCAATGAGGACACAGCGTGTGCTCTGAACTGCGGAACGCTGTTGGTACTTGACGTACGCTCCATAGCTTGTGTCTTGATTCGCAACACAGAACGCTTCTGATGCAATTAAGACAGATATGCGCCTTGAAGTCACGCACGGTACCGTCAGAGTGTGGGGTTGAGCGGAGTGAGAAGGTCTTCCGCACGTGGTCCGCAGGCAGTAGATAAGAGGTATGGGGTGTAATACATCCGAATTTTGGCCCTCCGAAGCTAGGAGGGCCTTTTGCAACCCTCATAAACGTGTTCTCGTAGTCCTCAGCCCCGAAGCAGCCCCCTCTCCGTGGCTCCGCAGTGGCCTCCTGACAGTTTCGCCAAGTTCCAACTGCTACTCGAATCCCATTTCTGACAGTTGGAAACATCATCCCGATCACATCTCCGGACTATATTTGTCCAAGGTGGAGGGACCGCCAAAAACATGGACCTGGATTCGATATCGTTGAACCGGCCTTTTGGAGTATCAGAGGTGCCAGCTCCAGCTACTCTTGAGGACATTTATGCCTCGCCTCATAGGCACCTTCTTACCGCCAATGTTAAGTGCTTTCCACATCACGTACCAGATTTGCCTCCGAGGATCAAAGGCCGCCTTTACTGAGCTGCTAGAAACCTTGATGTAAAGCCATGTATGTGTCACCATTGCTTGCATAGTGAGTGTATCGCAGCCAGGCTAATAAGACAAGCTGTTGGGCACGCTAAGACGCTCACACACACCATCCATGAGAACCTCGCCGCGTCATAATATGGCGTTTTTCAAAGATGTCATGGTTTCTTAATTTACCGGGTTCATCTTCAGACGAAGGACGTGATGAGAAGCAGCTGAAGAGGTGGTTCCGGTCGGTCCATTATGTTATTGGTTCTCATTAGCGTTGTTCCGAGCCCCGGAACATCAATTCGGAGACGATGACGGCGTACCGCCAGTCAGAGGGCCTACCGATTATCCCCAGGTCTACGTGGATGCTGTCAGAGACCCCTGAGTGCATGACTCGGGCCCCAAAACACCACTAGCTTCCCACTTTTCCAGCGTTTTCTCCATACTTTCATCCGAGACCATTACTGACCTCTGCCCCGTGGGGTTCCATGTAACTCGAAGCTGGGGTACGCCAGCGCACCATATCGTTGGGTCATGCAACTAGCGATCGTCTTTGACGTCTTCATAAGAGTCGAGACCTCGCTCTCTGTCGCGTGTCTGTCGCGTGGTTCCGATCTCTTGCTGAGCATCACCTGCGACAGGCTGACGATCATCCTTCATCTTTCTCTCCCGCCTCACACACTGCACGTCAATCGTCATGGGTCTTGCCCAGAAGGAAACACCAGAGGCTACAGAGGTCGCAGGAAGTGGCCTTGCGTCTGTATGGAATCAGTCGGTTGAATGATCTGACAATCGGGCTCACACGTCATAGGTCCTTCCCGTCGACGCGAAGCCATGGTACCGCACGCCGCATCTCATCAAACTCAATCTTCTCATCATGATCCCACTCATCTCGTCTGCCTCGATCGGATACGACGGATCTATGATGAACGGCCTCCAATCACTGCCACAATGGCGTAGATACTTTGGCAACCCCGAGGGTGCCACTCTCGGAGCCATGAACTCGGTCTATCCTGCTGGCAAGGTCGTCGCTCTGTTTCTCGTTACGTGGATATGCGATCGATTTGGTAGGAAGCCCCCAATCGTCATTGGGCTCTTGACGTGCATCGCATTTGCAGTCATGCAGGCAGTGTCGCAGAACATGCACACCTTCATCATCGCTCGTGCTGTGCTCGGTTTCTTCACCAGCTTCCTTGCCCAACCTAGCCCAATCCTCATTGCCGAGCTCGCCTATCCGACCCACCGAGGAAAGTTAACGGCACTGTATCAAACATCCTTCGTGAGCTTCCCTTTTACACCTTAGAGGCAATGGTCATGCGGCTGACAAAGTACAGTACCTGGGCGGTATCATCGCGGCATGGTGCACCTATGGCACGCTTCGAATCGACTCGACGTGGAGCTGGCGACTGCCATCTCTGCTACAAGGCGCTCTTCCCGCCATTCAACTTCTCGGCATCTGGTTTCTCCCCGAGTCGCCCCGGTGGCTCATTGCCCGCGGTCGAACACAAGAGGCTCGAAAAATACTTACCGACTTCCACGCCGGCGGCGATTTGAATTCACCGTTGGTCAACTTTGAGATGCAGGAGATCGAGGCTGTCGTAACACAAGAAGCAGACGTCATGTCTCAAAACTCTTGGATGGAGCTCATTCGTACGCCCGCAAACCGCAAGAGGACCCTCATCGCTGCGATTGTCGGCTGGTTTGCCCAGTGGAACGGTGTCAACATTCTCTCGTACTACCTCGCCCTCGTTCTGAACACCATTGGAATCACAGACAGCAAGACTCAGACGCTCATCAACGGTCTCCTCAACATTTCCAACTGGCTGTCAGCCGTCTTCGTGGGCGCCATGATGGTGGACCGCGTCGGTCGTCGTACATTGTTCCTTGTGTCTACTGGTGGCATGCTTGTTTCATACATCATCTGGACCGGACTGTCATCATACTTCATTAGCTCACAAAGCGCTGAAGCGGGAAGGGCTGCTGTCGCCTTCATCTTCATCACGTTCTTCTTCTACGCCATGGCCTGGTCACCACTTCTGGCTGCTTATACTGTCGAAATTTTTCCCTACACACTGCGTTCACGTGGCCTATCGGTCATGTATGTGTCAACCTTTACCGGTCTTATCGTCGGCAACCAGGTCAATCCCATTGCCATGAAAGCGATCGGCTGGCGGTACTATATTGTCTTCTGTTGCATTCTGGCAGTTCTGCTCGCCGTCATCTGGTTCCTATTCCCCGAAACCAAGGGGCACACGCTGGAGGAGATTCGCGAGCTTTTCGAAGGCACGTCGTCCAGCCAGGACAAGCTTCACAATGTAGAGCATGGACACATGGATGAAAAGTCCAACAGCTGCGACCACATCAAGCAGGTCGAGGTGGCGGGGCAGGGCCGTTAAACTGGCAATTTGGTTATCTTGGAGTGTCGATACAATTGTACAACAAGACTGTACTATGATTTGCAAAATTTCTCTCCATCATTCACTTCAAGTGTGCGAAATACCATTTCATCTTTTGGTCACATTCATGTCTTGAAATCGCGGGGTGACGCATTTTTTGAGGGCCGGACACTCACCACAGAACATACCTCGTCAGTGGGATCAAAGCGCACCCCGCCTTCATATCGAGAAGAAAATGTGAAGGGAACCACTAGTTCAGTCTCATTCGGAACTAAGTCGAGCAAGATTAGTTCAATAGGTGAGGCTGCGGGAACGCGGCAAACCAGAGCATCCTGGCCGAACAACTCACATGAAGCACGTTTTTGGTGAGAGGGTTACAGATCCGTGATACTCTCAACCGCTCCGCTGGCTTGTGGCCTTGTGGGACAGACACAATCTGTCGTGCCTTTTTGGCAGCCCTGGTTGTTTGAACATCGGGCACGCATACTCTGACAAGGGGCGCATGACAGTCATGTACGGCCTATCTGATCTGTGGCTACTCATGTCACATTGGTTCTGCACGTCTTCTAGCTTGCCCTATCCCTCAAGTCCCTCGTGGCCATGCTTCGGAGAAAGTGAGTGGGGTGCGTGCAGCGTGCACTAGTGCCCGTCCTGACGACCACTAACACCGGGGAGTGTCGGGGCAGATCGGTATTTCCCCTCGATCGGCCCCTCAATTTCTCCAGACCGAATAAAGATCTCATTGCCTCACGAACGAAATGGCGGAGCGGCATCCCGCTGATCGATGATCTGAGAAGTATATAAGAGCGGCGAGACGATGCGTGAAACGTGTCAAGCTTGCACTATCATTATTCTCCCAGACATCGCTCCCACCATCCATTACAACACCTACAACATGGCCGATACGAAGCCGAATCTTCGCTGGGGTATCATTGCAACCGGCCTCATCTCGTCATGGTTCGTCAAGGACCTAGTTCTCGAGCGCTCAGACGCCCGTGCCAACCATATTGTTCAGGCCATCGGGTCGTCCTCTGAGGTCAAAGGAAAGAATTTCGTCGCCGAGCACCTCCCTGGCCACTCGCCCACCGTTTACGGCAGCTATGAGCAGGTTTATGCCGACCCCAACGTAGACATCATTTACATTGGCACACCCCATGCCTTTCACAAGCAGAATGCCCTTGATGCCATTCGCCATGGCAAGCATGTTCTCTGTGAGAAGGCCTTCACGTTGACGACGGCCGAGGCGCTAGAAGTCTTTGTTGCCGCCAAGGCCAAGGGCGTCTTCGTCATGGAAGCCATGTGGACGCGCTTTTACCCGCTCGTTCGATCGCTGCAGAAAGTGCTTCATGAGGAGAAAGCCATCGGCAAGATCCACCGGACGTTTTGCGACTTTTCCATGGACCAAAAAATTGCCTCGCTCGGGCCTGAATCGCGCCTCAAGAACCCTGCCCTCGGGGCTGGCAGCCTGTTGGACATTGGCATCTATAGCCTAACGTGGGGCATTGTAGGCTCTGAGCCACCGCTGGGTGGTGCCGAGGGCCTAAAGGAAGCGTCGGAAACGCCCAAGGTTCTGGCCGCCCAGACTCTCTCCGATGGCATCGACGTTGCCACGTCGGCCATTTTCCTCTACGCAGATGGCCGCCAGAGTATCGTTACTTCGAACACCTCGGTCAAGAGTGCCCCGGAATTCTGCAGAGTGGAGGGTAGCGAAGGCACCGTCGTTGTCGAGGGTGTGGCCGCATCGGTGCCAGGTTCTTTCACCGTCAAGAAATTGAATGGCGAGGAGAAAAAGTACGACTTTGAGAGGCCTGGCATGGGATTCTACTGGGAGGCTGACGCCGTCGCCCTCGATATTGCGACTGGCAGGACAGAGAGCGCAATCATGCCGTGGGCAGAGACATTGCGCGTATTGCAGTTGATGGACGAAATCCGGAGGCAGGGCGGGGCAAGGTTTCCCCAGGACGACCAATAGTGGATGATCTTGGGAAATCACCATCAAAGAATTACCGTTCCGGGGTTTTGGGAGTGAGATCTCTATTAGTCAGCTAAATATTACCACCCTCAACGCCTTTCCAAGACAGGATGCAGGATTCGAAGCTCTCCGTCTGAATGACGGTCTTCAAGTACCATATAGGTATCTTATCGGGATCATACTCGAACTAAGCCCATGGGACGGGACGGTACGACATATGCAACCTTGTTTACGCGCGCGATCCTTGACACGATGGTCAATTTGCATATTGTCAGATATCCTATGTGGGGGGTGCTGGAGCTCTCAATGAAGTGAGACGCAGCGTCATGGAGCTAGGCAGGGCGCGTGGTTTGAGAAGAGCCTGCCTCGAATTCGCCTCAGCGTCTGTACCCCCCTCCCTAATATGCATGCGATCAAACATACAAAGTACATAGAGCACGGTTGTTCACGCGTCTGTGTGCGATGCGGAGATGAGAGTGGTGTCAAAGTATTCTAGCCGAAGTAAGTTTTAGTGGCTCACACTGATATAATGCCCCGCTCGCAAATGTGTACTTCCTCAGGCACGTAGGGTACACTACACACACCGATTCAGGTCATTACATAGCTTCACCCACACGCGCGCCGCGACCCCCAGCCCAGCCTTCCTTTTCGTAAAAGCGGAATACAAGATCGTAGTCCTCAAAGTCATGAACAATGCGGTCGAGCCGTCGATAGCCTGGGACAGGGGCTAGTAGGCGCTGGGATGACGTTGAAGGAAGTTTGCCTTCGTTCGCAACGTTTGGGTCGGCAGCACGGCCCTTAGCCTCGAACAGCGTCACACTGAAGCGACCAGGCTTAAAGATATCGACGACATGTTCGATAATTTCTGACGTCGTGCGACCTGACTGGCCACCAGGAACATTGGTCTCGAAAGACGCGAAGGAGCAGTTGGGCTCCGGCGTGACGTGCACGGTGAAGTAATGAATCGAGCTGCTCTTCCCGTCCTCGGCATTGCCCTGAGGAGCCGCCGGCACGACACCGTTTGCCGAGAAGCCACACGGACTGAACAAGTACGCATCGACGCGTGCGTCCGGATACCTGCTGGTCGGATAGACGTTAGAGAGACCGCAGGCTTCGGAAACGACGGTACCGAGAGCGTGACCCTCGGTGGTCAAGGCCTCAGTAAGCACCTGCTCGGGCGCCTCAGCATCACTTCCGTTGCTGAAAACGTCGACATCTTCATCGATCTGCTGGCCGTTAGTGAGGTCCCCAAGACTTTGGCGCGCCTCATTACGGGCCTTTTGCGCCCGAGCTGCAAGCTGCTCGCTTGCCAGAGCGCTTGCGTTTTCAAGGTAAAATTGCTTCGCGTTCTCTTCATCGAGGTCGGTCATGAGGATCTCGAGCGTCTCATCGCTGGGCTCGTCGGCGCCTCGTAGGATGCTAGCAGGAATCCTGGCAATGTGGCCACGACCATCGTTTTCCTCAGGGGTGCGGGGAGGTGTGATCGATTCATTCGGCGAAGTGATGTAAAGGTACCAATGATCGCCGTTCATCTTGCCTACCATATAGGCACTGCCCCCCTCGAACATGTCATCAAGATACTTCACCTCTTGCTTCCAGCTGCGGTGCGGACCTTGCTGCTTGTCGGGGAAGAGGAAGTTCTTGCGGCTGTAGAAGACCCGGTAGGGCGTGGCCGCGGCCTTGATGTCGGTAGCGAGTGAGGCATTGGCAAAAGGGAATCCAGCATGTTGCGCGGCAATATGCAGGAGGCGCTGGAGCCCGAGGAGCAGAGTCGTGGTCCCGCACGTCTTGAGAATCAGCTTGTGGGGGAAGACAAACAAGCTTGACTCGGATAGCAAGTAGGCGTCGACCGTCTCGGACTCGAGGACAGATAGAATTTTGCAGTTGACCATATCAAGCATGCCTACCCATTCGTCGGCTGAGACGGCCTTGAGACCGTTAGGCTGAGCGCTTGGGGGTAGCGAGGTCGGACTGGGCGCAAACCACACCTCAAGTAGTTTTTCAGGGCCTGCGCGTGAAACAGTTAGGAACCATCAATTAGTGACAGGCAAAGGAAACAATGCCGTACCCTCAAAAGCATTGCTAGAGTCTAGCTCGGCCGCAACATCATGATTAATGGTCAGGTGAGGAGTGCCCTCGGATGGCGAGAAGGTATAGTTGGTAGGAACCGACGTCATCTTCACAGGCTGGATATGTTTTTTCAATCGTCGCAAAGTCCGTGGAGCACTAGCTGCCGCTCAAACAAGCCCGTTTGAGAGAGTAGGCCCACAGGAAGGCGAGTAATCGGTGAGGCTGGCGGCGCCAGCTACAATGAGTAGTGTAAAAGCGTCAACGTCTCTCGAGGGACGTTAGGGGGGCCGAGTCTGGAGCGGGAGCAGGAGGATCCTGGGCAGCGGAATGTTGACGCCGGGAGCAGGCCTCGATCTGACAGACACCGATACTGGTGGAGTATCGGACCCAGCAGACGAGGGGTCTGGAGTGTAAGGTTGAGGATGGAAGCCCGTTGGGGGAGCTCGACGAGAAGATGGTCGGTATTCGGCTGGGTGCTGTTATCGAGGCCTATGTTGAGGTCAGCGGCAGCATGGTGCAGCAAGCCAGAGGTGGGCATACTTGGAAGGCTTGGAGAGGAAGCGCAGGATCTTGCTGGAGTTCATGGAATGTTGAGGTTGCAACTTATCTCGCGATGTTTTGCGATCGTCAAGCACGCGCAAAGTTTTGTGGTGTTGCGGCTCCCGGCGACGTCCAGGCGGGGTTTTGCAAAGTGGGCGAGATGCGAAGACGCTAGGGTGTCAAGCTCTCCACAGAGAGTCGACACGTGGATTGAAATGGAAGACCAAGAACTTCTCATGTAAAAGGTAATCGCTCGTGTGCAAGAGTGTCGGTGAGAGATTTTCTTTCGATCGATTGAAGGTTGGGTTGGAAAAATTGTGGTCGGATGTTAGGCATCTCCAGGGCGGGCGGCGGGGTCTGACGGCCAGCAGGAACAAGTGCCCGAGTATATGCTCTGAGACAGCCTGCAGTGACCGCCGAAGCCGCTGAAGAAGAGTCTCCTGGTAGCATCCTAGTGGCATTGTCCACCAAAACAGGTCCCCTAAGCGCACTGGCTCACTCGCCCTGGCGGCTGGCCCTGTCTGCTTTGTTTTCTCTGATGCCACCATCCGATTTTTAAATGGTGGGGTGACAGCAAGGTGGGGTTCAGACGTCATCAGCCAGTCCATTTGGGAGTGTCGATCACTGATTTGAGGCAACGAGAAAGTGATGGTCTTCGTTCGTTGTGACAGGTTTGCATGGCCAATGCATGCGCTTTGAGCGCTTTGGGGCCTTGTGATCCCTAGACCAACCACTGTCCTAGTTTGCATCCTCATTTCTTTCGACTTGTGCAATTAGATGCGCTGGGGCATTCTCCAGCGTGCCAAGCCTGTCCTGTGCCGCGGCTTGGCTTCGGCATTCGCAGCCTTTTCTTCTAATGCCCTGTGAAGCTGAGTTCGATGTTTTTGATGTGCATATTTGCCGAGGGGTCTCGTCATCGCATAAGCTAATCACTCAAGGCTGCCCTGCTGTGGCAATGGTAGTGGTAAGCTTCTCAGCAATGCCTGCGAAAATGTGTGCCAGCGAGCAGGCTCGATACTTTTCCACCAATGTGTCGCCGTCTGTAATCTGTACTTCCGCCGTTGCACTGATATCACGACCATCAATCTTGGTGCCCTGGGGGTACAGTGGTCTCTTGCCCGTCTCCACAAGCTCGCCAAACTGGGGATCAATGGGTACCGTGCCGAGGAACGGTACGGAAAACTCGTCGGCCATGATGACGCCGCCACCAGAGCTGAAAATGTCGGTGCACTCGGCGCAGTGCGGGCACACAAAGCCGCTCATGTTCTCGATGACGCCGAGGACCTTGAGGTTGGTTTTTGCGCAAAAGTTGAGTTCTTTACGAACGTCTGCCGTTGCCACAGCTTGCGGGGTCGTCACAACAACAGCGCCAGCAACTTGTCCTGGAAAAGCGTCCCGCAGGAGGGTTTCTGCCAGCGAGATGTGTTCATCACTTGTTCCGGGCGGGGTGTCGATGAGCAAGTAATCAGTCTCATCCCAGAGAACATCGGAAAGGAACTGCCGGACCATGGCGGTCTTTTTGGGGCCTCGCCATACCACGGCATCTCCACGTCGCGGAAGAAGAAATCCCAGGCTCATTGCTCGGAAAGACCCAATACCCTGCTCAGGGCTCGACTCATGAACAGGTACAGGCACCCAGCCGCCTGGGGCCTGTGTCACTTTGGCATTTTCGATGGAGAGCATTCGTGGAATCGATGGCCCCGTCAAGTCGACGTCAAGAACACCAACAGAATGCCCCGCAAGAGTCAGAGACAGAGCCAGCTGAGTAGTCACGGACGATTTGCCCACGCCACCCTTGCCGGACAAAACCTATTGGGGTCAACAGAGGTGCTATGTGGTGACGTTCTAAAAACATACCAGAACGATGTGTTTGACCTTTGAAAGGGACATCTTGATGATATGGCGAACAAGTAGTTTGGTACGCAGTTGTGTGTTCCTTTTCTGCTTTGATCTTGCTGAGGACTGGACTTGATGAGGTGGGGGGCCGATGGTCGGCTCAGATGCTTGGTCAGCAAGTTGCCTCTCGAGGCGAATCAATCATCGAGTGACTAGAGAGTAAGAACGTGAGCATTTACTATCTTCCCCGATCGCAAAAGGACCAGCATCTTAAACATTTTAGTTGAAAAAACGACAAGGGGTTATTGTGAGTTGCCACTTGCTGCTCTGAACATTGACAATCGATAAGAGGCTGGCGTCTCTGATCAGCTTCATTAGGTAAGCGAGATCTGGACCATGGCAGAGGCTGAGACCTTGAGACAGATTTCCAAAGCCTTGCCCTGGATGTGCAAGGTGCCTTTCAACCAGGCAACAGTGAATCAGAATCATCCAAATACCCGTGTCTTCCAAAATCTCCTTATGATCAAGTTTGGAGACATACCCGTACATCCATAATTCAAAAAGAAAACATTTGATTCAACCATTCTGAAGTCTGAACTAGCATCACTGGTTCACTGGTTGCCGGAGCTCGCGGCCATGTGCGCGTAACGACGTCCGACCTTTGACAGCGCAACCCCCACCGTTGGCTGTCGCGACCACAAACATGCCTACTCAGCCGTCACGATGGAAGATCCATGGGGCTCACCGTGGGCAACTCCCGATACCGAATTGAACAGCCAATACGCACCGGCCGAGGCAAATCCTGAGCCACCACCACCCGCGTTCTTCACGACAACACCGAACAACCTAACTTTACCATCCAGCCAGTCCGCCTGGCTGGAAGACGACTCCTATGGCGATTGGGCCACCCCTGAATCTGCGCAGCCTGCATCAGCACCCTGGGGAACATTGGCTCTAGGCGACGCGACCCTTAGCGACGCAGGCCAGTTGACACCTAAATACGAGGCGAAGCGAAAACAGAGTATACCCAGGTGGCCTAGTAGTCGGTCCACATCACCAGGACAGCGGAGTAGAGCCTTGTCTAAGAAGCTATCCTCCGATCATCTGACCCACGATCCATGGTCCTCCGAGTATTCATCAAACGACATACGCCATGAGGTTGCCGGACCACTCACTGAAATCCAACGCCTCCCAGCACTACCGACAGGCCTTGAGCTGAGTCCACACGAGACTCCACCGCACGTTTCGGAGGTTTCGACTACAATACAATCGCCTCGTCCGGCTATTGCTATTTCCATACGCCATGATTCTTCCTCGGGAGACCACACCGATGATCGTCCTACATCACAATACTCACACGTTGCACACGTCGAGCTAGCTGGTTCGGCCACGGCATCAACATCCGATGGCGACGGACCTCACGACTCGACACGCGAGGACTCTCCCATCACTCCCGTCGAAGAAGACGAGCCAGGTGTCACTGGTGAGCGTGGAGCCTCTAAGGTGCACCAACTGGTGGAGATGTACGACGGTATCGCAAGGAAGAGCAGCATCCTTCCTGAGCTGGTACCTCCACCAAAGCGAAGCACAAGTCAATCGCCGATAGCCATTGAGCTCTCGCAATCAGCTGACGAAAATGCCGCCGACCTCGAAAGCCGCGAAGGAGCTGTTGGCGAAGGGCATTCCACGTCATCTTTACCGAATCGAATCGATGCAAGGACTGCCACTGGACAGGATCAAACCATATTAAACTGCGACTGTATTGAAGCTCATGTTATGCCAAACGAACTCCAGGTGGATAACCAAGTACCCAAAAATCACGCGGACGATCCCATACACGGAAACGACCATTCGGAAATTCTTTCGACCAAAGTTGCAGACTATGAACCCTTCGAGATCGACCTCGAGCAGGTTGAATCACTATTTGCATTCTCTGCAAGCAACGTAACAGGCACGGATGTTGAAGTACCTGATCAAGTCATTGTTGACAGCTTTGAGAGCGTCTCTGAACGGAGAATGTGGTATCGTCTCTCGCGTTACGAGTCACTCAGAAGATATGATACAGGAAATGATGACAACTACGCTCGTATCACGTGGGTCTCATCGACCGTACGGTCGGATGTCTTGAAGACGGTCCGCCGATGGATGGAGGAAGACTCGATAGGTCAAAGGCCTTTTCGAACGGGCGTGGCGAAAGGCATAGGTGGTCATGGCTTTGGATGGGACAAGGCCGGTACACAGGTTGATCTCGAGAACTTCTTCAGCCGAAGGCATCTCAAGAACAATGACATCCTGGCCACCGCTCAACGCTCATCCATGATTGGAGAGTCACCTGGTCCAGCCATTCCTGTTAACGAGTCACGACCTGTGAGTCTGCCACCGCCGGCTGTCAGTTCGAACATCTGGCATGATCAGGCTGTCCTTGGCTGGACCACTGGCCGCGATGAGTTGCAAGATGGCACACGCGAAATCCCACCGATGAATCGTGCATCTTCAGATGACCGTGGTTTCAGAGACCACGAGTCTTCTCCTAATCAGAAGTCGAGCGAGCGTAAAGCATCGCCTGTTCCGGAGGGCCTCACCCTACGAACGAACCTACCTCTGGCAGATACCCAGGAAGACGAGGACGACGAGTGGGGTGAGATGGTGACATCACCAGTCGGCAACTGCCCCAAAGTTGCTGGCTCGGAGATACATGCTCAGGCTGCACCAGTCTCAAAGCTAGACGACTGGGGCTTTGACAAATGGGTGGACAACGAAGCAACGAATGCCCAAGCAGTTACCCCCCAGACACCCATTCTGCCAACAATGATGCAGCAGACCCCTCGCACAGTCGAAGAAGTTCAAGCTCCTGGATCTTCATCAAAGAGCGAAGACCTCAGCAACGAGCTGAATATTGAGCAGTTCGTCCGAAATTTGCCAGATTTGTCTTACATGTTACGATAACCACCAACCAGCAAACGATAGGTTTATCCCTAGTACGGTCGTGTATAACCTCAGGGCGCATGAGACATCCACTTGAGATATAATGCCGCCTGGATACGGCAAAATGTATATACCGAATTGTACAACATTTTATGATAAACGAATTACACGAGTTCAATTCACTACTAACATGCTAGACCTTGCTTATGTGTTGCCACTAAATACGGGTTTGTCGTCCATCATGGTGCTGTATCCACTTTTCTTTTCTTATCGCATTCTGGTTCATACCCCGCCACCCACCACCACACCCCGCGATAAAGAAATTTCCAGTCACCCCGAAAACAACTTCAACACAACGCTGAGGTTGCCTTCACCGTATACCGCAAATCGCCCTATAAGCTTACTGGTTTGGATCGTATTTGACAACGCCTCGGCCGCATCATTCCCCGGCCTATTCAGGCTCCCGCTTGTCGTCATGTCGGTCGACGCCCAACCTTCGGCGGCTGACCCGCAGTCCACTGTCCTCTCTGAGAAACCTACGACCGAACAGAGGAAACCTATACACAGCATCTGCCTTGACACAGGCCCATTGATCAAGAACGACCCCCCGGTCAGCACGCTCATCGCCCAGGCGGACGAACTCTTCACACTGCCGTCGATTATTGACGAAATTCGCGATGCCGCTACGCGCACCCGAGTTGAGACAACGCTACTTCCCTTTGTCAAGTTACGGAATCCCCGCCCCGCGAGCGTCAAATTCATTACCGATTTCGCGCGTCGGACTGGCGACCTTGAAGTCATGAGCAGGCCCGACATTCAACTACTAGCGCTCACATATGAACTTGAACTGGAGCAGAATAACGGCGACTGGAGGCTGCGGAAGGACCCGAATCAGAAGGGTATCAGCGGTAAGCCGCATGGAAACGACGGCGGCCTAGAAAAGGATAGCGTCGATATAGCGGAGGACAGCAAAGTTGAGGCGGCAGCGGCAGCAGCAGCACAGAGCCAGCTTGAAACGACAAAAGTCTCGCCTGCGGAGACGGTAACCGAGGTCGGGCCTGCTGCGATAGAGCAAACTCTTGCAGCGCACACCGAAGATTATAACGAGAAGGCTGGCACTTGGGTCGAGGTACCAGCCAAGGCCGATCTCACAGCTGGAGTCAACAGAAAAATGGAGAAACTGGAAGTGCAAGACAATATCGAGGCTAAGCTCACGCCAGAGAGCGCACCAGCAGAGGACGATGGAGCTGACTCGGACGACGGATGGATCACACCTTCAAATCTGAAGAAGCACCAGGCAAAGGACACCAAGAAAGTTCTGCCGACAACTGCCGCCGTCTCTCTCAAAGTGGCCATGCTGACATCCGATTACGCCATGCAAAATGTTGCTCTGCGCATCGGTCTCAACCTTCTCTCCCCAGCAATGTCACGCATCACACAGGTAAAAAACTGGGTGCTTCGCTGCCACGGCTGCTTCCAGATTTGCAAGAAGATGGATCGCCAGTTCTGCCCCAAGTGCGGACAGGCAACGCTGACGCGGACTTCGTGTACCACGGCCGATGATGGCTCGTTCCAGATCCACTTGAAACGCAACTTCCAGTGGAACAACCGTGGCAATGTCTTCAGCATACCCAAGGCTGTCGCAGGCACGGCCAGCGGTAAGCTGTCGTCCAAGAGCGCTGGCGGCAAGAACAACTGGGGTACGAAGCTTCTGTTTGCGGAGGATCAGAAAGAGTACGAGAGGGCTGTGGAGGAGAAGCGTCGCGAGCGAAAGAAGGACTTGATGGACGAAGACTATATGCCCAACATAATCACCGGCGAGAGAACTGGCAGCAATGGCAAGCTAAGGTTGGGTCCTGGTCGTAGCGTCAACTCGAAGCGCGCCAGGAGCTAGATGTTGGAGCGCACAACTTCCAGAAGGATGATACCAGGTAGACGAGAATAAAAAGCGATCTTCTCACGTCGTCGCGTGGACAATGCATTTGTATTTGAAAGACACTGAACGCCGCCCCATTTTGTAACACAACCTTCAACGCCGTGCCTCAACGAGACAAAGGAAGTCCCCAGAGATGTTGCCCATGTATTTCTGTGTCAATCCATCCGCATGTCGGTCTCGAGGATGAACGTCAATCAGTATCTATGGATTGCTTAGGCAGCGTGCTCCTTGTCCTCTGGGTTGAGCGTTAGCATGCGGAAAGCTTTGTAAAATCCGGTCCACAATCTACTTACTCTGCTGTGTCAACAGGAGACCGAAACGACGCTTGAGCGTCACACGCTGACGACTCCATTTGTCTACATGTCGTCAGATAAATCGTATTTTGGTCTAGAGAAGGCTGCACATACCGTCAGGAGAGAAACGGGCAGGGTGAGCGCTCTTGGTGACCTTGGCTTCGTCGGTGACCTTCTTGAGAGTGTACAGGCGGTTGCCCGCCTCATCGAGGGTATACTTGGGTAGATTGTCAGTAATTCCAAAGGCATTCGATTCAATGTGTACTACGAACCATGAGATGCATTTTGACGGTCTTTTGAGAGTCGAGCGTTGACGATATGGTACAAATGAGGCTGTGATGTGCTCGACGATATGGCGATGGCAGAAATCACCTAGAAACTTTTTCTGCCCTGGCGGTGAGCTGATATGTCACGTGATCCTGGCAGCTTATGTGGGCTATCGACAAGTGGTCCTACTACTCTGATGCCACTGTCTAGACTTGCTCAAATCGTTGCGATCCAATTTCAAGTCCGCGGACTCGGCGCATGAAACATCTTACTAGCTTGTACACTAGCTCAAATGGTACTTGCAACATTGCACCTACTCCAGAAGTTGTTCTGGTGTTGGAGATGAAGTCGTAGACCCGGCCCTGCGGCCTGCTACCTGACGAGGGCATCACGTGAAAGCTGGTCTGTGCCACCTGCCTGTGCCTCGGGATCTCTGCCAAGCATCTCACTGTGTGTTGGTACGGCGTTGAGAAGAACAGCAAACCGCATCACTGTCTCTCTTACATCTCGATATCGCATCAGTTGCTAGTGACTCACAATGGACGCCAACATCTCACAGGGTCGTCGCACGGTTCTGATTACTGGGTGAATGCGCGGTTCATTCTTAGTCCCTCTCCAAATTTGACTAACGACAGTAGCTGTACACCCGGTGGAATTGGCCATGCCTTGGTCAAAGAGTTCCATACCCGCGGACTCCATGTCATCGCCACTGGGCGCCGGCCGGAGGTTTTGAAGGAGCTCTCTGATATTGGCGTCTCTGCCGTTGCTCTTGACGTGACCAATGCAGAGAGCATCGCGGAGTGTAAGCGTCAAGTCACTGAACTGACTGGCGGTCGCCTGGACATCCTTGTCAATAACGCGTAGGGCTGCCCATCCATAACGTAAAGCACTTACTGAGTACAGCAGCGGCGTGAGCCACACGATCCCAGCGACGGATATCGACCTGGACGAGGTTCGCGCCACCTTCGAGACCAATGTCTTCAGTGTGATGGCAATGGTTCAGGCCTTTGTGCCCCTTCTCATTGCCACGCGCGGCCTCATCGTCAACATTAGTTCGCTGTCGTCTGTTTCGCCCTACGTCTTCGCATCCGTTTACAGCTCCACGAAGGGTGCCATCAATTCGTATAGCCGCACTCTAAGGCAGGAGCTGCGACCCTTTGGTGTTCGTGTACTTGTGTCCATGACGGGCACCGTCAGCACATCCAATCCAAAGGCCCATCGCGAGCTGCCTGCCGGCTCGCTGTACATGCGTATGAAGGATTTCTTCGCTGCTCGCCAGCAGTGGTCGCAGCATAACGCCACCATGAACAACGCGACTTTTGCTACACAGCTGGTATCTGAGACCCTCCGGGGCGAAGGGTGGTTCGGCGGACTGCTCGGCGGTGCGCGTAAGTGGTTCTGGGCTGGTGGCTTGTCTACTCAGGTCTGGCTGGCCAGGTGGCTGTTTGGTGAGACCCTGCTGGATGAAATCACTTATAGACGCTTTCACCTGCACAAACTCGAGGCGGAGGTCCGCAAGGATGGCGCAAAGCGGATCAACTAGTGTATTCGATATTGCATTCCAAGGTTCTACTAAATCCTTTTTCTGACGCTCTACCACAACTTGCACGTCGGTTCCTTGGCTTTGCATTGGAAACTCTCGCGGAACTCTCTGCTGTTGGCCATGGTTCCGAGAATTCGCGCCCATTTAGGCGCGTGCGGGTCCGTGTAGATGCGGTTGACAGCAGTGTCTTTCCTCGATTTGCCGCACCACCAGTTGGAGTAAGTCACGAAGAAAAGCTGCTCATGCGTGAAGAATTCGAGGCCCGGTAGGTTCTTGTTAGGCTTCTCCTTGGCTCGTCGCTGCCAAGCCTGGAAGCTTGCCGACAGACCGCCAGCATCCGCGATATTCTCACCCAGCGTCAGCCGCCCATTAACATGCAGCGGTTTCCCGTCAGGGCCTTCAATCGTGTAGTTAGCATACTGACTCACAAAGCATTCGGTGCGCTTCTTGAATGCCTTGACCGTGTCCTCCGTCCACCAGTCGGTGAAATTACCGTTCTCGTCGTAGTGGCGGCCTGTCGAGTCGAACGCATGGCTCAATTCGTGCCCGGCCACAGAGCCGAAGGCGCCATACGACATGTATGCCGGCGCCTCAACGTCGAAAACAGGAAACTGCATGATACCAGCGGGGAATACGATTTCATTGCCAGGCGGATTGTAGTAAGCGTTGACCGTCGGCACTGACATGCCCCACTCGTTGCGATCAACAGGCTTGCCGAGGGCGGCCCACTCTCGTGCTGTATCAAACGCGCGGACGGAAAGTCCGTTGCCGAAGAAGTCGGACGCCGACACGTTGACGCTGTTGTAGTAGTCGTGAAGCTCGGTAGCGTTGGTGATGTCCGGACTGCTCGTCGGGTAGCCAATTTTCTGGATAATATTGTGCACCTTGTTGATCGCCTTCTCCGTCGTCTCGTCGTCCATCCACTCGGTCGCCTTGAGTTTGTTGGTGAACTCGCTCTTAATATCTTTGATAATCGTGTCGCCAAAGTCCTTTGCATCAGCCGAAAATGCCTTCTCAACAAAGAATCTGCTGAGAAGCCAACCGAGACCACCATCGACGTGTCCGACGCATCGTCGCCAACGCTCAGGGGCCGATTCAGGGTCCTAGAGTGGTCAGCATTGGGTGAAAATTATGCATTGAGCGCTTACTTTTCCGGACAATTCATTCACAAACCGCTTGTATGGTTTCACTTCATCAGCCTCAACAGAAAAGGCAAGCGATTGTACTGTTTTCCAAACGAAGTAGTTGAACAGAACAGTGGTAGGTGTCTCAGACAAGATGGCCGACAGCGACTTCAAATACGCCGGCGATGTGACAATAACCCGATCAGCAGTAAAGTCCGACGGAGCAAGGTCATGGACGAGACCGATGAGGTCGGCCGAGGGGGCGAGAGCCGCGGCATCTTCAAGTTTCAGTGGATTGTAGGTTTTCTACCACAGGTTAGTCACCGGATATACCTAGGACGACCAGGAACTAACTGTAACATCCTCTCGTTCTTCAGTACTGGGAGAGGCAGCAGCAAGTTTCTTCTCCAGGTCGGTGACTTTTGGGAACCATGCTTTGTCGGCATGCGGATAAAGGAGCTCGAGGACCTCCACGGTCACGTTGCGATACTTCTCGACCAGCTTCTCGTCTTCGTACCGCTCCTTTGATGGGAGGCCAAAGGTCCAGGGCGGAGATATCGAGATGACCACCGTGTCAGGATCGCGGTCATCGGCGCCTGTGCCTGCGGAGACGAGCGGTGTTATGCCATACTTGTGGAGGAAAGAAATGGCATTCTTGAGCGGTTTGCCAGAGTCAAGCGGAAATATCTTGCCAAGCTCGTCGATAGTATGTTTCAATGGCTCGATACCCGAAGACTTGATGGAATCTTCATCTAGACAGGCGTCGTAGGCGGATTTCATCTTTTGAAAGTTCCCTTCGTCGGCCGAGTCAGACTACGAGGATTAGTAAGTAGCTGTGCTGAGTGGGACAGTCAACGTACTGCAGCAGACTTGGGGTAGGGCGCCTCCAGGATGTGACGAAGAAGAAGCTGCGAGTTCTCCGCCATGATGGTGCCTGTAAAGGCATCGCCTTGATCAGACCGCAGGTCGTGCCGATCGCGCCAGCCACCGCAGACAAGCTCCTCAAAGTCAGAGCAAGGATCGAGATTCTTGTAATCAGGCGACAAATTATAAAGGATTTCGGAAGCAGCATGAACGCACGCCGGCGTGAGACAAACGTCGTCCTTCGCCATCGAGTCATTCGGGGCACTGGGCGTTCGGAGTGACTCGGGAAGGCCATCGAGGCCGATCATGTAGAGCACCCAGAAGGTGAGGGCGCCAGCCGTGACAGCCATTGAGGTTGCCTGCAGGCGCAAGTAGCCTGACCGCATGGCGGCTGGCCGGAGTGGTGTGTAAGATACCTTCTCGCTCATGGTTACGGTTTTGAAGGTGATGTGTAGCCAGGAGGCAAACCGTGGAAGGCGGGACGGACAACAGCCAGGTTACTGTCGTGACCTCATCACACGGGCCCCACTCTTTCCACCATTGGAACGCGAGATCACGTGGGCTATTAACCTCCTCCATGGGTGTGCTGAGGACTTACTCTGTATCTGCTTTGGAATATGTCCTTGCTGTCTGCTGCTGCTCACGCTTGCCGACTTGCATTAATAAGGCACACGTCGGTCGCTCATAGCTAGGATTCGTGATCATGAAGCTTGGTGCCTGGGTGGTCCCGAGCTGTGGGCCTCGTGCAGGGCCCAAGGGTCCCTCCCATCCGGGTGGCTGCACAAGCGTCAGTACCGTACCATACGAGAGATGCCCAAGCTTTGGTGGCAGTTACATCTCCGCTGTTGTGGCCACGGAATGCCTGGGAAGGTCAGAGCTATCGGTATGTCCTTTTATGTGCATCATATTCATACAACAATTCATCTTGGCGTCTTTAAGTATCCGCTCATGAGAAAATCAACGATGCCACTTGTCAAGGAGTCTTATGCAACGAGTGAAAGGATCAACTGCTGGTCTCTTGGGGGTAGCTAGGAAGATAGAATAATCGATGTCCTCCCCTAATCCCTAGTCCTCCGATCTTCCCTCGCTGCGCTCCGCCCCCCCCCCCTTCTTGGTCCCTGTACAGGCAATCCCCTGTTGGTTTCATACCTCCCTCGGGTCCTGACACCACCTCACCTTTGTTCTCTACCATTCAGGAAGCATTCTTTGTGGTCCCCAGAGTCCCTCTCCATCTTGTGTCATCGTGCTCCACCGCTGCACTAGTAGCAATCACCAGAGCCAACAGTTGTTATGAATTTGCAACGATTACAATTGGGCGACCACACAAACTTGGTGGTCGATGCCCAATGGGCCTATTGCTGCTTAAATGCACAAGTATTCAGGGACCATGAAGTTCTTGCAAAGGTCTACGAACTTGGTTTGCCATCAACCGTCCGTGGCTTTTAGAGGCTCGTGATACCCGTTGAGACCTAAAGCTCTGGCCGTT